ACTTGATGACATAGGTATTAGTGAATATTTTGCTTTTGTTATAACATCCTATGAGGCAGGTTTTATGAAACCTGATGAACAAATTTTCAAAGAAGCCCAGAAAAAGTATATTAATTTGGGTTATAAATTTGATAGAAATACTACTTTGCACATTGGTGATTCATTAAAACATGATTATCGTGGTGCAAAAAATGCTGGATGGAGTGCAGCATTAATTGATCCATCAAGAAAAAAAGATGGTCCTGATCATAGTTTTCCAGTTTTTAACAATTTACATGAATTGAAAAAACAATTTCTTGAAACCTGTTGATATTTGAATATTATCTTCTGAGTATTTTGGTAACAGTATTAACTTTCAAATTTGTTATACAAATCATTAAATTTTCATTTAATTTTAATATGTATTGTATATCTAAAATAACTTGAACTGAGTGAGAACATTGTTTGAGTTTAGTAGAATACTCAAAACTATCCAGAGAAACTATTGTTTTGTGCCAGTCATAGCATAAACTTTGTTTCAAGCATTTTACTCATATCTCAACAATAGATCCTTTGCATGACAGTAAAGAATAACCATTCCTTATTTCCAGGTCTTCCTCAGGGATCCTGTCTTTCTCCAACCCTATTTAATCTATATATTTCAGATATCCCTTCCTTCCCTTCAGTAGAATACTCCCTTAAACGAACAAAAAAACAGAAGCAATAATTTTCAACAAAAAAAGGCGAAGTATAACTCATAAAAGACGAACAGGTCCCGTGGTCCTATTCAGTGAAATATTTAGGTCTTGAACTTGATATGTCCCTAAATTTCACCTAGCATGTAAACAATAAAGCAAAAAACATTAGCAAAATGTCTCCGTATTTTAATAGATACTCCCAATTATCTTCAAAACATAATTTGGTTTTATATAAAGCAGTTATCCCTCTAATAATCACACATTCTTCTCCAGTATGTAGTTATACCTGTAAGTCTAACTAAGAAAACTTGAACTGATTCAAAACGTGTGCTTGAGAATCATAAACAACTATCCACAATACATAAAAATAGACACTATGTTAACAGAATTGCAGCTTTCAACAATATCTGATAATTCTGTGATCCAAACAATAGGAAACTGACAAGAAATCACTGAAATGATACACACACAAATGGACAAAATACACACTAACATAACAAAACCCAACTTCATAACATATTACAAATATTGACAAAAACGCTGCAACATATTTCCCACACCAATTATTGAATAATAATTAAGATATTAAACAAGTGACTGTGTGCTTAGTTTTATCTTGTTTTAATTATATATTTTAATGACAATATATAATTTTTATGTTATTTATTCATTTTTATAACTTATGTAGGTTTTTTTTTTTTTTTTCCTATGGTGCAAAATATATTACTGCATAAAAAAACAAATAGCAATCACTACTTTACTGTAACATATGTAAGGTAATGTTGCCGTTAGCATGTAACCATTATTAAGACTTATTGTATTGTATATATGTATGTAAATAAAATAATTTTTGATTTGATTCGATTTGCTTCACAAATCACAATTATCTGTCTCACACGTACTATAGGTAGTGTATTTTTTTCTCATTAATTTTATACCCTCAAGATGTTCCAAATTCCTTCTTTGACTGTTCTGTTTCATTCTGAAATTTCTTGTCATCCAGTCTCCACCATGCTTCTTCCCTGTCATCATTCAAGTAACTCCTTTTCCAATACCTTCTCATATCCCATACAGAGGCTGTGCAATCTTGAAACTACATTAATGAATAGAATTTTTATAGAAGTAAATAGTAGTTACTTATGTTTTATGTTTTAGCATAAAAAATCAATACTTTTTCTTTACTTATTTGAGTTATTTTTTTCTTTTTCTCAGATTTTAATTATGTTAAACTGAGTACATTGTTTGTACGACAAGCTTTTTCTTTTCATTTAATTACAATTATATTAGTGCTTGAGAGGATTTTTTTTTTACTTTCCTACCTATACTAGGTAAGGAAAGTATTGCAATCGGGTCAAATTTCTGACATGCGGTTTTCGACGGATCTATACGTTTCACAGCCCCCTGAGTCCGAAAAACACATGACGCACAAATCAAATATGGATACATATTTGAAGAGAAAAAAAAATTATTTAATGCAAATTGGAACCATTCTTCATACTTAATGAACCAAATTATGAGTGTTAAATTCAGTCTTTTAAATTATTGAATATCTTTGCGAATAGTATTTTTTACGGAGGAAGCAAACTGTTATTCCTTACCAAGAAATACATATTCTGTAGCTACCTTTATAGAACTAATGCAAATGTGTTAATATAAGCTTTATGTTTTGATTTGATCACTTCTCCATTCATTGGTTCAGAAATCAATAACTCAGTTTAAAACTAGACCACTGTGATTTTCAAGAAAAAATTAAATTCTAGACATAAAATGATCATTGTACTGCTCCAGCTTGCAACTATCAAGCAAACAAGCTCGTTGATATTTTATTCCATAGAATAAAATAAATTTTGAATATGGGGAAAATTCTCTGAAACTTTAATAAATTGATGATAATCCCTTTTTCACTAATAAATAAAATTTTAGGGAAGCCTAGTTGCATAAATTTAATTGAATAAATATAACACAAACGTTCTTCATAATTCAAAAGATATAACTGCAAACAGGGTAAATAGATGTTGATACGAAATAAATAAGTGTTAAACATATACTTTATTTCTAAGGTAATGATCAAATTAAATCATAACTTTTAATAATTTAAAATAATAATGTTACAAATGCAGCAAACAAAATATCAAATATTTTAAATAATGCTCAATTCTTAGTCCTATTATTAATCTTAAAGTACAGGTTTTATGAAAGCTTAACAAAAAAAGTATATACAAAATGAATTAAAACAGTAATTACATTCATTTTTATTTTTTCTTGTCTTTTACTGTATACTTGTCATAGGATTTAGTCGGATCAAATGGCTCCCACCGACTAGCTGGAAAGATATGTTTATTCCTTTCATACCACGATCTGAGGAGAACTTTTCCAGCATGAGAATCTTCTTTTTCAATTGAAGCATCTGAAACTAATCTGATGTCATCCCGTGCATCAAAAACAAACAGTGGTCCACTTTTTCCTCTCGCCTGTAAATCAAGTCAATATATATAAACATTTTTGCTTTACTTATTAAAATAATTATTTACTATATTAATTTGTTTATATTTATGTATTTTCTTCCCAAGGCGGTTGGGTATCGATAACTCATTCGAGTGGCATTTAAGCCTTATGAGAATAACTGAAACGATACTTAAATTAAGGAAGCAATGGCCTGGTCAAGACAATTATTAATGCGTAACCAATCAATAGTCATTGTCTCTCCTAAGATGTTGATACATTTTTTTTGCTTAATAATTTTTAATACATCATTATATAGTTAAATCAAAACGACTGAAGAAGTATAATTATCAGGTCTATTGCCATTTTTTAGATTTTTGGTCCTGTAATATATAATGATGACAGGCATCAAGACTTAATAGGATGCTCATAAAGACCACATCATCAATTCAATAAAATTTTCAGCTCCCACAAAATGATGATGTAATAAAAAGCATGATGAATTGAATGTTAAGGTAAAAACAGATGAAGAAAATCAAAAGAAAAACAGAATCGATGAGTCATCATCCATTAAAAATCCAACCATGCCTTTTAGATAATCATAGCAGTCTCTGGGACGTCGCAGCTAGGGCATAGGAGATATCGATGGCTATAAACCATGGCTAGAGAGTCTCCATGCCCTGTGAGATCCAGTTGTCATGGAAGATTACTGAAAAAGTTTAAAGACAGCAAATTGCAAGCATTGTTGGATGAGGATGATGTTGAACCCAACAACTTGAGGATCAATTTAATGTAAAAGGAGAAGCTTTCTCCATAAGTTTAAAAGTCATGAGAAAGATTTAAAATATGGGAAAATGTGTTCCACATGAACTGAATGAAAGACAGAAAGAAAACCATCTCCAAAATGATGCTCACCAGTTACAAAAGTAAGTTATTTCTCCATTGAATTGTGGAAGTGGATACATTTAGAGAATCGGAAGTATCAAATATCATGGGTAACTTCAGGTGCACCATCAACATGGATGCTCTGTGTTGGGTGGTATCACAAGGTCTGATATATTATGAGCTGGTGAAACCATCAATATTGAACACTATCGACAACAAATGATTGATTGAAATAAATTATTTCATGAAAAAATACCCAGAATACCAAATAGACAACACAAAGTGATTTTGCTTTACACCACAACCAGTAAAGGAAGCGATTGCGTCTTTCAGTTTGAAAATATTAGCACATGTAGCTTACTTGCCTCCGCCCGACTACAATATATTTGCATTGATATGGCATGCATTTGCTCAGCTTCACTTCTTATGGAAATTACTTGTTTGCTGGTTTGCCAGAGAAATGGGAAAAATTTATAATTACTAATGAACAATAATTCGAATAAAATATTTTTTCAAAATTTTTATGCAATAAACATGTATTTTTTTATACAAAAATTAATTAAACAATTAAGTAAATTAATTGAAGGAAAAATTATAGATTTAATATAAACAATTAGTTTTTACATCATAACACTATTTTATTAAATATTAAATTTTAAGAATGATTATAAAATACAAAAATCAATATAATGTATCAAATGTGTATAAAAAAAATAAAAATATAAAGAAACAAAAACAAGTAACACTATAATTATTATAAATATTGTCACACCTATTATGAAAAAATTAATAAGGTGACAATTATCAATTGAGGGATTTGGTGCAAGGAGGCAGCTCCACTTTGTGCCTCTATTGAGTTACAAATCCTATCACATACAGAAGAAAAAGCCGCTTCGTTTGGTACAAGAATGAAGCAGCTACACCCGCTAGTTCCAGAGAATTCGGCAGATTGAGCTGCCTCGTTCTTCCTCCAAACGATAAATATTTAATCACTAAGTACAAACTATTCCTCTATTAACAGTCATACACCTGTAAAGGGATTATTCAATGCAGTGTGACCATAGGAATGACTGTCTTCGATAATGCGCAAATTTGCAACCAAGGACTTGCAGGTCCGTCAGGATTGTCTCCTCCCGCTTAAAGACCAAAAGTTTAAAGATGTCAATGAGCTAGCCAGAAAGTATGTTGGACAAAACGAAATGTTGACATCAGATGCTTCCAACGATCCGGAGGAGACTGAGGGAGAGTTGAAAGACTGAAGAACTGTACATATTGATGTATTATGCCAATGATATGGATAATTCTGGAGAAAATGATTCATTCACTTTGGAGCAAAACGGAGGCAGCTCCAAAATTAAAAGTTCCATCGTGCGTACATGAGCGCATGCATTTGTGTTTATTCTGGTCAGTTGAATTTGATACCCCATAACCTAACACAAGACTAAATATTTATTGGTTTCGGTGAAAACTGAATTTTTAAAACTTTTTTTAATTTGCTACATACTGCAAAAAGTGGAGCTGCCTCCTTCTTGCTCCAAACCCTTCAATTTTATTTTATGCCATTTACCAGTTTATAGTTGAATGCTTTTGAAAATGGATGACAACCTGAAACGTTAGGTGAATAAATGGTTGTAGAAGAGGTACAAAAATATTTACTCTCTTCCAATACTGTTTCATGCAAGATAAATTATTTAGATTTACCTTTGTGACAATAAAATCATAAAACGTGTAGTGATGAGGTAGAATTAAGTCTTCTTTTACATACATCAGCTGATCAGCAGTGACTGTCTTTAATTCACTAAACTCTCTACGAAGAACTTCAAGACATCGTTGAAGAAATTGATAAATTGAGTTTCCTGATTACAGAGGAAAACTGTTAATTAGTCAAAGAAGAAAAATAAATTATTGAATATCATCATAAACTGAAAAAAAAAATATTAAATAATTGATAGTAATAATCATTATATAAATACGCAAACACAAAACGATTCAGCCCCTTTTTCTCCTCTATTATACAACCGATTTTCTTCCTTCTTTTTTTTGTTTAATAGCTATTGACGAGCTTTAAGGTTATCAATAAATAAAAATATAAAGTAAGATATAAAAATAAAAATATAAATGGTAGTTTATTCAAAACAGCTATTCTCCGAAATTTTTATACTGCATCGCAATCAGATTTAGGAGTGTTATTGTATATCTTTCATTATCATCCAGCCTTTCCTTTCAAAATGGTGGCAAAAAAACATGATTCGCTTTAGACTGTAGCACCAAAGCAGCTGCAACAATTTGAATGAAACTTGGCTAAAGTCTTCCTCTTGAAACCTTTATAAATTATGTACTTTACCGAAAACAAGCTGCATACATGTTTACGATGAATTCAGAATTTTATTTGCAAAATTTTATCGAAATTAGACTATTTGGTGCAGAGATATATCGTTTTAAACATTTAGTACTTTTTCTTTTGTAAGGACGATTTCTTTTATTTTGAAAAATCGAAAACTTTACATTTATTGAAGTAATCGAGATTATTATTTGAAAAGATGATTTTTTTATTGAATGTTAGTGGAATGCCACCTCATCAATCAAAGTTAAAAGTAAATTCTATAGTTATGCTCATTGATAACTTAAATATTGCATGAACTGTAGTTCATGGAACACAAATGAAAATGAAGTATTAATGGGAGCTGCAGTAAATAAAAGAATTTTAATTCCAATGATTAATTTAACATTTCCTGGGACAATACTTCCATTCAAATTTCAAAGAATACAGTTTTCAGTAATAGCTGCATTTGGTATGACTATTAACAAATCACAGCGTCAAACTTTTGGAAAAAATTTAGTATTATTGCTATATCCAGTATTTTTGCATGACAATTATATGTGGCAGCAAGTAGAGCAAGTTTGAAATTTTATATTATCGATACTAATGGGCTAGGATACTTACTAAACAATAACAGAACATTCACAAAGAACATTGTTTACAGAGAAGTAATACATAAAAGTTGATTTAAACTGAATTGAAATTGCTAATTTATATTTATTTTTTACTTGCTTTTTCATAAAAGTTGATTTAAACTGAATCGAAATTGCTAATTTATATTTATTTTTAACTTACTTTATCATAACATTAATTAATTGTGATAATAACACACATAAATCAAAAAGGAAATTAAATATTTTTGAATGAGTCTATTTTGTATTACATTAAATAATTTTATGTAGTTTAAGCTTGATTTTTAATTGAAAATTTGTTTTTATTAACAAATAAGGATTTTTAAAATGTGATTTGCCCTTGTTTTATTAAATTTATTTTTTATCTAATTTTATTTTTTCCTCAAATTTTTAATGATTATGGTCGAATTTCAACCATTAGGCGGACACTACTAGCAATAATTTTTCTATAGTTAAGTTAAGATAGTAATTATAGTGTGAATAGAGCAGAGGAATTTGCTAAACATTTATCCTACACATTCACCCCTCATCCCGAACTCCATCCCAGCCACACTGCTGAAGTTGAAGAATTCCTCTCTTCACCAATTCCTCTCTCTCTACCTCCAAAACCTGATAACCCCTCTGAGGTCAAATTCCTTATAAACAAATTAAAACCCCGAAAATCCCCAGGATATGATCTTCTCACTTCACAAATCCTCAGACAACTTCCCAAAAAAGCAATCATATTCCTTACCTATCTATACAACTGCATCCTTCGCACAACCAACTTTCCTTTGGTGTGGAAACATTCCATAATCATCCTGTTTCCAAAACCAGGTAAACCTGTTAATAACACATCATCCTATAGACCGATAAGCTTACTCCCGATCCTCTCAAAAATCTTTGAGAAAATCCTTCTCAAACGCATCCTACCCATAATCGAATCCCACAACATCCCTTCTCATCAGTTTGGATTCCGCTCAAGACATTCCACTGTCCAACAAGGCCTTCGTGTTGTGGACCATATATCCTCTGCACTTGAAAACAAGCATTATTGCACTGGTGCCTTTCTGGACGTAGCACAAGCTTTCGACCGGGTGTGGCACGATGGCTTGCTTTTCAAGCTCAAAACCCATTTACCCCAATCCTTATACCTAGTCCTCAAATCCTACCTCTCAAATCGTTCCTTTCAAGTCCGTTGTGACACCGCATTCTCCACTTACTATCCAGTTGAGGCTGGTGTTCCACAAGGCAGTGTCTTGGGCCCAGTTCTCTATATCCTCTTCACTTCCGATATCCCTTCAAATCCCGATACATTTCTAGCTACATTTGCTGATGATACTGCCATTCTATCTTCCCACTCAGATCCTCAAATAGCATCTCTAAACCTACAATCTCACCTCTCTTTGATTGAGCAGTGGTGCAACAACTGGCGCATCAAAATCAATGAATCAAAATGCAAACATATCACTTTTACCCTGCGACACAGATCCTGTCCGTCAATCCTTTTTAATTCAATTCCACTTCCCTACTCAGACACAGTCCGTTACCTTGGCTTCCTTCTTGACAAAAGACTAACTTGGAACCCACATACCAGACTTAAAAGACAAGAACTTAACCGACGATATGGACGATATTACTAAGTAGAACATCCCATCTTTCGATTGAAAATAAACTTTTAATCTACAAGACCATACTGAAACCTATCTGGACCTACGGACTTGAACTGTGGGGAACTGCTAAACATTCGAATATCAAACGCATCCAATCCTTCCAGTCCAAAGTACTTAGAACAATAGTCAATGCCCCATATTATGTCACAAACAAGACCCTACACCATGACCTTAACATCCCATTTGTCCTCGACATCATCCCAACCAGATTCTCAAACTTTCACCAAAACCTTATCCATCATCCAAATCCTCTAGCTCAATCCCTATCCAGCTCCCTTCATCCCTACAATCCTCCACGAAGGTTAAAACGGCAGTGGCCCAGAGATCTCTTGTAAATATGCTTCTGGAGTCCTGGCAATGGCCAGCTTCTCCACTCATGTCCCGAGCGTCTGTGGCTCTAGTGCCCTCTTTCAGTCTCCATTGGCTTCTAATACTAGTGATGCGGCTGGAAAAGTGGCACTGGGATCTTCTGGAGTCTTACTTTGCCTTCCACATGTGGGGGAAAAAGCCTGGCTCGGAGATTCTTGGGCGAATGTATATATTGTATATAGGTATGATTGTGTTTATAAGTTTCTTTTTATGTTATTGTTTATTTATTTTTTTTCTTTTATTTTCTTTCTTCATCAGTATTATTTATTTACTTTTTATATTTATATTTATTTCTCTATTATTTGTATATATTGTTTGAATGAGAACTCTTAGCCCTAATACTTATAGCCCTCCAGTGGCTGATTGTATTATTATTCAATAAATAGATTAAAAAAAATAAAGTAATTATAGAGTACTTAATAATGATGGTAAATTAACTATATAATTTTTAAAGCTGTATTTAAATAAATACATTTAGAGAAAATAAATAAAATGGATACCAGCATATTTCCCACCATCTTAATTTGAAATAAAACCTAATCTAATATCAAGTTAACTAGCTGTTCATAAAGTTCAGCACTATAGTCCTGCAGCTGATCTATTTAATCTTTGAAAAGGAAAGGAGAGAGAGAGAGATCGAAGGACAAAGTTAATAGAAGGAGACTCAGCCGAGTGGGCTATTATTATTTTCAAGCATTATTTCTTTCCAATGAGATATATCTTTAAAAATGTGATTTTCCTAATTTTGTATAGTAAATATTACTTAAGAAATAAGAATTCAAACCTCATTTTGAGAAAAGCTTAGTTAGGAACATTGGAAGATGAAGTTAGTTAAGATTGTCAGGTAATAATCTTACATAAAAGATTTAAGATTTTGAATTTTAAATTTAAAAAAGTAATGAATGATTCCAAACCAGATACACATGATAGAAATTAAATAGTTGGTAATAATAAAAATTAAATCAAATACCTTTCTTCATCCTGACGGTTTTTCTATGACCAGAACCATCCCAATAGCTGAATGTAATGTCAATATCTTCTTCCTTCAAGGTGCTCTGCTTTGCTACCCACTCCTATAATTAATTTGCCATAGTTTATGTTATATATTTTATGCTATATAGTGTAATAATAATTATAATATAAAAGCAATCGTAATGTATTGCACAGTACTAAGAACTGTGTGAATTTTAGGGATGGTTTGACCCTCCTTTTGGAAACACAATATTATTGATAAAGTATAACTTTGAATAGTAAGTTCACAGAATAAATGTTGGATCATCCAAAAATCAGTTTTTTAGACAATGTAAGCAGATATTAAATTATTATTGGTTCGTTAAGATTTAAATGATTAATGCCATGGTTTTATGGTCAACTGTAGTGAATAATGAAGAGAAGGATAGTTGAGGTGATCAATCATAATAAAAATAAATAATAATATTTATTTTAACATTTGCCGATGTTTCGATCCGAAGTTCAGGGCTTAAAAAAGAACCAGATAACAATAGGTATGAGAAACATAAACAGTGTAGGTAGAAAACATTAAGTAGTAAAAGTAAAGTAAAATGGAGTAGATAAGTGAACATTAAAGTAAAATAAAGTAGGTAGAATAATATAATAACAATAACAAGAACTAAGAAATAAATAATAATAACGCTACACACACTAAAAAGTGTGGACTAATGAAGTAAACAGATGAAGTCCTGAACTTTGGGTCGAAACATTGGCAAATGTTAAAATAAATATTATTATTTATTTTTGCCATTTTTATTATGACTGATCACCCCAACCATCCTTCTCTTCATTATATATTGTAGGTCGGCCTAATTAAGCAGCTGCAGTCTTCCTGTGTGGAATCTAATTATTATATCATACAACCAACTAATTAATTATTTAATATGAAAATATATTTTTTTAGATTTAAAGTTCATTAAAAATTAAAAAAAAAATTTTGGTGCATTCACTCACATGACTTTCTTACCGATTTTAGACTAATTTATACAACTTTAAATATGTTCATCAAATTATTTGAGTTGAATGATCACTATTTTGATGAACAACTGATAACACCAAAAATTTTGTAAAAATCACATGCCACAAAAAATAATTTGTAAAAAAATATTTTCGGATACTAGCAAATTCTGAAATCGTCCGATCAACCCTCCCCACAGTTCCTAAACCTAAAATTTTATAACCCCATAATCAGTGCCTTCCACATTTCACAGCCATTATATTGTTAACAAATATTTATATAAATTTTAATTTTTTTTTTTTTCACAAATACCTACCTTTTATCCAAATTTGAGCCAAATTGAAAGAGCCGTTTCTGAAATATTGGCATATCTACGACAATGTGTTTGAACGTGCATAAGCGGAAATGCTGGTTAGAATTTAATAAAATTGATATGGGACCATCTGGACACCAACCCGCACAATCTTTGAAAATCGGATAAATGATAGTAGGTGATATGCCCGTTACATCGATTTGATATGAAAGATAAAACAAAGAAAACATGCTATGATTATTACCTGTCTTAATTCTTCTCTAAGACGAGTCTCCTGTTCTTCCCGTTCTCTATCAGGAAGGAAACTGGTATCCACCTGAGGATTTTTTTTAATTTTTTTTACAATGGGCTTAATGTCAATTTCTTCTTCTTCTTCTTCTTCTTCGTCTTCTATTCCATCTTCATTCAAAGAAAATGAAAGAGCTTGGATCTATAAAACTGATTAATTATTAAATATAACTGCTAAAACTCCTAGAATGAAACATTAATAATAAGAAATACAAATAATATCAAAATTATACATCAATTTGTTGGCCCGTGCGAATTATTAGCACAGAATATTGGTCAGTGAACAAATGATAAAATAATAAATAATTCAATGTATCATGAGACGAAGGAATCATTTACTATTTTTTCAGTAATTATAATTGCCTAAGGAAAAAACAAATTATTACAAAACTTCCTTCATGTTTTGAATCAAAATATTTACGAATTACAATAGCCTGCAACTCAGCTAATAATGGTTTAAATACGATGTGTTTGTTTTCTTTTTGTTTTGTAGAAAGTGGTAGGTGGCCATCTTTGATCCACCATTTTGGATAAAAGCAGGCAAGGAAAATGAGGGACTTTTCATGATTTGTTCTGCATTCAAAGAGGAACTAATCCCCCACATTTACAACCGATTTTGAATCATTTTGATATTGGCCTAAATTTATTGAACTCTAAAGGTAATATTTTAAAATTCCTAACTAAATTTTAATAAAATAAATTATGACCAAAAACAGTATTTTGTTTTATTTTTGTAATAGAAATAATTTTTTTTTTTAAATCTACAATGCTGTTTACCAAGATAAATGGCTGGCAAAGAAAATGTGAAATAAACAGATAATATTACAACAACTACTTTATTAAGTACATTACATAAATTATTACCTTTACCATGTAATATCATTAAGTAGTATACTATAATGTATTTTAAATTGTTTTAACAGTATTTATGACCTTTTAAATTTAATCATTAAACTCTAATACATTAATGATTACATTTAAAAACAGATATAAAAAATTAATCAAGTTAAAAATATTAACAGTGGTGGAAAATAACATCCCTTAAAACTTAGGAATTGTTTTAAGATTAGCATAAACCAGAGAGAAATGAATAACACTAATGACAAACTGAGTCTAAAAGGATAAAAAAATAATAGAATTTTGTTGGTACCTACCAAATCTTTCAATTCATCTACCTTGAAAATTATTATATTCTCACAAATGAACATTATCCCATTTTTTACCGATGTTTACTGATTGTCTGATAATAAACCTTTTCCTTTCCCATTCTTGCTTTTGTATCTCCTAAAATTATTTTCATGTGGTATGTCACAATATCAATGCGATATTTAATCAACGTCTATGGCGATGTTTAACTAATCAAAAACAGTTCAACCAAATCCTATAGCCAAAACATTGTATGTCCATCATAACGGATATTCCTATTCCTAATCATACACAATGACTAAACAATAATTTCTACTCCCTCTACACCAAATAGTGTACTTAAATTGAATTATCAAGCTCTCCCCTGCCCAGTAAACTTCTTGTAGTGTCACATCTAAATTGTAATCCTTAACCTCCTTTACAATCCATTTTAACCCACCTGCTGTATTGAAACTTCCTATGTTCCATTTTTCTATAAGTAAATCCCTAATTTTCAACTTATGCCAGGAACCCCCTAAAGCAATTTCTCATCCAGAAATCCAAAAGGACTAGTTTTTCATCAGATAATGAGTGTTTTACCTCAGGGAGGTCCATAACTACATGTCATACTTTGTGAATTAAAACATACAAAATAATAGAATATTGAAGGAAGCTAGTCGACTGCTCTACATATTATGGGTGATAAATAGTCAGGACGCAGTCATTATACAAATTTTTGTATTTGTGGCAACATTTACATATTTAATTTTTAATGTTGTGTATTGTAATAATATTTAAGATTCATGTAACATCAATCACTATAGTTTATTATTTACCATTATGGGTTGTACAATATTATATCTCTGATGGTATTTTAAAATTGTCAGCCCTGAAGATGACCCACATGTTTGGGTTGAAACGTTGGCACAAATAAAAAAAAAATGTATAATGACTGCGTCCTGACTATTTATCACCCATGATACAAAATAATAATTTATTTACAGCTCTATCACTACATTTCTTGTTTTAATCATCAAACTTATTCAATAATCTTTTTTTAAACATGAAATAACAAAATTAATTAAAATTTACAAATCATAAATTCTACAATTGTAGAAAATCTTTGATTATGAGATTGGCAGTAAAAATTTCTCATGAAAAAGGATCATTGCTACTAAAAAAAATTGAGTAATTTTGAAAGAATTCATAAATTAGGGGAGAAACACGATATTCATGAAATCCATAGAACTTCCAAAAAAATATTATCTTTGTTTAACGATTAAACAACAATATACAAAAGTAGTCATATGTTTCAAAGTTTAAGAACAAGCTTTGAGGTTAAACAATAATAGAAAAAAAAAGTGTTGAGATACCTGCTTCTTCTGCCTATTCTTTTCAGCTTGCTTTTCTTCCAACTGCCTTAACTGTTCTCTTTCTTTTTCTGCTTGCTTTTGGGCTAACTTTCTTTCTCTTTCTTTAACTATGTTTTCCTGTTTAGCTTTCATTTCATCTAATGTGACAAGACCAATAGTCGATGTCTGAACATTAAAAAAAAAATAACATTTAGTAAATGGCATAAATTAATTCTATAAAAAAATTTATTTATCAATGAAGCTCATAAAATAATAAACATATTTATTTATAGTTCTTTTAAAATAAAACCTTCTACAAAAGAATATAAAACACAAGGTTAAAAAAACTAATATCCTAGCATTTATATAGTTATTATACAGCAACTTACACTGGCAAATACTAGCTCAAAAAAAAAAAAATAAATAAGGACTCAAAAGTATAGGTCAGGCCCTATAAGGGTCTGATTAATTTTTGACTGTCACTTTCTCTATCTCTTTCTTATTTAATACATCTATTTATAATTTGAATAACAAGAATAAACTTAACCGTAACACTGTTTTAGAGATTATATACTGAAATATGAACAATACTAGAAAAAAATGTGGTAAAAGTCCACAAGTATCACATCTGCTAGACAGATGTGTCAAGATCAAGTCAGAGTGATAAAATTGAGCAACACAATCCAAATGTATTCCTAATAATTTTTAGTTTAATGACGAAATATTAATTCTATTATGGATACGAGGTGACATAGAGTGAAATCTTAAACAATTTTCAATAAGAAAAACGTAAATATAAAGAAAATCATCCATGATGATATATTAAGAACCTGAAACATCAACGAAAAAGTTCATCACACAGGAGACAGAATTCTGAAAGTAACTGCATGTTCATAAACATGATGGGCTGGCTCCATTCACTCAATGGAAAGCTATACCCTCAATGACTTCATTTCAAATGAGATCAGACCTAAACTCGGTCACCTCCATAAATTTATAGTAAAAACTTGGAATTCTCTACGTACAGATGATCAATGTGATCATGGCCCACCTGTCAACCAATCTTGGCACTTGTACATATATAAGAATTTAAGTATATAGGTTTAAAAACAGAAATATTATTTTCCTTTTAGCGCTACTGTTGTTGCAAAAGGTCATAAGTAAAAATTGAAAAAAAAAATTTTTATAGGAGAGCATAAAACGTGATTATTAGTTTGTAATTTATCCATTCATTCATTGCTGGACTCAACAGTCCTTCAAGAACCATGGTCTCTGCTTCTTCCACATATCCCTGTCAGCAGTGAAGCGTCTCTACCGCTTTACACCCAATCTCCTTCAGGTTACCTTCCACTTCGTCCAACCACCTGAGCCGAAGCTTTCCACGCCTTCCTCCATCTCTCAGCTTTCCATAGAGTAGTTTTCTCGGCATTCTTGTAAGGTCCATCCTTTCCACATTCCCCAACCATCGCAATCTGTTGAGTTGAATGATTCTAACAATATCATGTTCACCATATAGCTCTTTTAGCTCTAGGTTAGACCTAATTGAGCCTCCACTTTGATGGGCTTATAAATGTTTTGAAATATTTTCCTTTTCCATACATGTAACATCCTTTTGCTTTCTTTAATCATGGGCCATGTCACGCTTCCTGTCACAACAGGCCTCAGGGTTGTTTTATATATTACAGTTTTTGTCTTTCTAGACATATTTTTGTAATTCAGCAGCTTCTGTAAACTGTACACATATCGATTCCCTGCAGCTATACGCGCTTTAATATCTTTTTCTACTTTTTTTTTTTTTTTTTGGGTCCTCCCCTTCCTTGGCTACTTCCAACACCAGGTTAAAAAGCACCTTAGATAGTGAATCTCCTTGTCTAAGATCTCTTCCAGTTTTGAATTTTTGTGAGAGCCTCTCAATGAAAAGTATTCTACTGGCTGTATCTGCCTGTGCCATCCTGACCAGTCTTATTAATTAATTTATTTTTTTTGGAGTTCCTAGTTTCTTCAGTTGCTCATACATTTTTTCCCCTTTTAACGGAATCATATGCTTGTCTGAAGTCTACAAACAAATGATGTAATGTAAAATCATACTTATAAGCTTTCTTCAGCATTTGCCTTACTAAATAAAATATGGTCCGTAGTTGACCTACCAGGTCTAAACCCACACTGATAACCACCCAGAACTGTTTTCGCCCACTTTGTTAATCTTCTGCTGATTCCTATTGATAATATTTTGTAAAAAGTATTTACAAATACAAATAGAATTCCCCTGTAATTTCTGCACTCTGTCCTATTTCCTTTTTTGTATAAAGGACATAGCAGGGATTTAGACCATTCTTCGGGCATTTTCTTCAATCTCCATACATCGAAAATGATATTGTAAATGTCTTTCCACACTTCCGCATTTTTAATCATTTCATTTTGGATTTCATCCAGGTCTGATGCTTAATTGTTTTTGAGCTGGGAGATGATTTCATTAATCTCTCCCATATCTGGAGGAATATCTGTCTCATCCAAGTTTTCCATTTCACCTAGTGCATAGGTTATCAGCGTTTTCTCTTTCCAGCTCCTCTACCTCTTGAAGATCACCCAATATCTCCTAAAAATGATCAGCCCATCTCTCCAACATCTCTGAGTTGTCACCTAGGAGGTTACGGTTCTTGTCTTTGATAAAAGTTTCTCTTGAACGGAAACCTGTTCTAAGGTTCTTAATGTTCGTAAAGAATTTTCGGTTATCATTTTCTTTGAAATGCTCTTCTGTTTTCTCCAATCTTTCTATCTCTAGTAGCCTTTTCTTCTTTCGGAATAGTTTCTTTGCCAATTTTAGTTTTTCTCGATACAAATCTATTGCTTGCCGTGTTGCTCTTTGCAGGTTTCTCAACAGAGCTTCATTTTTCTGTTTCATCACTACCTTACATTCATGATCAAACCAGTCTTTACTGTTTATTTTGTTTCTCCTTCTCAGCACTTCCTCTGCAGCCCCTTTCAAGATACTTTTTATCTTTCTCCAATTATCGTCCATTGTTGACATTGCAGCCTTACCTACATTCCTTTGTTCATCCAATATGATTCATTAATATAATCTTATATTTTATTTCCCTCAGCTACTTTGCACAGTAGCAGATTCTTTATACCAGTTGCAGACTGATAAATGTCATCTTTAGCACAAATAGGATAAACATGGAAAATCTTTACATAGCACATTTTGCACTAACAGTAGAGTTATGTCTTAAATTATAACATATTTTTGAGGGCAGTCAAAACATTTAGAGAAGCAGTTCTCAAATTGTTTTCGCTACAGCACTTTTGTCGTCCTATAAAACAATTGTGGCATCCTTGTTGCGATGAAAAATTTTTGAGGGACATTTATCGGTCTAACAAATTTTTGTAATGTAGGCACCAAATCATAAATGTTCTGCACAGATTAGACATGATTCACAATAACTTCAGTCACACTTTTTCATGGAATAATGAAAACCGTCAAATGTTGCTGACTGTTATGACGTCAGTTCTTGCCCCCCACTGTCCAATCTCTTATGACTCATTTTGAATAACCTAACATCACTATCTCCAACATAGAACTTTAAAAAAATAACTATTACTTTTTTTACAGCTGTATAATATAAGTATAAGGTTGATTATAAGTATAAGCAAACGATGGAAGTTCAACGTCGAGTATAAATTGGTTCACTCTATATCTTTAAGGGTATACAACTACTTAAATGGTAGGTATGTTATTTGTAACAAACTCAAGAGATCAGTCACCTACATAATCTTTCATAATTGGTACATTCACTACATAATCTTTCAAATACACTCAGGTACTTTCAGCATTCCATGAACATGTATGACTGAATGATCGTAAACAAGGTCTACGGAGCAATTATGAATCAGTATCTAAAGTTATCATTAGGTCACTACAATAAACCATATATCATGGTCACCATAACATTATTTGAATTTCAGGTAGAACATAAAATTCTTGACATATGAACAGTTCCTTCGGATCTTTCAACATTAATGAATAAAAGCACTGATGAAGAACTAATATCTAAGTCAAAACATAGACTATCCAATATATATTATACCAACATATTATGTGTGTGACTATTGACCGTACTGTCTCTTCCCCTCCCGACAAACTTCTTAAATTAGAACTACAGTCAATTATTTTGATACCAACTTAAATTTATAAATGAATTTCATAAGTTTGAGATAAATTTATACAAGCAAATCACCTTAAGTTGTTGTTCCACAGCATCGTAATGAGCGGCAAACTTATTTTCTATGTTAGAAATCTTTAAATCTTCTTCAATTTTTTTCTTCCGAAATTCGATCTCCATTTGGGCCTGTTCTCTTTTCTTGATAAGCTGCATAGCTCTGCCAGCCTCACTGGCTGCTCCTTTGTAATGAGCCATACTTTAACTGCAATTTAAAAAAATTAAGAAGAGTAGTAAGAACCAGAGATGGACAAATGCTACTCTGAGTACTGAGAACCAAATACTTTACTCAAATATTTACCTTCTTTGAGCACCAAAGAATTTAATTACTACCGATATCAAACGATTGACTGAAGTAGTGATTGAATTCCCAATAGTGATTCTGTTTGAGTAAAGTACTTGGTACATGGTACTCAGAGTAGCATTTGTTCATCTCTGCTAGGAACTACTTATTAACAAAAATCTCTGAAGTTCACAACTAAAATCATTTAAATAAGCAAATGAAATTACTCACGAATATTAGAATATCAACAGAACTGAGGACAAAATTTAAAAAAACAAGACAAAATAACAGACTGCCTATATAGATATTTACAACCTTAATGACTGTAACCTTCTCAAATAATACATCGATTAAAGTTAAAATCTATCGATTGTGAAAGATTTAATTTGGCTTGATTGAATACCACTACTTCATCATTTCGAGATTAAGAGATAGAACTAGAGTTGGCCTATACAGTTCCACAGAAATATCTTTTTTCAATGACGTCTCTTTTAAACCAAACTTTGTTTTCAAAACCATGTGAAGGACATGATGCCTGTTACCGTTATTGCGATTTAATGAAATTTTCAGGGGTTATAAGTGTTGATAGATTGATAATAATATATTTTATCAAATCCTATCTGCTTCTTTTGCTTAGGCATTTGTTTTTCTTGACAAAACTATTTCAAAACTCTACAGATTTAATACCCAAACGACTTATCACAGACCTTGAAATATGGGTAATTATTTGACCAACTGATATTTTGAGGAAGTTATACTTGATCCTACTTTTAGAACTTTTTTTTTCCTTTTCACTTTTTTTTTATAAGTCAAACTGTATAGATAGGTGTCTTGTTAGTATTTAATCACAACTATTCACTATTCAATAATTTCAACTAAAAAGTCCTCAATCTTGTTTCAGGACGACTAGGCCTGTAGAAAGGGAGGAGCCTACTCGGGTAGAGACCAAGGGAAGTGCCCATTCCCCCAAGTGCGATTGAGCAAGAACCTCTCCCCTCCCCCCTCCCAAGATATTTTATTGCTCACCTTTTCTTAAAAACAGAGCAAGCTAAGGTAGAATTAGAAAAATCGTAGATCATAAACAATTACACTTGCTCGATATGTTTCATGTTTTCCCCTTGTCCCTTATTCCGAAAATTCAAAAACCCGTCAAAATATGAACCCTCGAACTCATTTCATCACCATGAAACTCACTTCTGGGAACCCCTGCCCTACCTCGCCATTCCTGGCATACGAGGGGTTGTTCAGGAGGTACAACCAACCTATTCTAACCAGAGTTGGAAAGTCGAAATTTGTTTCGTGGCTCCGGCAAGAAATAAAAGTCTTCTATTATCCATGCCGGTTTCGAACCGGTATAACTAGACACGAAATGCTAAAACGGGCAACGCTCTAACACGTTCGGCCATCACGCCTTCATTACATTAAACAATGGAGCTATTTACACTATAGGAAAAATCATAATTACTATTTTTGAACGAATGAAATTAACAATTGGTGTACTGAAATGTAATTATGAGTAAACCTATTACTTACTATGTTGATTCTTTTTATCAACAAACGTATATTGAACGTCTCCTACACTCCTTTCTTCTTCGTTAATCAACTCTAATCAAGCCAGAATTCCAAATACCATGTTATCATTTTCACAACAGAAAAATAACTACTTTTGCAACCCCCTGGTATCTTTCTACCTGTCAGTTTTCTGTTACCTGGCCGACATCAGCCAATCAGTCATCATACTGCCTTCAGCAATATAATATAATCGACAAAGAAAACAAAAATTAATTTAAATCTTCATTTTTGTTTGGAACATACATTTTTACAAATTTCAGTAAGCTGTATCGTTGCTAAAAATTGTCCGATTTCGATGATTTTTTTTCCTGCCAAATATATAGTTATTTTCAAATGAAATGGGCTATAATAGAACTTTCCTAATGAATATTAATCGAAAATAAGAAAACATGAGTAATAAAATGAAAAAAAAATATTGGAAAAATTTCTAATCGATTTCGATGATCTTTTTTTCATTTTGTAGGAAATTTAGTAATATTTTATATAATCATGGAGATAACCAAGGGAAAAGTGAGTACTTTTCCAGTTATTCGCAAATTTTTTTTTTTTTTTTTATTATTTCAATGGAATTTACAACTGTATTACATAGAGAATACAATAAGTAAATGAGAAATTTGTAACATGGCATGTACAACATGAAGAGAAACTACCCATTGGTAGAACTCAATTCGCAAATGAAGTTTGTTTTCTTTCATAACTTGTTTGCCTGAATTTTCGGGGTGATTGGACTATTTTGCCCCCCTGAAGTAGAAGGAAGCCTTCGAAATTGGTGGCTCAATCTTGAGATTTGGTGAAAAATAACTGATGGCTTGCCGATCAAAAACACCATCGATAAATAATATAAACTTTTCCTCTCTCAATCATAGAGACTTCAAGTCGACGAAATGAGACATGTATTCAATGACAGTACTACAATTAATGTAAGGTTGTGTGGATGCGAACCCTATGCCTTGCGTTATCTCGAAAATAGTGCGTTTTTTGGGCTTAAAAACGCAGGATCCGATAGTTCCGGAGGAACTATCCGTGTCTCGCTGTACGCATCAAAATCACCAGCGATAGATCGCATCGCACGGGAGGTGGTGTTGGATTATATATCCATGACAGTCTTAAGGCCAAAATCCTTATAATCTCCTTATCATGATTTTCCTCATATAGAATACACGTTCGTTGAAATTTCCTCTCTTTCCTCTCCTCTGTTGTATGCCGTAGTTTACCGCCCTCTTCGCGTTCCATTTGATAACCTCTTTGAATCTTCCCTTATTAACATGGTCTCCAACTACACCAATATTATCATCATCGGTGATTTTAACGTGAACATGCTTTCACAATCTCCCGAAAAATACTTCCTTACCAACCTGCTGTTTTCCCTTAACCTTCATCTTGTTCCTTATCCTCCTACCCACCACACGCAGTTTTCCGATATTTGGTTAGACATTTATATCTCTGACTCCCCCATCAAAATTCTTTCCTCTTCTCAACATCCACTTCCATTTCTTTCATCACATGACCTGATCCAAATTACATACGACCTAACAGTGAAACCCTTCACTCCCAAAATAGTTTCATACCGCAATTTAAATCTTCTCTCCTTTGAATCCCTTCAACCAGACCTTAATTCTGTCCAATGGGACACCATATATTGCTACAACTCCATTGATCCTGTGGTATTCACACTGACCTCAAACCTACATTCCATATTAGAAATCCACGCTCCTCTGAAAACCAAAACCTTACGCCGTCCCACGGCACCTTGGCTGACCCGTGAGATAAAGGAAATGATGAGGGGAAGAAATGCAGCAAGGCGCAAATACCGTCTAACCTGTCTTTCAAGCAATGGAACCCAATCCGCAGTCACCTACCATCCACCTACCTACTTCCATAATGCCCTATCCAATGCTCCCGACTCCAAATCTAAATGGAAAATATTCCGTAATCTATCCCTATCAGAATCCAATAATCTTAGTTCCTTCTCTATTTCTCCAGATGATCTCAATAACCATTTCCTATCCTTTACTCACTCTTCCTCTCATACTTTCGATATTAAACATCACAACTTCAACCCTGAAGACTTCTTTTTCTCCCACGTGTCTTACGATGAATCACTTTCCACTATCCTAAGATCCCACACTAATGATTATGGTCCTGACAATATTCCAGTAAAACTAATAAAATCCAGCCTTCCTGACCTTATTCCTGTTCTTTATCATATCTACAATTTTTCATTGCAAAACTCCATATTCCCATCCTACGGAAAAACCGCCCCAGTCCTTTGAATAAAATTGCCAACCCTACCTCACTGCACGAATTCCGTCCTATTTCTCTCTTTTCCAACCTTTCAAAGCCGCTAGAACGCCTTGTCCAAAATCAGCTCTCAAACTTCCTAGAGGAAAGTTCCTTTATCAACCCATTCCAATCTGGCTTTCAACTTGGCTACTCAATGCAATTCGCTCTCCTTAAAATAACCCATGACCTATTGAACACCAAAACCTTACTATCCTCATCCTTCTAGATTTTTCCTAAGCGTTTGACACAGTTGACCATAACATCCTCCTTACTAAAGTGCACAAACTCCTCTATTCAACAGTGCCCTGCGCTGGTTCAAATCCTTCCTTTCAAATCGGTCCCAGTATACAGTCGTTCCAGGTCAACCTCCATCTAAGACCCTCCCCCTCTCTTGTGGTGTACCTCAAGGTTCCTCTCTCTCTCCTACTCTGTTTGCTATTTACATCAATGACCTTCCCCTCCTGATCCATCACTCCCAAGACCATATCTATGCAGATGATTTCCAAATATACCTGCCCTCTTCGCCCTCCGACCTATTATCTGCCACAGAAAAACTTTAAGAAGACTTGGATAGAATTTGTGACTGGGCAAGAGCAAACAAGTTGAAGTTGAATGCGGATAAGACAAAGGCAATCTTAATAGGCTCCAATCACCTCCTTAAAACTGTTCCTAATATTCCAACTCTATTCCTACTAATAATCCTATCAAATTTTACCCCACCATCAAAAATCTTGGAATAACCATTGATCAAACGCTTTCGTGGAAAAATCATATATCCAATATTTCCCGCCGTACCATTTCCACCCTAAAACGTCTAAATTATTCCCGTCACCTATTTCCTTTTGAAACCCGTAGGCTCCTAGTCACTTCTCTAGTTTGTCCCCACTTTGACTATTGCTGTACGGTATATGGGGGCCTCTCTGGGGATCTCGAGGCGAAACTAAAACGTTTGATAAATTGCTTTGTACGATTCATCTTCGGGATCCCAAGAGACGCCTCTGTTTCTCATTTTTATGCGGAGTCAAATCAGTTGGTATTATATATCGCGTATTTGTTGTTTGCTTCGAAATAATACCACGGGGGACCCCCGGTCTCGTCCTGCGCTACCCCCTCCCTAAGTCGGCGTTATCTACAACCTTTAGGTCAAATGCTAGCGAGCGAAGTCAGGAAGAACACGGCTTACGACCTACCTCATAACCAGACCGAGAGTCACAGCCCTTCGGCTATTTCCAGGACCCTGGACGAACGGCGGAGAGAGAGAGAGAGAGAGAGAGAAGGCGCGAGACCGGTCCCCTCAGCAAACTGTACGTAAGCCATATTACTTATTCATAAGTATTCCTTCACATAACATTTGTTTCTTGTTATATTTCACAAGAAAAGGGCTCCCGGGCATATGACATGTACCGGGTCCCCCAATATTGTACATATAGTGCCCCGGGTGAGGAATGCTTGTGAATGAAAATATTGTAAACATCCGCCCATCATTTCAATATTTTAATGCTTCAGTTTAACTCTAGATTCGTCTCGGTTATTTTTTATTACGTTAAATTAATTAAAAATTTTCAATATCAACAGCATTTATTAACGCCAATGTTGTATTTAATTAACGTAATATTAAACGGCTTAAACAGCCAGCAGGTAAATCTTAATACCATTTGAAGCAACGTTCAAGGCCTAATTCCATTGGGCAAAACAGTTATGCCTACTTCCGCCGCTGCATTTATTTTTTTTCTTCCTTACGAATTTAAGTCGTCAGCATCCAAATAACTCAGGTCTCGCCTATATAGTTTACGAATTCATTGCATTATTTCAGCTTTCAGCTTAGATGCATTTCCCGTGATTTATTATTGTCATTTTATAAACGTACGAATAATGTACGCACACAATAATATACGAGCAGAATATAAGTCCACGGTTTGAATTTTTCCTTCAGCACATGTCAGAATTTGGTTTTTACTTTCATTGATTTTTTATATGATTGATTTCGTATCTCTTTCTTTTCACTTGATTTCCGGTTTTGTGGAGGCGCTTCAATCTCCACATAGTTTGGTTCTAATCAAAATATGATCCGAATCAGAATCTGTTTCACAGATAGCTTCTTACATCTTTTTTGGAGCTTTAATGTTTCTTGTCTACCAGCACATGGTCAAAGCTACCCATAAAAATCTATTTTAAATATTTCCTGCGCATCAACACAGCCAACGAACGGAGGAGTTTAAAATTGAAGTTTAAGAAGGGAAGTAAAGTTTGACCAACTATAAGAGGCATCGGCGTTCTTCAAGAGAGTTGGCGATTTTACCCTCCTATCTATCGCTACACTCAACAAAGGACATTTAAAAATCAGGAATTTTTTGTGTACAAATTCAAATGTTAATACAACTAAAAGAGTTTCAAATTGTTGTTGTGTAAAACTAATACGAGATATTTGTTATTGTTATCTGTAAAATTTCAAAGTTTTAAGTTTAAAAAAAATAAAATTATAATAGTTAAATACCCGAGTAAATGAATAATTGGTTGATTGGAACTGTAAATGTTAAGGTGCGTTTAGACATTTCAGAAAACTATGGAACAAACAAATATAGGTCTGTTCCAACAAGCAATCCTAGACTGTTTTCACATGTGCAGTAAAGGTTTGGTGGCCGAACAAGGCTCTAGCGAAAACAATCCAGAACTTGTTGGAACAGACCCTATATAAATGGTTATTTCACTAGGCCACTAGCTCATCCAGGATTAAATTTTGGGTCGGAAAGCTCTTTTTGTTATGTATATAACGATAATTACCTAGGGGAAACAGAAAGAAACTAACTGCCTCTTTGAAATGGGGTTCAAGTGATTCTAGAAGTCCTATTAAATGTAATTACATGAACAATAATACTTATAGAGATAATTTTTTTACAAGACATTGTTATATTTTACCATTTTGAGAGGAAGAGGGCTTCAGCACGAAAGCTCTCCTCTTCCGTCCGTAGATCCGCTTGTGCACTAGACTAGTATTTTTGTTTATGTAATTTTATCATGAAGTTTTAACTCAAATGATTGTATTAAAATGGAAAAATGCTCATTTCAAAAATGTAAATGAAATTAAGTAACGTATTAGATGAGAAAAGTTGGAATTTGGCCAATCTTTCTACGGACTTAAAAAACCGTTCGAGAAAGAGACAGCAATTCTGTCAAAAACAGCTGGTTACTCAGCTTTCTCAGCAAGCTCAAGCAGCTACATTAAAGTCACAGAATAAATACAAGTTATCTTTGTGATAAGGGATTCAAGTGGACAAGGATTTGATACTTCAAAATTTTCAGTTAAAAATTATAAGAGATGTTTAGGTCAAATTCATCGCAATTTGATAAATTATTAGGTAATTTTATTAGTTGTTATTTTTTCTTGCTGATATAACTGTTTGTGTTATGCATACATATTTTATGTATTTAATTTTATGATCATTATTTTCAATTTATAGAGTTAGTTGTTTTGGCAACCTTTCTCAATTCCATTTAACTTTTCAATTATAGCCTTGTTAGTTGTGATTGCTTAAATTTTTTCTTAGTTTGTTTTTATCAGTATTATTTCTGAATCATAGTAGTGGAATTGAGATATTAAATCATTTGCAAAAAGTTTCAACTGTGAATTTGTTGTGATAATAATGTTTACAAGTATTATGATCTGGGATTTTACATGAATTTAGTTGTTTATCAAACTAAGATTTTTTAAAATATTTTCTGTACTTTAAAATTTTTTTCCATCTAACTTTATTTATCATTTTAAATTTCTTGTTTTGGGTTATGCTTGCATAGTGCATAGCTTTCTTAAATAATGTTTTTGTCAACAGATAAAGCAACTAGCAATTTAAAGCTAGAACCTGATTGGCCTCTTATTCTTCAAATTTGCGATTTGATTCGGCAAGGTGATGTTCAGTAAGTAACTTAACTTTTTCGTTTTTAATGTTTCATATATGATATTATTGTATCATTAAAATAATTTTTCTTTCTAGGCCAAAGTATGCACTTGCATCAATAAAGAAAAAGATGACAAACAGCAACCCTCACGTTGCAATGTTTTCTCTGAATGTTTGTAGTTTTATCTTCTTTAATATTCCATTGTTTTTGTTTGTTTCTGGATGAAATTAATTTTCTATACTGAGTCATAAGTTATAGTTACACCATGTTATGTAACAATATTTTTCTTGTTAAAGGTTCTTGAATCTTGTGTGAAGAACTGTGGTAGTTTAGTTCATGATGAAATTGGCACAAAAAATTTTATGGAACAGTTGAAGGATACTATGAAGATAACAACCCATGAAAATGTTAAAACAAAGATTCTTGAGCTCATTCAGGCTTGGGCTTATGCCTTTCGTAACACACCAAAATATCGTTCTGTTCAGGTAATTTTGTTGAATTATCAAGAATCTGTAGTTTATATTTCCAAAATTAAGTTTATTTCTAATACCTTTTAGATCATATATCAATATAGGTTTTATACATTTTAGCTATTTCTTAAATTATTTTTTAATTTTGTGTACTTATTAGAAAATATTTGTTGAGATTTCGGAATGATTTTTGTATAATACTGTTAATGTATGTTTTTATGATCATTCTAAGCATAGAAACAATTATAAAAATTAGTTTTAAAAAAAAGCAACATTAAAATCTTATTACAGTAAATCTTTTTAGATTTTAAAATAAAATCAACCTTTGTTTTATTGACTCAACTAATCAATTTTATATTTTTAAATTCTCAAAGAGGATGCTTATTAATATTTATATAAACATAAAACGGTTTTATATTAAGGGCTCAACAAGAAATATATTCAAACTTCTTCTTAATAACTTTTATGAATGCTCCAGCGATTTTACTGGAAAAAATATCAAAATGAAAAAAGTTCATTTATTGATTTTTGAAATTGAATCAACAGGTAGAAAGTTACTAGATAAAATTTATATTCTAAACTTGTTCAGTTTTATTATTATTATTAAAAAAGTTAGTGTAAGATGTTACCTACAAGACTGCCCGATGCTGATTCAAAAATGTAGTATTGTTTACTTAGACCTTGTTATATATTTAATATTACATTTTACCTATTGTGACAAATATCTTCTCAAGTTTTTTTTTTTTTAGTAGTTATGGGTCGTGTGTATCATCTTTTATTGATATTTCTTGATCTTATTTTTATTTTTTTTTTTTTTATATCAAACTATTTTACTTTAGACTTTACTTCAATCAAATTAAATCAGATTTTATGTCTAATTAACCACTCAAGAACTCCCCTTTGCAATTGTTTCAGAAAGATTTAAATAAAGACTTTTAATCTTTTGTCTTCTTAAATTTTTGTTGAATCAGATCACCTGATCTAATTTTGTAAATTATTTGCTCACATTTAAGTTGTGATTAGTACTTAACATATGGCAACATATGTTTGTAGATGTTAATCAAATTTATAATTATAACAGTCATCAAAGAAGGAAAATATAATGTTAATAAATTAAAAGATGTGGCTACACACAACTTTCACTTACTCCTCTACTTTGAATAGGAATAATTTTCTGGCAATGTGGAGGTATTATAAAATTTTTGAAGTGCATTTTAAACGGAGCTAAAGCTTAAAGCTTACAGATCACAAAAAGTTAAGACCATTAAAATTACAAAAAGTCTATTTATTATATCGATGGTAGCCAATAAAAATCTAGTTTTATAAACCACATAACTTCAGTCACTGATCCTTTCAGTTGACAGAATGACTAATTCCAATTTCAAGATTTTTGAGTAATGTCATTTTAGTGATATTCCTAGTTGGAAAAGTTATATTTATACAGACAATGAGTAAGTTGATTCCAGAGTAAGTGATTGCAATGTTGAAATATAGAACTGTGAATAAAGGTATACATTTTTCCACTAGAAACATCACTAAAATTAATAATAAAGAATGTTGAAATTGGAGTTAGTCATTCTGTCAACCGAAAAGCTTATATATGTCTAGAGATATTTGAAAGTACATTTCAATATTTAAACTATAATTGATTATGGATCGTAGGACTATTAGTTATTAAACCGTTATTTTCCATTGTAAACTTTACTGAAATGAAATTACAAGATTTTCATTGCCTGCCATGGTTAGGTAAAAAGTTGTCACACTAATTGTAAATGGATAATGTTGGGATTTTACAGAGAAAATTCATCAAATTATTCACTAATTTAATTTCCTAAAAAATTACGTGATAATTTTTTGGAAAAACGGCCAATAGATACCTAATTATTTAAATATAATATCATATCTAGAATTATTAAACTACAGCAAAAATATTTAAGGTTATAAAAATATCCATGAAATATTTTTATATTTCACTTCTTCTTTCACACTAGTACAATTAAATAGTATTTTAAACAATGGCGTTGGCATGATTCAGTGGATTTTAAATCCTTATTTTTTCAAACTTAGAAGAAAAAAAAACTTTAAAAGTTAACAATTTAGTTAAAAAATTTCATTTTATTTCATTGAAAACATGTGATTTACATTAAATAATGTTAGTTTTCTGAAATTATTATTACATTTTTTCGTCACTCTCCGTTACCTTCTACATTTTTATTTATTTGATATTATATTTTCTGAAATTCTCGCTTTCCAACAATATATTATACATATACCTTCTGGCTGTTATTTCCGGAGATCTGTTTTCAACCTGGCTAAGCATTTTTCTTTTTTTCTCCTGTTTCCAATTATCATATTCTTTCAAATTTCATATTTAGCCATTTGTTACAGTTACTGTCAATAAAAGAGAGTTAATTTTTTTAAATAAACCATATTGAAGGTACTTTATAAGAAGACAAACAATGGGCTTTTAAGCCCTGTAAAGTGACATCAATAGGGATAAGACCTAAATGATATTAAATACCACTTAATTATACAATGCTTCACCGAGTTTAATCAAAATCGTTAGAGCCGTTTTGGAGAAAATTGTAAAAATGTGTTCATGTTTATATAAAGTGACACTTCCGGTTAGCCAATTTTAAGGAAAAGTTGCTGTAACATCTAAGGCATATATCTATCTTAAATATCTAACATCAGTTTCGTACGACTTTTCGTTCTTGAGCTAGACTGTTCGCATACATACAGACACACACAGACCATTTTGTGGTACTTGATTATTTGGACTCAGAAGACCTCAAAATATGGATTTCTGTTGAAAACTCAGATTCCAAAATTTTCAATAGTTACCCTTACTGTTTATTTCATATTTAGGTGAGTGAAAGTAAAAACATGTAGGCTGTATTTGATTTACTATGGGTTCATTTATAGATTACTTTAAGAAAACCTTTAAGCATAATGGCCAGTCATTAAAAAAAGTTTTTAATTTCATCTGGTGAGTTAGCGGTATAGCATAGGAATATTGGCATAGCATCAGATTATTTTTTTTTTTTTCCTACCTCCCAGGAATTTCTTGATTACAAAATACAATATATATATATATATATATATATATATATATATATATATACATAAATTTACAATTTCCTTTTATTGCCCAAGGGCATTTTAAGGTAAGAGGGCTATGCACGCTGTATGCGTTCTTTGCATCTGTGGCCAGAGGCCTTTTATTATACCACTGGGCGTGGAGAGACCGCCCTGCATTAATTTATTATTTACATTATAGTTAGTGGGTGTGAACTACAGAGTCCAAACCCCTTCCCTCGGTGAGAACATCAACCAAGGGCACTTTCTCTTGCCACCTCCCAGGCCTGGGCGGCAGTACTATTTCCTGGAAAAGCAGGTTAGCACAGACGTTCAGAGCCCATCGAAAAATTTGATGCGCCTTCGGCCTATGAACTCAGGCACCGATGGGAGCTGAAGCTCATCTCGGATCTTTACATTCTTTACCCTTTGCAGGATGGAGTTTTGATAACTCTGGAGTTATAGCATCAGAACAAAAGTTTTATTGTTATAAGTGCAGTTATGAAAGTTTAGTCATGTGGGATTTAGGCTGGAAATATATTTGATCTATGATTTAAATTTCCATTTAATTTGTTATCGTATCAATAAAAACTACAGCAGTGCTGTTATAACAATTATGTGATGTTCATTAATTTGTTCTAAAGTGACATTTCCCTAGAATATATTAAAATATTTTATCTTCCAATTTGAATCACTGATCATAATTATTTGTATATGTGTAAATAAAAAAACAATATATTTTACAGTCATGTAAACTGTTGTCACATTTTTTACTGCTATTATTATTTGTTTTTTCATTAAATGTCTATACCTGTAAAATCTTACAGGCAAATCATTTTGTTACTATTTCTGCACACACCAGTAACTCCAGAGTATCCACCTCCCTCTTTCGGCCTTGCAATCTTTCTTAGTATAGGTGTCCCATCTGCCTGTTCTTTTGGCTATATTAAACACTTCAAGTGAGAACTCTCAATTTGTCTAGTTCTTTATTCCACCAAGAAACCTTTCTGTTGGTTCTAACTAAACTGTCCCCAGCGCAAGACATCATTATTGCTTCAGGAATGATGAATTGAGACATTCCAAATGACAAGAATCTCTAACCACCATAGCACTGAATTTCAACACTTCCTTAAATTGTAACTGTATGAATCTTAATTTTTACATATTGGACTTCTCTACACAAACTCAGTGACATTATTTATAGATAAATCAAATGTGATATAACCATTGTCAGAGCATGATTCTTTGTTAAAAACATTATCTTTGAGCTTACGCAATGTGAGACAATGATTTTATCAATGATTCTGCTTGGTCTATTAAAAAATTTCGCTTTATTAAGAATGTGAAAGTCATTAGAATAATATCAATTCCCTTATCTTTAATCTACTGCAGCACTACACTGCTATGCAGTGATACAAATTAATTTTCTACAGCTTCAAAGGTCAGAGAGTCGTCACCGTCTTCAGGTTCCATATCACATGAAGGCCTGGGTCGAGTGAGCCTTCTAGCTCCCAATCATATTATTCATAAGCATAAACGTTTTTTGCTTTTTTTCAATTATTGCTTATACATTGAAGCTATGAGGGTAAAATAGAATATATATTCAATTTAAGATTTTTCACTTATGTATACTAGTATATTTTGGTTTGCATCAGACAGTGCAGAACATGAAATTTTATTTCCTAGATTTATATATAATATTCTAATGTGTAATAGTAATATATATTCCATGTAGTAAATAAACAGAAATCAAATCAGTTTATGGACAGCAGCCTCCTAAACCTCTCATTACCATACATTTTTATTCTGTTTTGCATATTCTCCTGTTTTTATTATAATCCAGCAAAAGAAAATGAATCTTATATGATCCTAAATAAAAAATTAGTAACCTAATGAAAGGTAAAAATCATAAATAAAATTATGTTATTTTCTAAATGTTTAAAAATAAACTGACTATTTCTTATTTTGTATGTTTAATGTTACTTGGCTGAAGCTGGTTTTTTGGTTTTATAAACTATAAATGTTATAAATTATTAGATTAACAATAATAATTGGTCATAGCCACAATTTTAGTTTCATATTTTTTTTTTCTTCTTTATTTTAACAATTCATATTACAACTTTGAAAAAAAGATATTTGGTATATAATAATAAAAAAAAAGCTTATTTAGAAGTTTTTTTAATGCAAATTTTAAGTTTTTTTTTTGTAAACAAAAGTTTCATCCCTATTTTTCAAGTATAAAAACAAAATTTAAATTCAGAATAATTATTAATAAATACTTTTGACTTGTAAAAAAAAAAATAATAATAATTTAGTAGTTGCTTTTCAACTGAGGATTCAATTGTCTTGCTCTTTTGACATAAATAGTACCCCTGGGAGGGGTTAATTAAATTAGCTTCTTGGGAAGACTTTCAACAGTAACTTATTGAATTTTTACACAGAATTTATTTTTCAGATGTTTTTATATTCCTTCTTCAATTTTAATATTGGTTTTGATAATGTCATTCATTCCAGGACACAGTGAATATTATGAAAACTGAAGGTTATAAATTCCCAGCACTAAAAGAGAGTGACGCTATGTTTTCAGCAGACACCGCTCCAGAATGGGCAGATGGAGATTGCTGCCATAGGTGTAGAGTTGTATTCTCTATTATGCAACGGAAGGTAAATCATTTTCTTTTTTTTATGAATAAATTATAAATTTATTCCTGATTATTTTAACTTTGATAAGAATAGGTGTTTAAAATCATTTATTCCCAATTTTTTAGTCTTTATCATGAAAGTTATCATATTTGTTATTATTGGCTAAGGAAATTTAATAATTTTGTAATCCTATTGTGCCACTAATGGTAGTTCTTTAAATGGTACTTTGTCAAGTTGTATAAAACACATGTTTCCAACTTGTAAGAATTTCACAGCCTCTTTGGAATACTTTGTCATAATCTCAATCTTCATGGCTATAATGAGTTTTACTAAAATCTTTATATTGATGTAAAATCAAATCATCTGTAGTATGAATTAGAATTTATCATTCTTGAAATAGTCTGTTAGGGCTAAATGCGGAAATCATTGTTTAGATACCGGGTTTCTAATTAGGAATAGATTGCTTTCCACTTTGAGGGACGTGCAGTTCTTTAGTGATCGAATTTCGGTAACTATATTTCAGGGACGTTGGTTTAAAATCGCATTAATAAACATACATTGTCCGACCGAAGACAGTGACTATGAAGTCAAATGTGAATTTTATGATAAACTCGAATGGGTTTATGATAAACTACCGCGAAACTCCATGAAAATAACTGTAGGTGACGCAAACGTAAAGGTGGGAAGGGAAGAAGTCTATGTTCCGACGATTGGTAAAGAAAGTTTGCACGAATATAGTAATGATAATGGGATCCGTCTGATAAACTTTTCCATCTTGAAAAACCTGATAATTAAAATACTGCGTTTAAACATAAGGATATTCATAAATATACTTGGACATCACCAGATTCGCAAACACGAAATCAAATAGATCATGTCTTGATACAACATAGCTGGCAAAGCAGTATAATTAATGTACGGTCTTATCGCGGAGCAGAATGTGGCTCAGATCATGAATTAGTAATCACGAAACTTCGACAAAAACTTAATATAAAAAAGAGAAAAGAACAGTTTCGATTTTGAGAATTTTAATTTAGAAAAATTAAAAAGTCCATCAATTAGAATCCAATTCAAGCTAGATGTTAAAAATAGGTTTGAAGCTTTAGAGCTTTCTGCCGATGGCCACTAGGATATTGACTAGTTATGGGTAGAGATCAGGGATAATATTAAAGCGGTCGGTAACTCGTGTCTTGGGAAAAAGGAAAATAAGAATAACAAACCATGGTTTGATGAAGATTGCTTAAACATGTGTGAAAAAAGAAAAGCTGCTAAATTAAAAGCTCTAAATAATTCTAGCGAAGACAATCTGGAATACTTCCGAACCTCAAAGAACGAAACGACCAAATTGCTCAAAAATAAAAAAAAGGGAGTATCATAAAAATAGAATAATCGAAAATAACATAAGAGACATGTACAAAGGTATAAACAGATCACGTAAATGTTTAGGGCCCGTAATGTCTCGAAATAGGTATGAAAATAACAATATTCTGCCCGATCCGGTTGACATATTAAATAAGTTTAAGGACCATTTAGACAATATTTTAAATACGGGCAATTATGATCTGTGTCCTCCTTCTGAGTACCAGAGTGCTGAACCGTTAATAGAAGGACCAAGTAAAGAGGAAGTTGAAGTAGCTATCAGAAAATTAAAATCTTATAAAGCAGTGGGAACCGATAATATTGCTACTGAACTAATTAAGGCATGCGGGGAAGCTGGAGTTTCTAAAATACATCGGTTGGTTAAAATGATCTGGGAGAATGAGAAATTACCTGAAGAATGGAAAGAATCTATTCTTATTCCGATTCACAAAAAGGGCCCGAGGACGGATTGTGATAACTATCGAGGAATTTCACTCCTTCCGGCATGTTATAAAATATTCACTTTAATCTTAACCAGTCGAATCACAGAATATGCCGAGGAAATTATCGGAAAATACCAATGCGGATTTAGATGGAATCGTTCGACTATTGATCAAATATTTTCTTTGCGGCAAATATTAGAGTACAACGGTATTGTTCACCAGCTGTGTATCGATTTCAAAAAGGCTTACGATTCTATTGACCGCCAGGAACTGTATAATATTCTAATCGAGCAGGAGATTCCAAAGAAACTAGTAAATCTAGTCCAGGATGTGCTTGATGGAAACACTCAATAAAGTTAGAATCGGTAATAATCTGTCCTCAAAATTTGAGGTTCGTTCGTGTTTAAAACAGGGGAATTCCCTTTCGCCTGTCCTGTTCAATTTGGCATTAGAACATGCTATTAGGGAGGTAATGCATACTGAAAAAGGGTTGAATCTGGGTGGGACAACATCCGTGCTGGGCTATGCTGATGATCTGGTACTGTTAAGCGAAGACTTGGAAACTATAAAACTAAATATGACAACGTTAATGAAAGCTGGTAAAGAACTAGGACTTGAAATAAATGCGGATAAAACAAAATATATGGTTAGCTGCAAAAATGGCCATACTACTGGTGATATCGATATAGATGGTAATATGTTTGAACAGTTAGAGAAATTTAGGTATCTAGGTTCTACGATAACTAGAAAAATCGAAATTGAAGAAGAGATTAAGGTTAGACTGAAGGCGGGAAATGCTTGTTTTTTTTTCTGTGACAAAACTACTTAGCTACGCGCAAAACTACGCGCCTCTTGTTCCGGAACTTAAAAATTAGAATCTATAAAACCATTATCTTACCTACAGTTCTTTATGGATGCGAAACTTGGTCGCTTACATTAAGGGATGAACAGCGTCTTAAAGGTTTTTGAAAATAAAGTATTGCATAGAATATTCGGACCGAAGAAGGGTAAGTTAACCGGAGAGTTCAGACGGTTACACAACGTTGAATTGTGTGAACTGTATCCGAGTAATATAATTGAGGTAATTTCATCCCGGCGAATCAAATAGGATTGTAAAGTTGTTGGGCTTAGTAACAAGAGAATTCCTAAAAGGTTAATATTTGCCGTACCGAATGGTAAACGTCCAAGGGGTAGACCGAAACGAAGGTGGGAAGATTGCATTAAAGCCGATCTGAAGGGATTTCGATTTCGACGGCGAGCGGTGGAGGGATGGAGGTGTGTAATAAGCGATTGGTGGTGTTGGCATCGAACCTTCGGGTTCGCTAAGCCTTTTATTATTATTTATAATTATAAAATTGTTGAAGGTAATGGAGGTTGACATAAAACTAATGACTTTTAAATAATATTATTGAATGTGAAATGAATGTTACCATAAAATATAAATGGGGTAGAATTTAAATTTTATATTCAGCTTGCTAAATCAGACATATCGTTGGTTTATTATAAACAATAACTAAGAGCATTTTTGATATAAGTTAACTTTTAAAGTATGCTTTTGTGAATTTCGAAATTCGTATTGATAAAAAAAACATAATTGCTTTATAATGGCACAGATCCTTTTATTTATCAAATAAAGTTACAAGTGCACAATTCGCTGATTCCACAAAGAGAAAGTTTATCCAAGTTCATAGTGATTTAAAGTTATGAAATGTCACTTAGGAACTTTTTATAATTACAGAAATAATGATTTATTTCTTTTGTTTTCAATATTAATTTCTACTAAATGTAGGGTGGTAAGTGAAAGTTATGTGATGTATGAATTAAAAGGACACAGTTTGTGAGCAAAAACTCTGAGACTAGAAGTTTATTTAATTTTTTTTATATCTTATTTAATTTTAATTATATTTTATGTCTTTTTAGCATCATTGCAGAGCCTGTGGTCAGGTATTCTGTAGTCAGTGTACAAACAAAACTTGCACCTTACCTAAATTTGGAATTGAGAAGGAAGTCAGAGTTTGTGAGGCCTGCTTTGAAAAAGTGACCAAGTTAGTATTTTTTACATAAAACATTTTTTTCTATTTTTGCAAACATCTAATATTTTTTTAAAAGTGTTCCCCATATTTATTCCTTGGGTACTTATTTAGTAGCGGGTAGCGTCCAAACCTCTCTTCTTATCTAATCTCATTTCATATAACCTCCCTTATTTCATCTAACCTAAGTTGTTTCCTTGTTTATTTTTTGTTTCTTGTGTTAGCTGTGAGTTTATTTAATTATGGATGTTGTCACATTGTGGGAATTGCCGTCTTCAGAAGAAGAGGCTAAATGGATGTTTGGAAGAGCAATGGATGTTTGGCGGAGTTTGCCGAGAAACAGACGAGTGTTTTATCATCAAAACAAATGATAGAAAAGCAACAACTTTATTAGAAGCCATTAAAAACAATGTAGAAGAGGGAAGCACCATTTATTCCGACAGTTGGAAAGGATACAACAGCAAACAACTCAATGAAGCAAACTACAATCATTTTCAGATTTTTTGATCCATCAAGTGGAGTCCATACTCAACACATTGAACGATTATGGGGCTCAGCTAAGTGGAGAAATAAAAAATACAGAGGAACTGCCAGACAACACCTGGATTCATATTTATGTGAGTTTTTGTGACGGCGGGTGCATAGAGATCAGGATCCCTTCCTCGCTATTTTAAATACCATAAAATTATTTTCCCTACCAAAATAAAATTTTTCATATTTTGTTTCTATCGTTTCTTCATAATGTTTCTTTCATATGTACATATGCTGTTTAAGTAGTTTTTTATTATTTCATCTTTTTTTGTCTATTTTTATTATTTTGTTTATTTTTATATATATTTTGCAATGTTTTCATTATGTTTTTTAATTATATATTTATAATGTTTTGTGTATTTTAATATATTTGTTGTAAAATAAAAGTATTTTGTTATTATTACATTTGTTTCTGTTTTTGTTCACAATTTCAATAATATCAATACAATACAATAAATATGAATACGAAAATATAATAATATGAACATAATACAATAAATATGAATACAAAGAGCTTATCAGTGATAAGGTTATAAACATTGCCAGATACCAGTCGGACGCTACCCGCTATTAAATAAGTACCATTCCTTGATCTAATTTATATTTTAATAGCTTAATTTAAATAAACTTAGTTTACTAATATTGTTATTATTCACTTTGTCAATTGATAATATTGTTATTATTCTCTTTGTCAATTGATAATATTGTTATTATTCACTTTGTCAATTGATAATATTGTTATTATTCACTTTGTCAATTGATAATTTGAAAATCTATTAGCTGCTGAGATGGCATAATTTATATTTTAATAGCTTAATTTATATAAACTTAGTTTACTAATATTGTTATTATTCTCTTTGTCAATTGATAATTTGAAAATCCGTTAGCTGCTGAGATGTCATAAATGTTGCTATCTTTGTATTTCATTGCTTTTCATACTATTAAAAGTACCTATATTTTTTATTCAACTAATTGTAATTTATGTTTGAATGACCCTTGTGATTGAAACAATTTAAATCAAATAAAATCGATCGCTAGTATTGTATGTACTATAAATATTTTATTTTTCAGGCCAACAACCTCTAACAAAGCAGATGACTTACCGATAGAGTATATTAAAAGTTCTTTAGCGCAGCAAAGTCAGGTAATTAATTATTTAATAGGTTATTTTTTAATTGTTCCAAAATAGGAGGCTTAAGTTAGTAATTAACGGGCCAAAATTTCAATTCAGTATCTGTATACAATACTGTGCTGATGTTTATTCCTTTCCAAGCCTTGTTTAAAATAGTTCACATGAAAAGTACAAGCTCTAGTAGTCTATATTGTATTAAATATTTTTACCAAACCTATCTTTCAAGATTATCCATATATGGAGGTGTTCAATGATGAAATATAACATTTTCTAAACTAAAGAGAAACAAGAAGATTCTGATCATCCTTAGATCCTCAACCTCATTAGTTAGTTCATGACAGTGGATTAATAATTGACTCTTACAGTCATTCATAAGATACAAGCATCTGCCAGTGTGGTTAACCATCATGAGTTCGTGGCATTAACAGAGTGCAATGTTTGTGGTTGTTTGTTTATTTTTATCAACTGTTTAAAAAAAAGTCAATAAGCAATCCATAAGCTCTGATTTATCTGCACAGATATACCTCTTTGTATAATGCAGTGTTTGAGCATAGCCTGTCATTTCTTGCACCAATATTTTGATCTTATCACCTGAGATTTTGTGTAGGGTCCAGATTAGACAGGCATAGTTCAAGCATCGGTCCAGATGATGGTCTTATTTAATCTAGTTTTGTTACTATGACAACGCAACTCCGGGTAGCATTTATTGATGAATATTCATAGTGGGGTCGGCTGAAATATAACACTTTTATATTAAATTTTTTGGTTTTAGAAATTTATAGTTAGGTCAATTTTTTTATGAATGATTACAGGCACCTCCACCAAGAAAGTCGGAGGCAGAATTAAAAGAAGAAGAAGAGCTTCAGCTTGCAATCGCTTTGTCACAATCAGAAGCTGAACAGAAGAGTGTTAGTATTTCATAAAATATTTCTTTGATAGAAAACTATATTATGTCCACGTTGATGTCTGCAAATCTTTTTTAATCTTATTGGAACTTTTTTGTGGCACACTAATAAGTATTTTGAATTGTTTTTAAATAAAATAAAAATAATAATATGATTATGTTTTTGTGTTAGAAATCATCCAGGAGTAATGCGATTCCTGCAACAAGAACCAAATCGTATTCACCTCCGCCAAAGGTAATTAAAAAAATACTTGTTATGTTAAATTGCTTTAATTAGTTTTACTTCACATTTATAAATGAAGAAACAATTACACATTTTCACAAATGAAGTAATACAGGCTCATATAATTTTATTTTTCATCTTAAGACAAGAGGAGCACTTTCTTCAGGGTCAGTTACTAAAAATAAAAAAAATAAAAAAAAGGGAAGACGATTATTAATTTTCTCTGCAATAAATGTATTTATCCTACTCTCCTTGTGCTTTTGTTCATCTCTTTTCTTCATAATTGCCTTGGAATCTCAATCTATGCCATTTTCAACCTGTGCTACCTAGTTTAATAACTGTGACAGTGTTAAGTTCATTAAAGGGCAGAAAATTCATGTTGAAAAAACTTTTAAGTAACCTATAAACTTATGAATACTGATGGCAAAAACATGATCATTATAGGGGCTTTAATTCTTTAAATACAAAATAATATCCTGTATTTTATTTTGTTTTTTAATACAATAGAAAATTTATTTTACATTATCTAAATTTGATTTAAAGGGCCTCCTTCATGTTGGGGGTTTATGCCGCCATAGATCAAATAGATAAATCTATTGCTGTGACAACCATATCTTACTCCTTGTTCTCAAGTGAAATGATACTCCTGTACATAAACTAACAATGTAATTTTCAACTCCTAAAATCAAATTTTAATTAACAGTTTTTAAAGTTTTTATATTTCTGAGTTCTTGTTATATGTATGATAAGTTGGCCCTTGCAAATGATTGACATAGTATATTGGTCAGTTGACAAATTGTAATATATTATGGAAATAAATAAATGGCATCAATGTCGAGGGGGAGAAATAATTTATTTTTCTTGGTCTATAACAAAGGTTAATTATTAAAATAATTAGCCGAGACATGTATAGAAAGTCTATTTGGCTGTTTCTTTGTTAACCCTTAACAACTGTAGACTCATTTTTGAGTCGAGATGAAATTGGGTCCTGACAGTGGTATACTCATATATGAGTCGAGAACAAATTAAGCCCAGGTGATGGTGAACTTATATATGAGTCGAGAACCTGTCGGACTCTTTCTCTTTAAATGAAAGGGTGCTCAGTGATGAATTCTATTTTCAAACTATTCCGTAGCCTTTCCATAAATTGTATAAAAGTTAGATGAATAATAAAATAAAATAAAAATGTTTGAAATGATATGCGAAATAAAAAGGCTAAATAGAGACACAGAAAACTATCGGCTTGTACTATCCTCAAGGCTGCTCCTCTCTTCTCCCTCATCATCCCTAAAAGGTTAATATTGATCTAATTTTAAAGATTTTTTTTTTTTGGCTCCATTGAAATTACCATGTTTATAACATACCATAAATTGTGTATGTTTTAAATTACATGTAAAAAATGAAAGCTTAATTACTTATAGCTTTATAGATAAATCTTATCTTTTTTGGGGAGTTGCTTATTTTTCGACAGTGGAGAAGATAATCTTCAGATTTTCAATCATTTTTGTTGATTTAGTATTAAGGAACATATGGTGTATCATATAACACTTTTGAGAAATATTATTTTAATAAATTAGTAATAGAGAATGACATTATTGTATAAATATTTGTTGTTCATTTTTATCTCATTCTGATGATTCTTAAATAAATAACATCTGTACAACATTTTGGCTGCTCTGCTATTAAGATTTATTTTCCCATTGGAAAGAGGAAAATTAAAATAAAACTCTGTTTAGTCCATCAATAAAGAAGTTTTGCAAACAGAGTGATTATTTTGTTCTATTATTTTGTCAATAACAGCATGTTTTGTTCTCAGCTGAGTACCTCACCAGAGGCAGATCCTGAACTAGCTAGATATCTAAACAGAGGTTATTGGCAGCAACAAAGTACAGAGTATAGTAATGCTTCAGCTCCAGTTATGGCCAACACTTCAACACCTCCTAAACAGGTGAACTATATTTTTATTGTTTTAAAATAAATATTGTCTAATGTCCAAGTTAAAAGTTGTCCTGGTCTTAAATAAAAACAGTATTTGCAGATTTTGAAATTATGAGGATTCCCTTCATAATCGTTTTTCTTTAGACATTTTCCTTTTGTCGTTCATATTTATTTATTTTTTTAGTTTGTATTTATCAATGTAATCAACCTCTTTGGGAAACTAATAAAGGAAAAAAATTCAAAAAGAACAGCTGTACACATAATATAAAGCCTTAAAGCCCATTGAACTGAAAAACATATTATATTGTAGGCAAAACTAAAACTGACCAAGTTATCTATAAGAAAGGAAACTGAGAAGAATCTCTGGAGAATATCATACAGGGTGGCAATGAATAAGCTCAGGCCGGCCCAAGTAATGGTGGCAATAAGGTCGGAAGGAAGGCAGACACGGTGATCCTAAAGAGGAGTGTCCCCTACATAGAAAAAGAATTATTATAAATAATGAATGGTTATTTAGACAGGGGGCACTTCACGATAAAATGGAAGATCGCTGACCTCAGACTGCTGTATAAGGGGTGAGGCAAGGATAAGGAGTTATCAAAGTCTTATAGGCCAATATGCCTCCTCCCTGTATTGAGTAAAGTTCTGGTACACTTCATTGTGAAGAGTCTGTTGCCAGTCCTGCGGGCAGTGAGTCACCCAAGGCAGTATGGATATACGAAATAGTGCGGCACCAGAGATGCCCTAATGGAACTGCGGCAGAGACCTAGATGTTAGGGCGGAGAGGTTTGTCACAATGGTCCTGTTTGATATCTTCCGCCTTTGATAGTGTATGGTGGCCTTGTGTATTCCCGTGCCTCCAGCAGTTTGATACCCCCAGCAACTTATACTACCTCATTTGGGGGTACCTCAGCGACAGGAGAGTTAAGATAAGGGGTATCTTTTATGAGGTTGAGTGATTTATTGAAAGAGGCCCGCAGGGCTCAGTTCTGGGACCAGCCCTGTGGAAGTTCGTGTTCGACCAATTGCTGGGAGAACTGGAGGTCATGGGCTTCGGTGCCATAGCATATGTGGACGACCTTGCTGTCATGGTGGCAGCAATTAGCAGAGCGATATTGGTGGCGGTAGGAGAGAGCTGCACCATCCTAGTCGATGGATGGTAGAGGATGAAGATGGCAGCAGCTCCAAAAGGCTCCACAGACAGGGCTCAGAGTTGGAGAGGAGAGAGTCCATCTAGGTAAGGAGGTTATCTACCTAGGCGTGAGGTTTAAGGCGAAGTTCAACGCTTCTCTGCAGTTTCAACATCTGCGGAATAAGGTGACTCTGTCACTGAATGGCCTGGCGAGGATAGAAGCTTTATGGGGCCTCAGATACCCAGCCACGCGCATCATCGACAAGGAAGTAGTGCATGTTTAACCTCACAGAAGGAGACTTCCCCCGGCTTATTGAAGAGGAATGGGTGGATGGATATGACAGGCCCTACACACTTTTCCCTGGGAGTGGCAAGGGTCCCACCACCTGAGGAGGGGAGAGAAGGTGAAGTAGATTGAGGTTAAAGGACCGGACAGATGCGGTACTGATAAGGTACGGCCCCAGCAGTAAGGTGCACAACCGTGTACCGGGCCGCACCACAGTTAATCCAATTTTATTGTTCCCAAAAATAAGATATCATAAAATAATGGAAGAAAAGAAAAAAAATTTGATCGATAAAATGTTGCTTATTGGCAGCAATGGGCATACAAAAACCCCGACGTATTAACCCATTGCTGCCAAAACCCAGTATAGCAGCAATGCCAGATAGGGAAAGAAAAAAGAAACAAAAAAAAAGCTTCAGTGAGTTCATCTCTTCTAGTCTGTTTATGTTGTTCATCATATTTCTTTTGATAGGTTTCTTCTAGTCAGAATATCTTTCAAACATTTTCTGTCTTATTTCATTCATAAATACACTAAAGAAACTTATAAAACAATTAATCTAACGCACTTAACAAGTCTGTTTGACCATGTGACATTGAGGTATGAGTTCCAACTTAACTATAGGATTACATAATGAATCCATACAATCAAAAAATCTTAATAAAATCATATCCGTTATTTAATTATTTAAATGATAATTTTTGAATTAACTATAAAATATATTTTTAAAGTAAATTATTTTACTTTCAGGATTTTTTAAATTATGAATAATATTATAGATAATTTCAATTAAAGTATAAATCTATATTTCTTTTTTTTTTTTGTAGGCTAATGTTCCAGAACAGAACGGTGTAGAAGATAGTGAAATGGAAGATTTTGCCTCAACCCTACAGACACAAGTTGAAATATTTGTTAACAGAATGAAGTCTAACTCAAGTCGAGGAAGGTCAATTGCTAATGATTCATCCGTTCAAACGTTGTTTATGAATATCACAGCAATGCATTCAAAACTCTTAAGATATATACAACAGCAGGACGATCGAAGAGGTATTAAAAATTTAAAAATTTTTGGATCACATGTAAAAAAATTTATTATCTAGTTCTTAAAATAGTTTTCAATTATTACAAACACCCATTTATTATCAGTTTAAGAATGGTATACACCTTTCAATCTATGCTTGTTTAAATGAAGAAAATTGAAAATGAAAAAAGTTGAATTGAAGAAAATGGTGATGTTTTAATAGGCTTATTTGAGCTTATCAATTTACTGATTTTTAGAATATTCCATATTGTACAATCTATAAATGACATTATCTTTTTTAATAATTAAAGTTATTAGGTTCAATATTAAAATCATGAAAATATTTACATTTTAATTCATTCTAAAACAATAACTGAAAAAAGTAAAGTTTTTATGAATGCTTGATGTTTGACTACCTAATAATTCATTAAAAAATAAAATAATATTTCTAATTTTAAATCCATACTGCAGCAATTACAGAAATTTGTAACATGTTTAGTACATGTGCCTTTCAGTTGATAGAATGACTAACTCCAATTTCAACATTTTTGAGTAAAGTTATTTTAGTGATATTTCTAAGTTGTAAAATTTAAAATATATGTACAGACTGTGAGTAAGTTGATTCCAGAGTAGGTGATTGCAGTGTTGAAATATAAAACTGTGAATAAATGTATACCTTTTCTCACTAAAATTAATAATAAAAAATGTTGAAATTGGAGTGAGTCATTCTGTCAACTGAAAGCCTCATATATATTCATTTATATTTTATATATTATATATTACATAGGTTTATACTATATTTTTTAAAAATCTTCCTACATTATGTTGTATGTTGTTCATTGGCTTAATGCTGTGATGGCATTAATGTAATTTTATTTTCTATTTTTAGGTTTCAGAGTTTATAGATTGCCAACTTATAATATTTTATTTTATTTTTTTTATTTCCAGTTTATTTTGAGGGCTTGCAAGATAAATTAACTCAGGTTAAAGATGCGAGAGCTGCCTTAGATGCGTTAAGGGATGAACATAGAGAAAAGTTGAGGCGTGAAGCTGAGATTGCTGAAAGGCAGCGCCAGATGCAAATGGCTCATAAGTTGGATATCATGAGGAAGAAAAAACAAGAATATTTACAGGTATATATTTTTTATTCAATGTTGCCAGTTAGATCAGGGATGTTAAACTGCTGTTCATACATAAAGAAACTTCAGAGAGCCTGTAAAAGGATTTGAGATTTTTTTTGTTGAAAATCCTAATAAGTTATGAAAAATATTTGATGTGATATATGTTTGAAGTGATACTACATTCCCATTTCGCTTACTTTTCTCTCATCCACTATTCCATTGAATCCCAAATCTTCACCCATTCCATCTCTTGAAACTACTTTTTTTATCTTTTATCTTTCATGTTTTCCCATTCTTTACACATTTCTTGACATTTACTCTATTAATTTCTTTTAACTTTTAACTAGTTCATTCAAATATAAATATGTAGTCAAAACTGATAAATACCTCTAGCTCAATAAATGAATTTTTGATTTGTGTAATTTTCATCTTGGAGGAATAAAATTCATTATGATATTGAAAAAATATATATTTCTTTAAGGATTGGGGAAGATTTATACTTCACAAACATTATGTTTGCTTATGATCAAGTAATCATAGCCCAGGATAGAGAGGACATCAATTATATACTCAGAAAGGTTGTCAAGACATATGGAAACTGGAGACTGAGTATTAAATTTAAGAAAACTGAGCACCTTGACACTTCATCTGATGACATGTCAATTGAAAGGGGTATAAAAAAAAGTGGATAAATTTAAATACCTAGGACTAATATTTAATAGAGAGGGCACCTCCACCAATGATATTGACAGGAAAATCAGTGAAGGAAGAATAGTCATAGCAATACCCTATGGTATCCTTTGGATCTTGAATATATAGCCCAGTACAAAAAGGCTAATATACAAGGCTATATTCGAGCCTGTAACAAAATATGCCTCGGAGACATGAGTCATCAACCCTAGGCCACGGAAAAGACCGTTAGCAGTAGGGGTAAACTTTTGGGGAAGGCAGCAAGAAAATCTGAAAGAGAAATAATTAAAAATAAAAGAATTCTGGAGTTGATGGATGTGGAAAAAAACATTATAGCTAATATTGAAAAAAAAAAAAAGATTATGCTGAAAACCAAGAATATATAATATAAAAGAATATATAAATATAAATGAATGACATCTGAAAGATTGCCAAAGGTATGTATGGAACTGGAAGTAGAAGTAAAAAAGAAAGACCGAAGATAAAATACAGAAAGACATGGTAGAAGAAAGCGTGGTAGGGCATGGCATCAGAGAAGAACAAGCCTTAGATAGAGAAGACTGAAAGAATATCTTAAATGGTATTTAGATCAAGAAAGAACACTGTAGTTGAAAAGACATAAAAAAAAATATATATATTTTGTTTATTAGGCCATTATATTTACGCTTTTGTGCCATGATATGCAATAAAAATTAGTCATAAAACTCTCTTGAGGCCCAGAAAAAAAGATCAATATACCGATAAATCATAAAAACTGAAATTGTTTTTTTGAAATTTGTTAATGTACAAATAAACCAAATACCTACATTGTTAAAGGTCCTGATTTAAAGTAATAAATTAAATCATTCTCTTCCTGTTCTTCATTTTCTAGCTCCTAAAGTTCATAATTATCAATTAAGGCAAAAAGCTGCGGCAGAGTCTGTGATTCCTAAAGAATTGGCAAATTTAAGAAACTTTCTTTTAAAATCGGGCCAATTATAATAATATCAAGATTGAGCCTGAATAGCTCAAAATTTCAGGAAGGTCCTAGGTTTTTGTGTTTGGTGATTCTGATTTTTTGCCTATTAGTTACATCATATATAAAAACAACATTTTTTTTTCTAATATATTTTAGTAGTACGTTTTGGGACATTTATTGGTCTGTGCACATTCATTATGAGGAAGTTACAGAAACAAACTAAAAATTGTTGTATATCCACTCCTCGATCAGGGAGTATGTTGGAGTTGCTGCATGGTGAAAACTTTTTGTATTCTTGCATTCATTGCCTGATGCATTGCTTGACTTCATTATTTGGTTTTAAATTACCTACCTAAAAAACTGCACCACGATAACCCATGAAGGGTCTTGGGCTCAGTACTATTTAGGGAAAGCACTGTTTCTTGGTCTAAGGTTATGCAAGGAGGTGATTTGACCGAGATCATGCTCAACCGCCAGGTTTTCCCCCTTAATTAATTATTTTAATTATGGGTACCCATTTTATATAAGCTGGGTGTGTCCCAGGAGAGTTTACCTACCCACGTCGCCCCACAGCCTATGAAACAGAATAAATAATTTTTCTGCCACTAAATTACCTACACCATAGCAAATTCAAATAGCCATATCCACATCAAAATTGACTGAATTATATAATTAATTAAAAAAGTTAATGTCCTTTTATAGCTATTACATTTGCTGTCATCTAAAATAGAAATGGGTGTAATCTGTTTCTCTGGCCAGAATGCATACCGATCATTAAACTACACAATTATTATGTTTTAAAATGCAGCGAATTAATCGGAAGTTTACTATACCTTTCTTTTCTAATGTTTATACCTTTCTTAATTAATCTTTATTTTATAATAGAAATTTACTTTGTCTAAAAGTTTTATAGTTTACATTTTATTACAGTCCAAAAATCTTTAAATATTCGTTTAATATGTTTTTAACATTATTTTTCTTATTATCCAATTGTTTTTAAGATTCTAGCATATGCATGTTCATGATTTATATTTTTTTACTCAGTACCAAAGACAGTTGGCTCTTCAACGCATTCAGGAACAGGAAAGAGAAATGCAAATAAGACAAGAACAACAGAAACAGCAATATTTAATGGGATCACAATATGCCACTCTTCCATACATGCGGCAAGGTGTGTATGTTGATACTTTCTTTTAACTATTAAGTTGATGTGCTGAGACAGTAACCGTAGTTTGATGGTTTATTGTTTTTTTCTTATGGAATAACAGCTCATTAATAAAATTTGAGTGAACACTGTCCCTATTTATTTATTAGCCAATTAGTCATAAATTAACAGAAGTGGTAGAGTAAGTTTGTGCTGACTTCTAAATGATTAAAACTTGATGTTCGGCAGTACCTATCAAAGCAGTTATCAACTATTTACCTATTGCTAATATTTTTTAAAGAGTTGTGTGTTAATAATTGACATTATAATATAAAATTCCTTCCAGGGAATCAATTTCCTTTGACTCCATGAAGCTTAGATTATTTATTACCATCCTACCATACCTCTCAACTATGCAGATTTTGGAAGAAGTAGTACATACTACTTCTTCCCTTTCCTCTCACAATTCTTCCTTCTTCCAGTCATATATGATATTCCTTTTCATTATAGGAAGTTAAAATAAATTGATCCTACTGATTCTTTCCACGAAAACTTTGTAATACGAGGTAGTGGTCCTCATTTATCAGCTGAGGGAAATTATCCTTTGTGGCAATGTAGAGTTCAGATTCCCTCAGTAGTTTCATCCTTATTATCTCAAAAACTTGGCTTCCAACTGTGAATAAACTTTTCTTAAGGTAGAACCTCGATGAGTAGTTACCCACCGTTGATTCCAGTACTCAATGGTATCTGCTCATATTATTCTTTCCCATTTACATGGATCTGCCACATCCTTTTGTTCTTACCATTCTTCAACAAGACTGACACATCTTCTTTCTGCTTCTTTCAAGCCGGCTCTGCTGCTGAGCACTACTACTGTGGCCAAGTTATAGACGTAGGCTCCTTTTTGAGCATCCCAACAAAGGCTAACTTCCAAAAGGCAGGTCCAAGGACAAATGGGCACCCACTCTCCTTGGTTGCTTCCACTTTGTGGAAGTTACTTCTTATCCTCACTCTTTGATTCTCTAAGTAACTTCACATTCGGCCACCACACTCTATTAAAGACGAAGGATATTTCGAACAAAAGTAACTTTTGTGCACTTTTAGTGTGGTGTGGGCAACTCCCTTGCCCTTAGGCCTTTTTTTTTCTGTATCAAAATGAATTTTGTAAATGAAAACGGATATGGATAAGAGGCACTCTGATCTCTAGTTCCTCTTGTACATTAAGCTTATGGGCGATTATAAAAATAAATTTGTTTCACTACAACTCGTGAAGGGTCTTGGGTTCACTTTGTAAGGTACAATTGTCATTTGTTGTTTTAGTAATTTTTATATATGTATTATAGTTAAGCCATAATCTTGGATTGATTTCTTTCTTTTTTATGTTTTATTTACCCATAATTGTTAAAATCTACATTAGCTTTGATTTTTTTTCATTTTGCGGTGATTAATTAAATATTATCATGGGCAAATACGAGTTGTGTTGGCAAGTCTCAAGGTTAAAAAAAAAACTGTTGCTTGACTAACAGTTGATGGTCACTCAACCAGTAGAGGTTTGTCCCCAACCTAATCCAGGGTCAGGTACCGACTTTTTAGGGGCTATATCTATCTAAATCTTAAAATAAAAAATAAATGAATTATCTGATCTGCCTTACCTGGACTCGAAACCAGGGCCCAGAATTTTATAACCAGTGCCTTATGCATTGAGATATTTATTCCACCATTTAATTATTTTTTTTAAATATGTATAATTATTGTAGGGAAAGGAGGTTATCAGAATTAATCCTTCTTTCCTATTATAATTCATTGATTCTAATGTTAGAAACAAAAAAATACTGTGTATATTTATATATTCCAGGATCAAAAAAATTATATACAATTTCATTAGTTGTAGATTTATTGTTACACTATTTTAAAAACAAAAAAATATCTCTATTTTAAAAAAATTGATGAAATATAAAAAAAATAACCATTTAATTATATTAAATAAATATTGTTAAAAGAAAATTAAAAAAAAAAACTAAATGAGAACAAAAAATATCTTTACAAAAAATGACAAATTAAAATTAAAATATATAAATCCTAGGTACCTTTTAAATTAGCATGAACAGTTAAATTTATATGTAAGAAAAAAAGGGATATTAAATAAAATTTTAAAATAAACTTCTTAAAATCTAGATTAATATGGTTGATTTTTAAATGTTAACTCAGTCTCCATACAATAAATGAAAAGGTACAACCTTTATATTCATGTCTTCCAGCTGTACAGAAGGTTGGAGATTGTCTTGGTGATGTTTTCTCACATATGAATATATATGTTCATAGACCGAGCCGGGTGAGGTTGGCACTATGCCTTAGGTCTTCAATTAGAAGATATTAAAATAAAATGTCTCTTCAACAATTATCGATGTACTATATGCTGTGACGAAAAGTGGGGTTAAATTTTTATAGTCTCTTCTATTTTATAACAAATGATGCTTGCCCGGAAACATTGCAGCAATAAACATCTCAACAAATCTCTTGATTTGAAAACATTGTTGTTTCTATCCATCTTATATAACTCTGGATTAACTTATAATTATAATTAATTGGTCTAACTGGGTTAACTTATAACTTTTATTTATCATTAATAAAAATATAATTCAGGCACAACAATTATTTATTTTTCAATGATTAAGAGATTGGTAAGTAGTTGATAGTTGAATTATACAATGAAACAAAACTGTCAGTAATTTCAGTCAAATTTCTTTAACGGTTAGCCGACGTTTTGACCCTAGCATGTGGGTCATCATCAGGGCTATCACTTGCAAGTGGATACAAAAACTTAAATTTTTCAATGATATATTTCTATTTTGTTTTCATATAATATAAAATTATTGAATATCCAAAGCAGTAGTTAATAATTAAAATTATGGCATTTGTTGAAGGAAAAGAAGCATTTTTATTAATGACACGTATGAAATAGGAGTAATATAAAATATTTATTGCTTATATAAAATTTCTGGTGTGAAAACCTCTTTTATACTACAGTTTGTGATCTTATTATTGTTAAACTCAACTTTTTAATTTATGATATTAAATATTTACCTTGGATTTATTTGTATGTAGGATATGATATGCAAGGCAGATACGGTGTGCCTAATCAGGTACCTCCCCAACAGTCGGCACCACCATTTCCTCACTTTCCACCCCCTCCAGGTAAAATTATAATTGATGTAATTCATTATTGGTTAACATTAGCTATAATATTTTTATAATTAGTAATTTCTTGTTGTAGAAAACATTTGAAATTGACAAATCTTTTACAATTAATGACCAGAAAAAAGCTAGATCATTATGAATATTGATCAAATTAAAAATCACTATAACTGTTTTTTTTTTATTGTCCAAAGACATGTCAGCATCATCTTTTAAGGTCCTTACCAGCTAGTTACTTAATAATTTCTTTAAAAAATCACCATCTGAAGATTGTATCAGAATTGCTTCCAGAATCTCTAAATCATTTTAGATAATCATTGGAAGTACACCCACAGCTCATTCTTTTATATGAACATAATTTTATTTTGGTGGTTTTATTCCATCTTTATATTTTGAATTTTGCTCATAATATTTGATTTAATCCATACAAAATTAGCATCCAATCACAAGTTGGTTTGAAGGGGAGTACATTGAAAGAAGAAAATACACTGACAAGTACAATTTATTATTTTTTAAAAGTATGTTGATGTTTTTGGTCTTAGTTGCTGGTTTTTCATTACATAAAAAAAAAAAACATAACCATTAAGTGTGATTATAAAACAATGAAAATTTATAAGTAAATATGGATACATAAGTAGATACTGATTATTATAAATGTGAAAATATTTATGTAAATTAAAATAATAAGAAATGAATAATTCACAGTCCATAGCTCATAGACTTTCTAGATTGGTGAAGGTTCTACAGTCCTTTTCCCTCCCTTTTAATTGTAATTTGGATTTATTGTATTTTTTTATGCCTAGGCACTTCTCTACCAATTGATCCTTCAATCGCACCGCTTACTGGAGGACCTACAGGGCCAATGATGATGGGACAGTCTCGACCACAAATGGATCAATCCTCAATGATGATGAGAAATCAACAAGGTATGCTGCCAAGTGGAATGGTTCCCCAAGGAATGATGACAATGGGACCACATGGAACACTTCCAATGGGTCATCATATGCCAATGATTGGCCAACACAACCCTCCACAACCACAAATGGGCACTCAACCTCCCACTGCCACATTAGGCCCTCAATCTTTACAAGGACCACAGTCTCATCCTAGCCAATTACCTACTGGGCCACAGCATATGCAAGGACCTCCTGGTGGTATGGGTAGTCAGACTTTACCAAGGTCTTTAGGGCAATCATCAATTAGTGCACCTCAATCCATGCAGCCGCCCTCTTCATTAAGTGGTTCTCAGTCTCTCTCAGGAGAGCCAACTATCAGTATGTCACAGCCAATGCAAAGTCAGCTTTCTATGGGAGGTCCTCAAAGGATCCCAGGACAGCCTTCAATGAATGCTCCTCAAGCAATGCAAGGTCCAGCTCCTATGAGTGGTCAGCCATCAATGAGTGCTCCTCAACCTATGCCAGGCCAGGCACCAATGAGTGTAGCACAAACTCTACCCAGCCAGTCCTCGATGGGTATCCCAGGACAGCCTGCTATGAATGGGCCACAGTCTGTGCATGGTCCTCCAGGAATGGTCGCACCTATGCAGATGCCAGGCCAATCTCTTAGCCAGACTGCTCTCCCGACTATGCCACAGGGTCCTCTTCCACAGCATATGGCACAGAATATGCCAGCCATGATGGGTAATCAGCAGCAAGTCATCACTGTCTTGGGGCAACAATCTTTTCATCAGCAACCACCTTCACAACCCCCAGAAGATGATAAAACAGCAGAACTCATTAGCTTTGATTAAATTTACTCCAAAGTTTTATAGATAATGCTTTACTAAACTAGTTTTTAACTTTCATTCCTGAGCCTGCTCAAATGGAAATGTTTTTTATATTAAATTAGGTAAATATAATTACATATAAATACCTTGTAAATATAACAATTATTGTATACTTTGTTTTTTTAATGAGTATTAAACAGCTTCTTTATGTATGCATAAAATATTGTTCTAATTATAAAATGTTCCCCGTAGTTAAAAGTAAAAAAATCTTTCATATTCTTTACCCTAACTTTCTGCAATAAAAAGATTATTGTGAATTGAAGTAATTTATATTACTTTGTGTCTCTGAAAATTGTAATTTAGATTTTGTAACTTTACTTTCTAACCTCTTATTTATTTCAACTTAAAGAAAGAAAAAAAAAAAAAATCATACCTTCGGTAATTGTTAATATCAAATAAACTTATATTTTTGTCTATGGAAACATTTATTTCGGGAAGTTATATTCCATCGGGCGATACAGCCATATAACAAAACACCCCTTTTCCTCCAATCTTTTTTATAGATAGATATGCCTTTCCATCTTGTGACTGGTATTTCATGTAAGGTGCTATTGGCCCTACATCTGACAGGCTCGGTATGCGTTTAACTATTTCTTGTCCCTGCGAAATGTTGAAATAAAAACATTATCATTGTAACTTTATCTATTTTTTAACTGGTACCCTTGGTAGAAAATTAATGGATGATTCTTGGTTTTAGTGGAAATAATTTCTTGATTGAAAGGCAAGAAAAACATACTACATCTATGTTTTATATGTGAGTGCCGGCTTTAGTCATTCAGTGCCCCTGGGCAATGACGCCATCTCCCTCTCACTAAAAAAATTAATTTATTTCTAAGCTATTTTATATTATGCAATATTTGAATTTTATTTAAACATTTATTTAATACAGTTGCTTAATTTATAGGCTAAAATTAATTATTGTAATACGTTTTATATTTTTTAATTTTATTTCTAGTGGCCCCTGAAGATTGGCTGCGGCACCCCTAATGGGCGTCCTGGGGCCATTGCCTCATTCTAATGCAATTGTCCCACTGTAATAGGTTATAATTACATAATATGTAATCTACTATTCAGATACTCTATATTTAAGGTAGGTAGCTATATGCTTGAGAGGCTTTTTATATAATCAAATTTATATGTTTTATGCAAAAGCTGGGTAGTAATTTTGACAAACTTATTACATCAATCTAAAATCAAAAGGTATTTGATATCAGGCATGTTCATTGATATAATCTGAGGGGGCTTAAATGCCTACCTTTTAAAATTAACGCCTCTAAATTACTTTTAATTGTTTATTAAAATAAAAAACCCTTTACATACTAACTAGTAATAAAAAAGGGGTAAATATCATCAATGAAAAATATTATTAACTAAAGGAGAAATGAAAGGGTTGGGAACCAAAGCAAACAGAAACAGCCCACAGTGCCCGATCTTTACCTATCCTCCATTTACATGTATACAATAAATACCCTTCTGTCCACACAAAATGTTAAGAATCAACTAATTAAAACCTATAATAGACAGTATATAGTAAGTAATGTTAACTCCTTTTTTCAACGAATTTCGTGAAAGACGTTTCCTTAGAGCTTAGAATTTTTCCAACTCAATCATTATTATTCAATATTATAGAAAAAAGTGAAAAGAAATTGAAAGTGATGCAAACATATATATGGCTTTTAAAGACCTCAAGCAGGCTTATGGTAATGATCCAAGAGAAAGGTTGTTGGTGACACTTGAAAAAGGAGGTATTAGTGGTTCATTGATAAGGGCTGTGTGGCACTTATATGGCAACGACATGTACCAGATAAGATTTCGGAAACCACCTTTCTGAGACTTTTCATGGTAACAATTGGTTGAAGCAAGGATGCAGCATGTCACCAACTCTCTTTAAGATATAATTACACGAGGCAGAAAGCCGTGGTACGACCAATGCGGGGACGTTGGGCCATTTATTGATGACAGCAATTGCTGTCCTTGTCTTTCGCTGAGGACCAGGTCATGTTTGTGAGAAGGAAGGTCTATCTCGAAATAATGGTATTTCAGCTGAAAGCCTGTTACGAAAAAGCTGGATTAAAGATCAAGCTCGAGAAGACCAAATACATGGCCATAGGCTATTCGGATACTGGAGCTTTTCTAGTGGACAAGGAGACCTCCAAAAAAGTTAATATTTTCAAGTACCTAGGCTCTTATCTGGACGCAACAGGGTCGTCTGAACATGACGTCAGGAGGAAGGTGAAGCAAGTCCATAAGGCCACCCCAATCTTACATCCAGTTCTCTGGAACACACAATTTTACACCAAGCACAAGCGTAGAATATTCTCAACTATAGTGGAAGTTATTGTTACATATGTCTCAGAAAAATGGAATATGAATTCCCGTTTGTACAAAAAGGTGCAGGCGGTCGAGATGGATTACTGGAGAAGGGGTCTCTGTCTTACCAGACTTGATAAAATTATGAATGAGGTAGTTTGACAGAGAATGGATATGTGTACAGCGGTTAATGGAAAGATCGGGATACGCTGCCTAAGATAGTATGGGTATGTGAGAAGAATGACGGAGAAATGTTGGCCGAGCCGACACCTGGATTGGCTTCCATCAAGAAAGAGAGGACATGGACGGCCCAGAAGCAGCTGGATGGAGGAGGTCTAGGGGAAAATGGCGGGTCGAGGTTTGGAGGAAGATGATAGGCGAGATAATAAAAAGTAAGTTTTTTTTTTTTGTTCAAGGTTTTTTTCCAGGCCGGGGGAATTATGCCGAGTTAAAAGTCTCACTGGGCACCGGGATTTGAGTTCGTAATTATTTTTTTATCTCAATCTTCGGTTATCAGGTTGCCCAGCAACGCACGGTGCTGTGCACACGCGTTAGCTCGCTCAGCCATCCCGCTCCCTCATTATTAAAATTAAATCAAAATAATTTCCTTCAGAATCGATGCACTTTAGACAATGTTCAACAAGCATTTTTATCCCACCAGAAAAAAAATTGGATCCCTGAATCCAATGAACTCACGAAAAGAATTTTGAATGTTATCCTGGCTTTGGAAATTTCTCTCGCGCAAAATGTTGCCCAGGTGCATGAAAAAATAAAAGTGGGAGAAAGATCAGGTGAATAAGATGGCTGTTGAAAATGTAGCCCAAGTCGTGCAGTTGTCGTAGGACATTATCGTGGAGAAGAATCGGATTAATCAATGATGGGCAAATATGCTGCAACTTCCGATTCATGTCATCAATTTCTTGACAGTACTTGTCGGCAGAGATAGGCTCGCCACGATACAGAAAACTAGTGGATAACACCGACAGTAGATCACAAACTGTGACAACTTTTTTCTGGTCCAGATTGGGTTTCGAGAAATATCTTTGCCCGACTAGCCGTTGTTTCTCTTTGCCCGACCATTTACTATAAGGTCTTCTGTTGTTGTATAAGATACATTTTTCAATACACGTCACTATGCGATAGAGAAAGCGATCGTTTTTATTGGGTGCCAAAAGCATGGAACAGATTTCAAAGCTGCGATTTTTTCGGTCTTAATTTAATTGGTGTTGGACTCTCTCGGCTAACTTTTTTGCCTTACTAATTGCACCCAAGTGGCGTACAATGGTAGATTGGTTCACGCCGAGTTCTACCGTCCATTCCCGGGTGGCTTTGGTTGGGATTTCTTCCGCTACTGTCAGCTGATCGTTGCCAATGATAGAATGCCGGCCACGACCTAGTGATGGGTAGTTTGTGAACGAACTAGTTCAAATGAAGTAGTAGGAACTGTGAGGACCGGTCTCACTTTGGGTGAACTATAATTCTCTGTTGAACTATAGTTCCCGTAAACTACAACAAATTGTAGGAATTGTAGTTGTTTTCTTTAGGAAATGTAAAGAGGAGGCCAAGGCCTATGTCCTTTACTAGAGAGATTTAAAAAAGGATTTGAATTCCTTGAAAATAATTTTTGATTATCGCATTTTTAGTATTAGGTAAGTTAAAATACTAAAACAGCAGACATAGACAGATTATTGTTGAAACATATTAATATTTTAAAGGATGAAGACAGAAATGTTTAGTTGCTTTTAGTTTTTAAAATTGTAAATACTGTCCTAAAGTTGTTAATAAATTATTAATTTTATGCGCGTAGATTTTATTACATAAAATCAATTGGAAGTCAAATATACAGATTGTTATTACTGAAAATATGGTACTATATCTAGTACCATATGTGTTACTTTACACAGCGCTAAAATCGGAGTGAACTAAAGAACTATAGTTCACTGAACTAACTCAATAAGGTGAACTGAACTGAAGAGACTACTTTCTTAAAAAGAAAGATTGTGCCCATCAGTACCACGGCCAGTGCCGCTCTTAGACATTCGGCACCCTCGGGTAATGACGTCATCTGCCGCCCCCCTCCCCCCTCCCAAAAAATGTAATTTATTTATTAAGCTGTTTTATAATATATAATATTTCAATTTCATTTCATTCAATATTTCTCTAATACAGTTACTTTATTGATAAGCTAAAGATAATTATTTTAATACATTTGTATACTTTTTTTAATTTTAACAAGTGGTCTTTAAGATCGGTCGGCAATCCTAACAGGCGCCCCTCCAGATCGGCCCTCTATGCAGCGTAGTGCATTTGTTAATAGTTCACTGACCCCATACTTCACTGATGTTACGAGCAGTTTGCGCAATGCTGCATAATAGTTTAAATTCGTAAAAATAAGTTCGACGAAAATCGCATTTTTTTTCGATTCGATACCTATAAACACTCTGAACAAATGGTCTTACTAATTAATTTTTAGTGAAAGAGAGGGTATTAGAAAAGGTTAATTATGGTATATAAAAAATGAATATTTAGCAGTGCCGGCCTTAGGCATTCGGCATCTCCAGGCAATATCATCTCCTTAGGACTTAATATTTGCTTAGGATTTGTTTTGTATACACAATTGGTACTAAAACATAATAATGGCGGAAACCTGCACTATTTCCGAATTAACCCTATGTTTTATATGTATATTTATGTCTTAGATGGGTGGACGCAATTTAGTAGAGATTTTTGAAATTCGAAAAGTAACTTCACTCATTATTATTATAATTTTTTAATTATATGATACTATTACTATTATCATTAGATGTGACAGATTGTAATAGATCACAATAAAGAATTGTCGAATAAAAAAATGTTATGGCGTTTCGTCTGTCAGGCCATCATCAGTTGCTTTGAATTCTCAAGAATTCCTTTTTTTTCGATTATTTTTACCAGGTTATTCGAATAATAAAAAATAACCGGTCATTACCGGAACAACAAAATAACATAATACGTAAGAAAATATCCGTTTTTTTGTTAAACGGTAGGTTATTCCCGTTTCTACGGATATATACATAGGATGTATAAATTTCCTAAACATTATTTCAGTAAGCTATTATTAGGCCTAAGGAATCTGCCGTTGCTAAAAATTTCAATTCACAAAAAAATATTAAATACAGTGTATTTCAACCGAGTGACTCATTTATATACATGATTACTAAATCTCATATTAATAAATATTTCGATTACTGTAGTTTTGAAGAACAAAAAAAAAAAATCCTCGTTTACAATAATTAAATAACCTATTTATTATTTTATATTTACAACTCCTGTCATGACCACTGCAGTTGTCCCATCAGGTACTCTCGACCAGAGGTGTTCAGAATCAATCAAAATTTTTGAAGGGGGTACATTTTGCCTGTTCTGAATTTTTGAGGGGACACATTTCGAGGGGGTTATGGATTTTCGAAATGATAAGTTTCAAACTAGGTGATAAGAGGGGAACCATGGAGCAGACCACTGAAAGTGTTATTGTATGTGACCTATGATTTTTTTAAATTCTAGTTTAGCTTATACTGTTTTGAAAGAGAGGAGAGCAATACAATATCTTGAGAAGATGGGGAGGTACGACCTTTGGGGGAATGAGCAACACGGCTTTCGACTAAGTAAGATAGATTTAAAATTATTAAGAGAAAGGAGATACATTTAAATGATAAATCCCCTGAATCAAACCAGTACTATTACATGCAATATTCTAGCATGGTATTTTAAAATTACCAAATGTTCAGATAGTGGTTTCAAGTCTCCATCAGGTGGCAAATGCATGAAGATACCATGAAGTAAACCAGACCTTAAAGTAATCTTCAAATATTGTATATAATCATTTCTAACTTTGCAATCTTCCAAGTTATCCGTAGCTATGCCACACAATTTTCTTACCCATTCAGCACAACGTACTCGGTCTAACATAAAAATAAAACGTATTACGATAATACATTAAACATAACAGTATTTTCAATTTTATTTTATACGTGAATATTTTCTTACCGTATTCGGATGTTAAATTTAAAGATGTGTAAGCTATTTCTTTTAATGCAATTTTGAATTCTTCTACGTCTTTATAAGACATGGGTGTTTCTAATTTTTTTTGTTTTGTTATAGTGTAAGCAAAACAGCTGGTAAGTATGGTTAAATGTTTTTTAACAATTGTGAAAAATGATTTAATATTCATATATATGTTTTTATAAAATGGTCTTCACTACCTTTTGAAATAATGTAAGATCATTATTCGATGATATTTTTTTCTGGCATAAAATGTTTACCTTTAACGGTTTTTCTTCACAAATTGTGGTATGAAGATGGTTGACCGCAGATTATAATTTCAGAAAAAAAACGTGGACACTCGTAACCAATACATACATAGATGCCGCTTCATTCCGTCACTGAGACTGGGCCTCCTCCAAAAGCTTTCGCCAATCAATACGATAAGCTGCAGCAGCTCTTCAGTTTCGTACTCTCAGTAGAGCCCATGCGTCCGATGTCACTGAGGCCTCCCATCTTACATTTGGCCTGCCAACTTCTCTTTGTCCATGCATCTTTCCGGACAGCATTTTCCTGGGTTTCGCCGAATCATCCATACGTGCGACGTGCTCGGCCCATCGAAGATGTCCTCTCATGATAAACTTTACCAAGTCTATATCGTTATGGAAAGTTCGGTATTTCTCCTTCTTCTCCAAATTCCAACCTCTCTAACAGGATCAAAAATCCTTCTCAAGATAGATTTCTTAAAGATCAGAAGTCTATTTTAATCTGGCTTCTTAAAGGCCCATGTTTCTGATGCATAGGTTAAAACAGGCAGGACCAAAATTTTGAATAGGTTGATATTGGTCCTGTTAGAGAGTAACCTGCTTCTAAAATGCTTCGAAAGGCAGCACCGTTTCGCTATTGCTATCCTCCTGTTGACATCTCGAGAGATGTCGTTTTTGGAGTTGATCTCAGATCCGAGGTAGACGAACCTGCATATCTGCATACCTTTTCGAAATTATACGATCCAGCCACAAAAGAAAGTAAGGCCCGTGGCCTATCTCCCCCGACTCGCATATATTTGGTCTTAGCTTCATTAATGTGTAGCCCAAGTTTCTCTGCTGCATCTTCTGCATCTGATTTTTGTTTTGTTCCGGTATATGCAAAACAGCTGGTAAGTATGGTTAAATGTTTTTTAACAATTGTGAAAAATGATTTAACATTCATATATATATATATATATATATATATATATGGTGGTACGAGGAGCGCCCAGCAGGGCTCCGAGTCTATATAAAGATAAAATGTTCTAGTAGATCCATAAGTCCATCAAACGTTTCTTGGCTTTATACCGCTTTTGGTTTAGAAACCCAGCTATTTCTGCTTGTAGAGGAGTAACCAATAAAAACACCAATTTAAGATAGCGAAAATACTCGAAATGATCATATTAAATGGTATAGAAATGGTCTAATTATATAGAAGATGAGTAAAACAATAGTTCCAATAGTTAAACAACAATCCCTTTACGATAGTTAATTTAAGTGATTTTTTCTTGGGTGATAAATTGTCAGGAAAATCAATAACTTTTTCTATTATGAGAGCACGGCAGATCATATATGACGTATTAATTACAAATATACGCATCAGTTACAACTTTCGAAGTGAAAAATCCTTAAAACTCTTTTTTCGCATCCTTCTTATTCTTCCTAGACCTTAGTCCATCTCGCTACGCACTGACGGGTCCAGGATTTAATTTTGGAGAGGCTCCAGCCTGAAATTTTTTTTTTTGTATTTATACATTACGATAATTACCTCGGACGAAAGAAAGAAAGAAACTAAAAACCTAAATGAAATGGCGTTTAAGTGATTCTTTAGGTCTTACTATATTTAATTAGACGAGCAATAATACTTTTAATGATTTTTTTTTCATAAAGCATGGTTATATTTTACCATTTTGGGGAGGGGCTTCACCCCGAAAGCCCCATCCCCATCTGTAGACCCGCCTGTGTCGCTAGGTGATCCAGATTATGAATTGTATAGGAGATAGATTATCGCCCGTTTTGATAAATAAAATACTTCTTAGTACTTGAACACTTCCAGTGTTCGGAACAAGGCCCTGATGATGACCCACACACTTGGGTTGAATCGTCGGCACCAATAAAAACGCTTAACAATGACTAAGTTCAGACTATTTATCACCTATGATATGTAGAACAATAAACTAACTTCCTTCAATAAATAGTTCCATAATCTCTAGTAAGTAACTGGGTAAATTGGTTAGAGCAATAGATTATTGGTGTATCTTAACGCATAATCAAACGATATGTAAGTTCAAAATAATTTTAATTTATAACTTAAATGGTCTTGGAATTTATAACATTAGGTGACATTTGTAAAACTGATGTATGTTATATTCAAGGATATAAAAATTATTTTTTTTAGTATGCCTAACTAAACCAATATTTGCAAGAAATTGAAAGAAAATTCATCAGCCCAGTCCAATTTTTTTGGACAATTTAGCTAACAATTTGCTAACAATCTCCGAGAGGAAAAAGTTCATAATTCTGACAAAATTACTGTGCTCATTATTTCTTAGTAATTTAAATTGCCCAAAGTTGGCAGGAGTTTCGGAAATTTTCTACAACTGGTTAAAATGCAAAAGTATTATGTTCGCAATCATGAGACCAGAGTCTACTAAATGATATGTAAATTCTTGTTCGGAACACTCTTATTTGTTCTTTTTACTTTCACTTACCTATAAATGAAAAATATAGTAAGGGATAGAATCGCGATCTTGAACATTTTTGAATATGAATTTTCAACGGAAATACATGTTTTGAGATCTTTTGAATCCAAATAACCAAATCCCGCAAAATGGTCTGTGAACATCTTTTTTTTTTTGCTTCCTCACAACCGAAGGTAGAATCATTGTATTCGTGCGATAGGTTAAAAAAAAAAATGTGCTCAGAATCGAATATTTCCACTCGCGTTATACGTTTCAGACATCAAGGACCAAATTTGGTTCGATGTCTGTCTGTAGTCAAATCGATGTAACGGGCATATCATCTATTACCGTTTATCCGATTTTCATGAAATTTTTAGGGATTGTGCGGGTTGATGTCTAGAGGGTCCCATGTCAATTCTATCAGTGTAAAATTGATTTCATTTTACTTTCACTTACGTATATATGTAACATATAGCAAGGGTAAGTATTGCAATCGTGAAAATTTTTTAATCTGAGTTTTCAACGGAAATAGAACGTAAGGAATATAATTTTTGCTTCCTCAGAATCGAAGATTTCCACTAGTGTTTTACATTTCAGACATCAAGGATGAAATTTGGTTCGGTGTCGATGTGAGGGGCATATACCGTTCATCTAATTTTCATGAAATGTTTAAGGATTGTGCGATTCGGTTTGGTGTCTAGTAGGTTTGGTACCTTGTTCCAGTATACCCTAGCATCCTACTCCTGTCGGTATGAGAGGTTTAGGTTCCAGGGTGGGGATGCATATCTCTGAATACTCAAAACTACTCCTTTATGTACTCATTGTAGCTGAGTATCTGAGACCTCAGAAGGCACCTCCGATACGACTGAGTCCATTTAGGGCCACTGTGACTCTAGTTCTCATATATAGTCGAAGTGCGGAGTCACTTTAAACTTTTGACCAATTTGTATGCCAAGATAGGTGACAATCTCACTAGGACCCTTTCTTCTTCTATACTCAACATAATATGATGTGCCCTGTCAGCCGTGCCCCTCCAGAGAATTTCCTGGGTCTTTATTGCAGCCATCTTCAACTTCTTTCTCTCGCACCATCTTCCTATCAAACTGGCGCATCGTTCAGGTTCTGCTTTCAGACCGGCTATGCTGTTTGAGGCCACTACGGCGGTAAAATCGTCAACATAGGCTGTGACCTGTTATGTGTGACGATGTTTAGTAGGGAACCGCTCTCCTTCGAGATTCTCCAGCAAATCGTCAAAGACTAGCTTCCACAAGGCGAGACCCAGAACAGATCCCTGCGGGCAGCCCCTCTCGACGGTGTATTCTACTTCAATGAATCTACCCTAATTTTCAATGTCCGGTCCTGGAGGTAGCTTCTCACTATTTCATACAGGTTACTGGGAGTTTCATACTTCACACTCGGCCACCACGCGCTGTCAAATGCAGAGGATGTGTCAAAGAGGAGAAGCATAACAAACCTCTCCGCTCTTTCTTCTACGTCATGACGCATTCTCAATATGGCATCTGCCGTTCCCTTGCCTTAGTGAATCCATAGTGGCGGATGGCTCGATCTTGATAAGACTGGTCGAAGGCTCAAGACCACCAGGTTTTCAAATACCTTGCTCATTACAGGGAGGAGTCAAATAGGCCTGTATGATTTGGCAAGTTGCTTGTCCTTGTGTCTTCTTTCGTAGAAGAGTCTGACATCAGCAATTTTCCAGCTTCTTAGAAATTATTCCCTATCGAGGCAGTCGTTGAGAATCGCAAGCAGACTATTCTATAAATAGTAAATACTATTCTTGAGCATTGCCGCATCAATCGCATCTGAACCTGGGGTCCGGCCAGTCTTTTGCCTTTCCACGGCACTACGGAGATCCCAAATGTCCCACGATGGGCACAAGTCCGTTCCAGGCGGATATACCGTGGCTCTTCTCTCAAATGCTTGGTCATTATCATCCTGTGATGTATCATCCCTGGGATGTCTTTTAAATAAACATCTTCGCCGTTTCCTCCAGAGTGTCTGCATGAGTGCTCCCTTGCTTCAGTGCTGTAATGGCTTGTTGTGGGATCAGTTTTCCAAGGACCACCCTTGGGATACCCCAGAGTGTAGTATAAGACTGTAACCTCTATTTATAAATTATAATATAATCGATTACACATGTTAATTAGATAAAGACAAGACAGATGGTATATTTTGTAATAAATAATAAAGCACACCTACGTTTGCTCTAAAGGTATTTTTATTAATTAATTATACATATTACATGGTGTCAGGTGAAATACCTACAAATTGAAAATGAATAATTCTAATTTGCGGCTACAATCTCTTCAATTTGACAAGAACATTGCAACGAAGTGGCCAAAATGGAAACAGGCCTTCATTCTCTATTTAAAGGCTATAGAGAAGTATAAATCAACAGATGAGGAATTGAAAATAGCTCTTCTATTAACACAAATGGGTGAGGAAGCCTTAGAAATACATTCTACATTCCAAGGTAAGAAAGATACTTTAGAAGCTGTTATAAATTTATTTGAAATTCCCTCTGAAGTTAAGATTACGCTTAGCAATGATGCGGTACCTGTGTGCGGTACTGTGAGGTCAGCGAGGAGACTTCCAGCCTCTCTCAAATCTAAACTTAAAAAAGAAATCAATAGGTTAGTGGACTTAGGAGTAATAACACCAGTAGAAGAGCCTACAGATTGGGTTCATGACATAGTGGTAGTTGAAAAGAAAGATGGATCTATTCGGCTGTGTTTGAATCCCATTCCATTGAATAAATACATAAAAAGGGAACATTATAGCATACCTACTCAAGAAGAACTAACTGCTAACCTTAGTGGAAAAAAATGGTTTACTGTGCTCGATATGAAGGAAGGGTTCCATCAGTTTCCTCTAGATGAGAATTCGAGTCGTTTATGCACTATGAATACCCCATTTGGTTGATATCGATTTCTAAGAGTGCCCTACGGTTTGTCTAATATTCCTGAGATATTTCAAAGGGAAAATACAAAAATATTTGGAGACATAGAGGGAGTGCAAATAATGTTCGATGACATAATAGTTTCGGGCCGAACAGAAATTGAACATGCTAAAAGTTTGGAAGAGGTTATAAAAAGGGCCAGACAGTCCAACATTAAATTTAATAGCAAGAAACTCCAGTTTAAATTAAATGAAGTTAAATATTTGGGACTAGTATTTGGAGCAGATGGGATCAAACCGGATCCTCTCAAGGTAAGAGCCATTTCTAATATTAAAGAACCTCAGTCTCCGAAGGAAATTCAAAGATTTTTAGGTGCAATAAATTTTTTGAACAAATTTATTCCAGCCTATTCACAAGTCACCGCCCCTCTTAGGGAATTATTGAAAAAGAGTGCTCAGTGGCAATGGTCTGATTCACAGAAGCAAGCTTTCTCTATTATAAAATCTTTAGTTTGTAATGCGCCCACTCTCAAACTGTTTGATCCGTCACTTAAAATTGAGATCCAATGTGATACCAGTAAGGATGGGCTTGGAAGCTGTTTATTCCAAAACGGGCAACCAGTCGTATTTGCATCGAGAAGTCTTAATGACTCAGAAAAGAATTACAGTCAGATAGAGAAGGAGATGCTTAGCTTATGCTTCTCGGTCAATAGATTTCACCACTTTATTTACGGTCATAATAATGTTGAGATTTTCACGGATCATAAACCGTTGTTAGCAGTGCTGAATAAGGAGCTGTATAAAAATTCTTCAAGACTCCAAAGAATGCAACTGAAGCTATTAAAATATATTTTTTTATTATCCTATATACCAAGCTCAAAAATGTATATAGCGGACATGCTATCAAGATCCTTTCTTGAAAAAGAGGGACCGGAAGACGTAGACCTTTCTCAGGTGGTTCATGCCATTACGCTAGAAGAATTGTTGCCGGTGCCATCAGAGGATATAAAAATCTTGCAAGAAGCCACCAGGGATGATTTCAGTGAACTTAGAAATTGTATCAGGAATGCTTGGGAAGGAGTTCATAAAAAGTGTTTGGAACGTGAAATAAAGGTTTTTTATGGGCTCCGAGACGAACTTTCAGAAAATAGAGGAATTTTATTTTATAATGATAGAATTATTATACCACCGAGTCTCCGACGTCACTTCGTAAGCCAAATTCATTCTAAAGCTCATCTTGGAATAAACAAAACCGTTTCCCGCATTAAGAGCCTTATGTATTGGCCAAATATGTCCGAATACATTACAAACTTCATAAATACATGTTCCACGTGTCAAACCTTCCAAAACAATAAACCTAAAGAACCTCTTATAACATCTGAAATTCCTAAATTTCCGTTTCAAGTTATTGGTATGGACATAGGCGAGTGTAATTCGAAATTTTTTCTGGCTGTAGAAGATTACTACTCAAGATGGTTGGATATTATACCGCTCAAGAATAAAACATCCACTGAAATTATAAAAAAACTAAAAATTCTTTTTAGCAATCATGGCACGCCTGAAATTGTACGTTGTGATAACAACCCGTTCAGTAGTGCAGAAATGGCAGCTTTTGCCAAACATTGGGGATTTAAAATTTGTACATCTAGTCCTCACTACCCTAGATCTAATGGTCTCTCGGAGAAAGGGATAGGTGTCGCGAAGAAAATGATAAAGAAAGTCTATTATTCAGGAGGAGACATTTATGAAGCCATTCTAGAATACCGAACAACTCCCCTTTCTGGGCTCGAGTATTCTCCAAGCCAACTGTTGATGGGTCGAAGACTGCGAACCAGGGCGCCAGCAAGCATTGATCTCCTTATTCCCAAAATACCAGACGATGATGTGCGCCAAAGAATGGAGCTTCTAAAATTCAAAAGTAAAAAATATTATGACTCAACTTCTCGTCAATCAGAGGGGTTCAAGATGGGACAACCAGTTTATGTTAAATGGAAGGATCGATGGAAAGAAGGATCTATTACAAAGGTTCTCCCTGAACCAAGATCATACTTGGTCAGAGACCAATATGACAACGAATATAGAAGGAACTCATCCCACTTAAGACGCCTCACCACACCTAACACGGATCCTCTACTCAACCCAACTGATTCTGATTCTGATCCTCTACTCCAACCCTCTAATGCTTTATTTCAGGAGGAACAGAGACAGTCTCCGCGTCATCCGCAGAATGGTTCTTGCCTGCTGTTACCAGGACTGTCAAATTCCAATGATCAAGCTCAGCAAGCATCTCCAACTAGTGAAGGTATGCGCACCAGATCGGGCCGCCTGGTGAAGCCACCGAAAAGACTTTGTGAGGATTAAGGGAAGGGTGTAGTATAAGACTGTAACCTCTATTTATAAATTATAATATAATCGATTACACATGTTAATTAGATAAAGACAAGACAGATGGTATATTTTGTAATAAATAATAAAGCACACCTACGTTAAAGGTATTTTTATTAATTAATTATACATATTACACAGAGATTCTTCACTGACTCTTCCTGGATGAATTCATCCCATGATCTTCGATTTTGTGAGCGCACCTTGTTCCGGTATACCCTAGCTTTAGACCTGAACTCTTTACGAAATGTAGCACGCCTCTCTTCGTTACTACACCACTGATATGACCGGCGACCACCATAGGACAGGTCGTTCTCTCACTTTGCGGTGTTGGAGGGATTTTTCCGCGGCATCTCTAATGAGTTCGATAATCCTGGATACCTTGTAATCAAGATTTTGACTTATCACCCCAAGCATCCTTCTCTTCATATTTATTTAAATCATTTCCGTAATCATCGATTCATGTTTCTACCTCATAGTTTGAAAGGTAACGATCTAAAGATTAAAAAGAATGAAAAAGCTTCAAGACAGACTTAATTGAATAAAAGCCAACTTAAAATACCATGAGCAAAAACAATATATTAAATTAACTTATACAGTATTAACTTCATATGTAATAACGTTGGTAATTATAATTATTGTAACAGTGGCAACACTGTGTTATATTGGTGGAAAATATTTAGAATTGAATTTTGTTTATAAACATATTTCTGAAGTACTAATTCAGTATAATTTGTGTTTCTACACTTTAAGTGTTATTAATTATAACAGGATTCATTAATTATGAGCAACGGAGACAAAGAAACCCTGAAATTCAACTGCCTTGGTCGCCATAAGATGACTAGGCAAATTTTTCTCATCTCCTACTTATCACCATTTGAAACTTCTGGAACGTAATTTGGCACAAATCAAGTGAAGAAAATGCCTTCAGAAAATAATAGACGGAGTGAGAGACATGGACGTGGCAATACTGTAAGTTGTTCTTATGTGGATTTGTGAAAGGTTATCTTTATAGGATATACAACTATTGTAGTCATTTAAAATGATTTTGAAAAGGAATTCTAAAGATACCTAGTCTTATTAACTTATCCTTTGTTTGTTGGCGACTATTAACCCTTATTAAATGGGATTTTTATCACAAATCTGAAAAGAAATAGATACTTAACAAATAATCATGTTTTTTATGGAAAGTTAATATGAATGATGCCATCTTCGCAGTATATTTTTTAAAAATAAAATTATTGAATTAAAAAATGGAGTAGTTTCTTAGGTTCCTTTGCCATAAGCCTTTGGTCTTTATGATTCCTTAGAAAACTTAACTAAAGGTTGTGAAATGTTACATTTTAGTTTTTATAATTTGAGTAGAAATTTTCTCTCTATTCTGCTTATTAATATTGTCTTAACTCAATTAAACTTCATGGTCGCTTAACAGCTTGTACTTACTCCTTCACTTAGTTAAATAACCCAATATTGTACTCACTGAGACCTATTGGGCTGATTTAGAAGAGCAGGCACCTTGGTTTGTTTATTTTTTAAAAACATTTATAACATGTGATTAGTTTTCAATCCATAATTACAACACAGCGGCTGTTGATTAGAATTATGGTTCATCTAGATAACGCTAAAGTTTTAAGGCCATGACACGAGTGAAAAATTTAAAAATGATGAATTTGTCATACCAATCAAAAATAATGGGAATTTCTTGAAAAATTGATAAATTTCAATTTTGATATCTTAAAATAAAAATAATATATATATATATATATATATATATATATATATATAGAATGGAATGGGGTACCACAGTGGTAGGGCATTGAACTTCCAATGCTCAAAGGACCCAGGTTTAAATCCTGTCTCATGACAAGAAAATTATTTATTCATTTTCATTGGCCGTGGGATGATCCTGGGGTAGGGAGACCCTCCTGGGGCAAACCCTATAAAGTGAGTTTATTTTTGCATATTATACATTATATATATAAAAAATTAAGAATTAAAGACCTGTTTCTTATGACATTTTCCCTCCTGGTACCAGTTCACATGTGTAATGTCTGGTTGACAGGTTAGTCAAGATCACATTTTAGATGGAATTTAAAAGTAGTGGAGTGTTTAAATCTAAGTTCAAAGATAGACTGACGGCTATAACAATGAAGAAAATATAGTAGCTCTTCTCAAGTTGGTCCTTACTAAGATTGGTCACTTCTGTATCTTTTTAGAAACATTTTCAGGATTTTAAGATCGATGTGATCTTGACCCTTTAGTCTACCACACTTGACCCTTGTACCTTTTTTTCTTGGAAATTCTAAATATTTAGGTGTGACTAATATCGTTAAGGTATATACATTTACAACATTAGTTTTCTTTTTTACCTTAGTATATCACTATTTTGGTAAGGCTCTCTTTCAGCTGCCGCTGTCACCTGGCCCAGTACTTGACATCAGTGATGATGAATTGGTAACAATATCGGTTCGAGATTTGAATCGTCAATTGAAGTTGAGAGGTCTTTCCCGAGAGGATATTATTAAAATGAAGCAAAGAAGAAGGACATTAAAAAATAGAGGATATGCTGCTAGGTATTTAATAAGTCTTTTTAAAATTAATATTTCCTTTTAATTATTAGTGTATTAGTGGAAATAAAAAAAGTTCATATTTAGCTAAAAATTGAAATAACAATGTGTCTGAGAGGTATGGTGGAGACTGAGGGAGTAGTATGAATCCAGCATGGCGTGGTAGGTTTATAAGTGCCAAATACGATGCTGTCAAACATCTCTTAGCCCTATGCTATAATCATGCATTTGTTAAAGCTAATAAAATACATTTTATACTAAATATTTCTAATAAGAGACGGCAGGGTGATAGAAAAAAAAAAACAGAAAGATATATCTTGGATGAATGTTATATAGCTTGAAACTCTATTCTAAGGTGAAAGGTATAAGATACCCAACAGTATAAATAAAAACTAAAAATTCATGGAAGAACCACTTTTTGCTGATAACTTAAAAAAAAATGATTAATTATGTTTTCTAATTAAAAATCATACTGTAACAGTTTTATAAATTTAAAGAAATTAAAATTGAAAGTTTTCATGGAAAAGCATACAATTTTAATTAAAATATTTTTTTAAAACTAATTTAGTTAATTATAATTTAGGGAATGTTCTTCTTTACCATTTCTTGAATTGGGTATTTCAAAATTATTTAACTACTTACCTGTATTAATTTTCCTCTCCGGAGCTCCTTAAATCTAAGGTGCTAAAACAAGGTTAGTTAAGGTCCTTTTCTTAAATTTATACATCAAACGATACTTTGAAAATCACTATATTTAGAGCAATAATATATCTTCAATTATAACCAATATTCAAAAATAAATTTATGTTGTATGTCTATGTACCTTCATTTATTTAGCTCCTGTACCTGAAGTAGAAATATCACCTTCACTCCTGAAAATTTATATTAATGTCTATTTCTCCAAACAATTTCTAACTTAATCATGTATAAGCCTATAGAATTTGTTATTCCATTTAAATTTGTGGATATTGTGAAACTACTGTATATGTGAATCTGTTATGATTGTTCATCTTTCAATAGTTGCCGAATAAAACGAATCGAACAAAAAGATGAACTTGAGACTGAGAAATCTCAAGAATACCGAGATATGGAAATGATGCAGGAAAACAACAATATGATGAGGGAAGAGCTCGAAGCACTTTATGGAAAATATGAAGCTCTGAAAAAATTTGCCACCCTCAAGAAGATTCCTATTCCTCACGAGTTGGAATCTCCAAATTAAAGGCTATGTATAATAATGGTGAGGATTATAAGTTATTTAATATATAAAATATACTAGTGTAGGTGTTTATTCTCTATTAAATGTGCTACAGTTATCTTAAATTAAAATATATATATTGTAAAGATTTTAATTTTCTTAATAGTAAAATAAATAATGAGAAAAAATAATTATTATAATTAAATAAAATTAGAGGTACTTCAGAGGAATAAACTTGAAAATTTTCCATACAAGTCTTGCAGACGGTTTAAATGAGGTCAATATCTATGTTATATTAGAGATTATTTAATTTTAGAATGTTTAGAGCCATTTACGATCAGTTTGATGTAAAAGTTGCCATAATATTGATGTTGCATCCCTTGCTTAAATAAGTAATTTCATTTTTGTACTACTTTTTTTAAGGTGATAGGTAAGGGAAAGTAAAAAAAAAAATGGTTTTACAAAAGCTAGATTTGCCAAAGAATCAAATTAAAAAATATTTAGTTGAATACTAATTAACTGTTTGTATAATAAATAAAACTACCCTAGTCCTTTCTTTTTTACTTAAAATAATAAACATAAATGTAAAAATATTTTATGACTTAATTTTTATTGATATTTAACTTTATACAATTGAAATGCAGTTGACTTTGAAAAAAGTGGACTCAGTTAATTTTTAAATTAATCGTCTAATATGCTATCTGAACTATATTTACTTCAACCATTAATTTTTTTTTTCAGGTGAATTTAGTTGGTGACTTCTGATATAAGGCCAATATTGGGAATAAGAACAACAAAATTTAGGAAGATTCTTTGATTTTTTTCTGAAGTTCCATTTATACATTTTTATGGTTAAGGAGTAATGCATTACACCTTAACCTTTTCCTAGAATAAGTAACTTTGTCACATTTTCTGATTTATCAGAATAGGATTTATTATAGAATCCTATAAAACATTCAAGACAAATTGCGCCAGAAATAAAAAAGTTTAAAACAATTAAACTTATTCTAAAGAATCCTGTGATTTATAATATTGGATATAAATTGTTATAGATAGCAACATTAGTGGGTATTCGTATTTGACTCATATTTAATTATTTTATAAAAGTGGTGTTAGAAGGAAGGTGTATTAGATTCTAAAAGTGAGATGAATGTATTTTAAAAGTTAGTTTTTTTGTTTGGGTTAAGAAACATAAACCACCTGGGTCATCACACCTGTGTTACATTCGTTTATTCTTGTGGAGTTAAGAAACTCTTAAGAAAAAAAATATTGAAAACAAGTATTTTATAAGTATTCTATTTGTGATTATAAAAATATGCCTAATTTTTATGTTCAATTTCTTTTTTTATTTAGTTATGTTAATATTAATTATTTTATTTATGTTGATTCTTATTTCTCTACATTTAGTAAATAAACATAATTTATATTATTTATTAATAAGAAGAGAAGGAAATTGATTTTATTTTCTTGTTAATATTAATTAATTGAAATAAAATCATTTCTTATTAATGTTTATGTGAATATTATCTTAAAATCGATATTTTAATATTTCAGTAAGTAAATCTAGAAGTTGTTATTTAATTATATATAAAGTGTTTTATATTCAAATGTTTGCATTATTATTTTATCTTCCTACATAAAAAATATAGAAAAGTTTTTTTAAATCTATTTATTAGTTATGGTTTGAAAAAATACTTAAATAAAAATATTAATTAGTATTTACAAAACAACCAAACATCTATTTGTATATTAAATTACACGTGTGACTTCTGAAATAACATTTTGGACTCTTTAATTAGTCAAACATTATTTCAACATTGGTAACAAGAGCACAAGTTCTAGTTAACTTTTTTGTTTTTACTTAACAGTTGGTAACCTATCACCTCTTTTGACGAGGCTGTTTATTAATGAATAATTAAAACCAGTAATGTGAAAATATTGGGTTGGCAAATAAGTCCTTTTGGTTTTTCTGTTTATTTTTACGTCACTATGATACACTTTTAATCTGATGAATTAATTCCTAAAGTGGATAGTTTATCCTGCTTGTAATATGTCAACAACAATATCTGTTAACTCTTGTAACTAGCTTAGTATTGTATTTGCTATTGAACTATAAATATGGAAGAAAATATCATTCATTATCGGCATATTTTGTTGGATTATTTTAAAAAAGGTAAGCGTGCTGCAAAATCTCATAGAAAAATTTGCAGTGTTTATGGGGATGATGCTTTAACCGAATGCACTTGTCAAAATTGGTTTGCATAATTTCATTCATGAAATTTTGACATCAATGATGCTCATGAAATTGCAACGAACAATGTTAAGGGCATTGTTGATCAAAATTCCACTCAATCAGGGCGAGAGATTGCTATGGTCCTAAATATGTTGCACACAAGTATAGAAGACCATTTGCATAAACTCGGCTATGTTTCCAGGCTTAATGTTTGGGTCCCTCACATGATTTTTTTTTCTAAAATCAAAAATTGTTATAACTTCAATACGACTTTAGCTATCTACAAGAAATTTAGGACCACATAAACTTCACAAAATGACGTTAACAAGATATTCGAAAGCTAACAACAAATGGAGATAAAAAATAAATACCTATAAGGAGTTTTTGTTTATTTATTCCTTATGTAGGTATTCAATCAAAAAAACATTCATACGGCTTTGAAGAGCAATAATTCAGCTTTCCAACAGATTTAGTAACATCGAATCAGGAGAACATCCTGCAGAGTTAGGATTATAAATTATTGAGCTTCGGATAGAACCTTTTGCCCCACCCTCCCTATTCACCAGACCTAGCTCCAAGTGACTACCACTTATTCCGGTCTCTGCAGAACACCATGAATGGAAAGAAATTCCAAAAGAAAGAAGACATCAAAAACCACTTAGATCAGTTTTTTAACAATAAGCTCCAAACATGCTATAAATATGGCATTATGCACTTACTGGAAAAAGTCATATTAAATAATGGTTAATATATTGTAGATTAAAATAAATTTTATATCTATAATATATTGAGTTTTATTTCATTCTGAAAAACTAAAAGGACTTATTTGCCAACCCAATAGAACATCTAACAGAAATTTATTTGCTTTTTTAATCCTCAAATTGTATGGAGATGAAATAAAACAATCAGCAAATCGTAAATTTTGTATTTCACATGATTAATAAAGTCAGATAGAATCCATTGGTGTTTGATACATACAATAAATAAAAACAGTTTCAAACAAAAAAGTATTATGTTTTCACTGTAAAGAAGATTAAATATATTTTTTTTTTTAAACTGAAATATAAAAATTATCTTTGCTAATACCCAAGCAATAAATGTTGGAAATTATGTTCATTTTTAAAATTATATTAAAGATATTTCATTTAAACTTCATGGAAAATGTTACATTGTGTAAAGAGTTATGCTGTGCGAAAAACCAAAAAGTTTTTATTTAAGTTCTATCAGACACATTAAAGGTTTGTTTCATCAATGAAATAAGAGTTCACATCTACTTTCAATGTAAATAATTGGAGAAATATCTTACAGATAAACGAAAAAATGAAATGGATAATATCTCAAAACATATGAAAATTAAAACATTTTTTAATGCAGAAGACTTGATGATATACGTTAAAACCATTCCATTTTGCTACTTAGAAGTCCTCATATCTCAGTTGTGGAATAATAAGAACTACCAATCATTAATTCTGAATATCTTGTGTGTCAATAACTATTGATAGTTTTGATATGAGAGGGAACCCTCCAATAATGAAGCAATTTATATTTTAAAAATTAAATAAAAAAGAATAACCAATAGGAAGAAATTTTTACTCATGCTCTTCTGTTACCAATTTAGTAAATTATGATTATAAAGTTAGAATATAATAAATAAAATTCATTGACTCTCAGGATAAATGCATAATAAAAATAAGAAACATAAAAAAGCTTTATTCAATTATGAATTTATTGTCATCAAATTAATTAGCTTTGAAACAACAAAGACATTGATGCTGTTTCCTAGTAGTTTGTATTTTTGTCTTAAAGTGATTTCTTCTGGAAATAAAAAGTTTTCAGGAAAGCACATAAGCCTAGAAACTTCTTTGGGCGTGAAAAATCTTAATTGTAGATCCTCCAATAAGTTAATATTTACTTCTGTCTCACATATATTTTTGATGTCAGATATTCGTTCTATTACTGATTCATCATGTGGGCAGTAAACTGATCCTGTACCTTCAGTAAAACGACTGTATGCTTTAGTAAAACAACATGAACGATTAGATGTCTTTGTTACAATATCCATTACTTTGATCCTTTTTTTCAACACATCTAATGGTACCAAATATTTATTATATTCATCAGAGTCATCATTAAACTCCAAAATATCTTTTATTATTTGCTGTTTAGTTTCATAATTCGTTAATAATTTTGCATCAGTTATCTATAAAAACAAACAAATAATTCAATCACGATCGATAAAGTATATATAAATAAAATAGATGCTGACAAAAAAATGTACCAATGCTTCATAAGGTAGCTGAACAAATTCAGATGGGTGGCGTTTAGCAAGCAGATAGTATCTTTCTCTGCTATTTGGGATACCAAACTGTACTGGATTCAAAATGAATTCCAGAAATGTGAATGAGTTTTTAAGCACTTCCGTCAAGAGATTCCTGGCCTCAGAAACCTCAAAACCAGTCACATTTTCTAATAAAACCATTTTCAATGATTTCAGTTGTGGAAATATTTTAATTAAGCTCAGCAATGAATCGCTCCTCTTATCGTTAATATCTCTTTTTTTTCCCACTCTAAAATCAAATTTTCGCTTAATTAAAGCTATATTGAGACTTGAATAAACACATTTTATTAATATATTTTTTTAAATATACATCTTCAGAAAAAAGTAGGAGAATATAAGTATGTTCTTTTACCAAAGATTAAGGACATAAACCATATTTTTGAGACCAAACTCACCTTTTAAGTCTAAATCAAAAAATTTTAATACCAATTCATCCATTAGACAGAAAATATTGATATTTTTTTCAGTTAGGGTGTCATGTCAGTCAATGAATTCAAAATGAATATGTGCATGGATTTTACTTAATTTAAATAGAAATGAAATATGTAAAGTAAAAAAAAATATGGAATAAATTAGTGTTGGGAGTAGGAATTATAACGGACTAAGGATTTCTTGACATTAAGATCGAATCAGAGAAGCTTGCGATATGAGATGAAACAAAAGGTTTTTTAAATAATTGTCTGTGGAAGGTAAGCACGATAGACAAGCACAATCACATATCAATAAAGACAAAAATGAAATTAAAATGCTACTTTGAGAGAACAGATTAGGCCTCTTACAGTGCTCACACAGGATACAAGGTAAAATGAATATCCATTCCATTTGAGATAAAAATACCAGTTCTTAGTTGATAAAAAAGAAAAAAACCTGTGATTATGCGATTTATTGCATTGAATTTATATCAGATAATGGTAAAAAATCATGCTATGTGAGCAATCCTTTAAATGAATCATTCTTATATTTATATACTTTTATTATAAAACATTGTTTTATATTTCAGATTAACCATATAAATAAACTAACAACTTAACAAAAGGCTTTAATAAATGCTATTTTTTGTGAACTTCTTGACAGCAGATATTTAATCTAAGAAAACTTGGCGCATAAATTTTAAAACGATAAGATATTTTACTTCTTATTTGGTATACTATTTGTTCTTCTTTAGCTCAGTGTAAAGATCAAAACACAACCAACACTTTACAGGCTAGTCCCAAAAAGGATCCAGTTTAAAGAGAATTATCAAGACATCTACTCATGTATGTGTGACAAATCTGATGAATGAACAATGAAGTGTTTGTATATATGGTTTTGTATAAGAAGTGTTTGTATAAGCGTATATATGGTTCATAAAAACATGTGATAGGTCAGCTTTCTGTTCTTAATAAAATGGTCAAAATTATAAATTTCATATATTAAGGTCATTCATAAATAAATAAATTGATTTCATGTGAAAATCTTAATTTATTATAGTAAAAGTTTCAACAAGTGCCTTCCTCTGAAGAAATATGTTTATAAGAAGAGATACTCAAATTTGAATGCACAATATTAATGATCAGACTGATGAGTATGCTATGTCGTTTAGCAACTCGATATAGTTGTGTAGCCTTAACATTTTAATGTACTCTAGCTTTACTAACCAATGCTCACTTAAAAATCGATAGTCCAAAGCACTAGAATGATTTAACAATAAGGGAATGATTACAGCATATTCCCAAAAAAATTACCTGGTAAAAGGTTGACATGGTGGACTCATGAGAATAACATCAATTTCAAGTTTATCAATAAAATCTGCAGTTAAAGACTGAATATTTTTTCCAATAAGATGACAATTGGGAAAATTGTATTTATATACAGAGTTAGCAACAGTATTTATGTCCGCAGCTGCAATTATTTCTCCTGAAATCTTGCTTTCTGATAAATAAAAAAAGATCTACTTAATAACTTCAGTATTAAACAAAGTATTCACATTTGTATACAGATTGTTTATGTACCTTTTAAAGCAAAATGCATGCCTCCTATTCCACTATATAACTCTAATACTTTTAAGCTTTTCATATTTTATTCAAACTAAATTTAAACAAAATTAAAAACTAAGTTTAAACAAAATTGTATTGTTTATTTTGATGAATATACATATAAAAATAAAAAAATACACAATGAAACCTGTTTACATTTAATGACTATATCTATCATGTTTTATTCAATATTTATACATTACTCCACTACTTATAACTAATTTACATCAACTCCTTTGTTTTCCATTTTACAATACATACAATTATATCGATCATTCACGAACTATCTAGGAAAAGTAATAACAAAGAGGTAAAAAGATAAATGAATAATTTGGAGGGTCAGTTCCTAAGAGATTAATGGTGGGCGTCACCGTGACGTAATTGGCTCTTAAAGTGGACTTTTGATTTATTTACTTCTTCACGCTTCCTTGTCTTTCGACAATACAGGATTTCGATTTCATCGTAAATATCAATAAAATTAATGTATCCCCTTTCATTATTTTACGCCCATTAAATAGTACATCGCTAACTTTCCAGGTAGTTCCTTAACACTTTTCTTTGTTTTCATCGGTCTCTCCGGATAGAAATTGCAAAAGTTGCAGCCTTCTTCACGTTACTCCAAATGGACTAGGTCTGCTTTTTTGTCCGGGGTGGGAGAAAACGTCATTCATTTTTCTTTCGTTTACCCATTCGCCACTTAGTGCAGTCAATGAATGGCCCAAAAGATGGTGTAGAGTGCGTGAGCAGAGGACCTCAACGATTCCTTCTGAGACCTATTCACGGTACTTAGGGTGTGATTATATCAAAAGTCCTGACGTCTGGGAGGGAGAGGGAGGAAAAAAGGTCAAAATTTTCAGATATTCGCTTATATCTTAAAAATGGTGCGACAATTGACTCATAATAAATTAAAGCTTATAAAATTATCTAAAACGTTTATCCTATAGGTCTTTTCCGAATTCTCAACTGTTTTCGAGCTAGATGTTTGGAAAAAGTTGACATTTTTGAAAAAAAAATAATTTTTCATCATAACTTCCTTCACAATCTTCCAATCTATTCATCAAAGGAAGAAATTTATTTAAAAGAAGTTGTAAAGATTTTAATTTCCTGTTAGAATATATATATACATTTGCAAATTAATCTCCAACCGGTTAACAGATACAACTGTTAAACTTTTTCGTAAGATGTTGTAATTTTCAGCAAAAATTATTTTTATCATACTTTTGTTCGTTCATCTAATAATATATGTGGCCACACTTTAAATCCAATTATTAAATAAAGTAGAAAAAAAACATGTTACTTGAAAATTTTAATATTGTATTTTACAGATAATAAAAACTTTTTCGTAAAATGTTGTAATTTTCAGCAAAAATTATTTTTATCATACTTTTGTTCGTTTATCTAGTAACGTATGTGGCCACATTTTAAATCCAATTATTAAATAAAGTAGAAAAAAACATGTTACATGAAAATTTTAATATTGTATTTTACAGATAATAAAAAGTTTCATGATAATTTTATTCTATTTTGTTACATTAGGCAAATACAATTAGAAACCTCATTTTTATCACTTATCTCAGTAACTTCTTAATATTAAACACACAATTTTATATGAATTCACGTTTTCATCCTCTTTTGACGTGAGGGTCCTGGCAAGGGTTGTTTATCCATAGCATCTTCACCCTCAGTAGTAGGTGATTCTCGCTGAAAGAGTTTCATGTCGTCTTCGGGAACAGCCATTCTGTTGAGCCACTGTCCTTGGCTGTGGAGGCACGCTGCAGAACAGGTCAGCATTGCTCTTCGGCTTCCTCACTTGCCAATTACACAATCCTTGGTGCAGTCTTGGTAATATGAAGGTTCTTGATCTGATAGTCCCAATAATGATATTTCTCCAGGCACCACTTTTTCTCTTTGTTTCTTTTACTCTCTTTGTCTTTTCAAGACAATTTTCCCCTGTGACACACTGTTTTCGAGGCATAAGACGAAGCCTGAAAATTGTGACCTTTTCTCTCCACTCCTCCACCTCTGCACACCACCTAGAGGTCAGGACTTTTGTTATATTCACACCCTAAGTATCCTGAAGAAATTTCGTGGTTCGAGCACTGAAGGTGTTCAAGTACTTGAAGACCTTCAGTGCTCGAACTACGCCCTTATGATGACCCACATGTTTGGGTTGAAACGTCGGCACTAATAAAAAGTTTAATATGACTGCGTCCTGAATATTTATCACTCACGATATGTGGAACAGTCGACTAACTTCTTTCAATAATTCATTAAAACTTCATAGTTTTATTAGTGGAAACTTCTCACTAAATGTTGGATAAAGTTGTTTGACCTCAACTAATCAAGTTAAATATTTAGACAGGTGGCTTAAGAAGAGAGTAAATAGCAAAAACAACACACTAATGATAAGGTCATCACAGGCATAAAAGTCATACGTACTTTAAATTCTGTACTGTGGAAAAAGGATGTCATGCTCCAAACGAAAAATCACTGCTTTATATGCCTCGGAAATTAGGACCGTTTCAACGGACTCAGCAAGAAAATTGTTATCAATGGAAATGGATTTTTGGAGACGCAGTTGTGGAATATCTAGATTACAACACATTCCAGATAGGCCCATTAGGAAAACATTAAAAGAACCACTTAACGTTCTGTACTCCACCGAGACAAAAAAGCTAAGTTGGTTTGGACACTTTATGAGAAAAGCTGACGACCGATGGCCTAAAAGGATAAAGCAATGGCAGCAAGAGGACTCCGGCAGGAAGACTGCTATATTAGGAACAAATGGCGGCAGGGCTTATTAGGCTACGACATATGACCATAAAGTGTTTTAATTAAGTCGTTTATATGAATATTTTTTTAAACTTTTATTCAAATAACTTTTTTAATAAAAGTTTAATACAAACAGTTATTCTGAAAAAAATCATAAAAGGTTTTTAGAAAAATAAGTAATTTCAGAAATACATTTTTTATATATTTTATACAAAGATAAAAAAAGTAATTTTAGAAATGGCAAAATCGAAAGTTCATTGTTGTCATCATTATACAAAAATCATCAAAATAAACACCAATATGTGTAACCATTAACTCACTCATTTTAGATTATAACAACTTTTATAATCCCAGCCAAGAGCAAAAAAGTTGTTGTTAAATTCACATTTTGGTTGTTCAAAAAGTGTAATGTCACCCAAAAGAAACTTTTTATCATACAGATATAAGAATAACTTTTATTGCGTGAACTTATTCTTAATAAGTTTGCTAAATGCTTTTGAAATCAAACTTATTTTAAAAAGTTTATGATTCTTTTGACCCCTTGTTTAAATTACAGTTAAAAGACTCATGGTGATCAAGCAGCATAATTTTTAACTTCGAACAACACTTGGTGTAGAAATAGGGCAAAAAGTTATAACAAAGTTATTTGTTAAAGAGAAAGTTCCTAGGCTTAGCGTTGGGTTCTTCAATAGCATCGGATCCATATTTACGTTGGGCGGAACAATTTCATCGATGAACTCAGCGTTGGGTTTAGGAACTTGTTCAAAATCACAACTAACAGATTTTTTTTTCCTCCCGAGTGGCATGAATGCACTGCGGCCATGAAGCCCTGTCGTACGCCCGATAAACCAACGGATTAATGCATGAAAATTAAAAACCTTGCATCCACAAGATCATTAGGATTGTAGTTCTGAGGATGGGAGTAAATATCCCGAAACGTAAACTTGTTGACAAGTAACGTTGATAATACAGGAAATATATTCAATTGTTGCTTATTGGAAGTAATTATTGCCAAATAACTAAGAATAAAGACAATATTTTCTAAAAATATTTTACATTATATTTAGAAAAAAATTGTACGTGTAAAAAATTTTTAGTTTAAATGACTTAAAAAGTAATTTTTAAGATTAAACATTTATATTTATATTTAAAATAAATTAAATGATCATCAATTTGAAGCTCAAACAATGGCAAACTTTAGACATGAAACGTTTCATTATTTCCAGACCTATTATTAAACGAATAGGATTCGTTTTAAAACGAACAGGATCCGTTTTAAATCGAATATGATCTATTATGAAACGAATTGGTTTGACGCTATGATCTTACCTTCAGCTTTTTCCAGAAACTGCCGAACACATAGTAACGACCTGCACTGTATTCGAAGGACTTGGGGTCAATTTAAGGAAGAAAACGAGATTGTACGTCATGAAATAGGATGATTTCCCTTCCCTCATGAGACAAGAGAACTACCCGCATTTCGAAGAATTCGTTTACGGGTGGGAGACGACTGTAGGACCGGAACACTTAAACCTTTGTATCCCTAGGAGAAGAGAAGAGGCGGCAGAAGGCGATTCAGAATGAAGATGTGGACTTCAGTTGAAGCACTATCGCCTAACTGGCTGAGGTAACTTGAAAAATTATTTATTCTACCTTCACCAAAATCCATATTGCCGTAAGATAAGGTAAGATAGCGTGAAAATAAATTAATAAAATAAGTTTACTCTATGAATCGTTGCGTTGTTCAATGAATTTTTTTTTCAATAGTTCTTAGGAACTGTTGTTTTTTTGTCAATGAACAGCTCATTTACGTTTTTCAAAAGCAGCAGAAACGTTCGAGACGGTAATGATACTCTTAAAGTAATTTATTAAATACAGATGATTGAACCATGTTTTTTCTGTAATTCTTATTTCGGTCTCGTTTATGTCACTAGGCAATAAAAGGTTCAAATCACAACTAAAAGCATTCAATTGTTTTTTTCTCATCATCTATCGTTTTAGAAAAATATTTTCTATTTATTGTTTGGTGAAATTTGTAGTTATATGATCCAGTAAAAAAAAAAAATAGGTGAAATGCTGTTTTCTCACTCCCTAGTAAAATCACAACCTAGGTGCGCAAAGATACTAAGCCGTACATTGTGAACTATATTATGAGGAGAGGTTTAAGTCTATGGCTATTGAGAAATGGTATGATGGCTGTTCTCAGTATTCACAAATTTAAAAACATTGGTTAATGCATATCATCTGGCCGACTCATTTTATGCCTCTGAGCATTTGAGTTTAAATGTAGGACAAAGTGTTTATTACCCCCTTTTATTAATCCTGAGATGGAGGTAATTCCGAATGCATAAGAACCCTTGCTGTCCCAGCTATCATACAACATCTTTTAATTTTAAAGATCATGTTTTTCAATTTCCCATTATTGTCCTTCTAAATACACATTACTTAATACTCTAGTAAATTTGCTTCAGCTAAAAGCTCTTCTGGTTTTTGCAGAGGCTTGATCCAAGATTTTAATGAGTTATACTTTTAGGAAAAACTAAAAGAATAAGTAGATGTTTTTTTTTTTTTTTTTTTTTTTTTCTTATGCCAGTCGTTGGTCATTTGGCCATCCGACATCTTGCTGCCCAGTATAATTTAGACTTTCTTATATGTATATTCGGAAATATTTTGTCTCTTATGTCCCTCAAGGCAGAACATGCGTCTAGATGGTCTGCATCCATTGTTCCTACTTGACACAATTTACAGGTAGGATCCTCAGCGACGCCTATCTTGTAGAGATGACAAGAATAAGTAGATGTAAGATCAAGAAGAATTGCAATATTTATTCTCTGAGAAACGTTCTTAACATTCAAAGAGACAATTATTGAATATAAGTAGGTTTTGATCACGACTTTCAAGCATAAGACTTGACAAACCACCTAATGTAAAACCACAAAACGAAGAATCTTTACTTTCAAGAAATATATCAACTAAGCGGTGTCTAGGTGTATTTAAGAATTATGAACATGACAAAATTACATATAGTTGCAACATTAAAATATAAATATGAGAGATGCCTTCTGTCGTCTATAGGTTATTAAAACAAAGTGTACTTTAGGCTTTATGTTAAACACTGATATACAGGCTATTTCTTCTATCTCTGCTAACAAGAGTTTGCTGGGGATTTTTATATCTGCTGAGAGTGTGCAGCGTTGAGGTATTGTAGGGTTGTTATTTTAGGGCGATAAATTGCTAGATTATTATGCCCGTGTGCAGCGTTGAGGTCTGTAGCTGTGATTTCTACCTAAAGCGATAATCACTCATGCCAATACGAACAAGCATAACAAATAAGAATAAAACTTGTGGTATTACAGTTTTTAGTTCGAAATAAAGCTAAATAAATAAATCCATGCTGAATAAATTAAAATATAATGCCAATATTTTGCAGTCCACCAGCTCGCACGAAAGCCAATCCTGTTTTCATGTTTAGGTTCAAACCAAATCTTGTTGTAATTTGAATAATTTTTATATTTTCCCTCATTGTGTTGCATTGTATTTGTACGTTTTATCCGGTCTTGGGTAGCTCACCCAATTACTATGCTATTTCTGTAGTCCTTCAATACAGAATTTCGGAATTTTTAAACTTGATACTAAGAATTGAGATTTTCGATTAAATCTTGTTATCAATATAAGTGTTAAAATTGATATGATTGTCAAAGATAGAGTCAGGGTTCACAAAACCCGCACACTTATTTGTGAACCATATGATCAAGTTTCTCTATTCTCTTTTCTTTATATCGGTTTTATATACTGAATTTAAATACCCTTTTATCGTTTTACCTAACGAAATGCTTATATCTTCCTATCTAAAACTATGTTTTATGTTTATAATCAAATCCGTTCTATTAGTATTATTGAATAACTTCAAGGGACTTCTGAAGCCAAGAATTTTTGAACTACAATACGAAGGCTACCTGCTCAGAGAAGTGTGGTTCTCTTTTAGCTAAATTTTTTGTTTGGGGGTTCCATGAAAATGGCTCTTTGCACTCATATTCTAATTAGAAGAGAGTGGCGACCTACAAATAGCCATAGTGAAGTCAGGATAAGCAAAAATTATAATTATAGATAAATATTTTACTCATTAAGTAGTGTGCATTCATAATCAATTATAAAGTTTATTTTTTATTAATCTTTTCCGGCTAAAGATATCATAGGGTAATCAGAGTATGAAATAATTACTTAAAGTTTTAAGAAATTAATTCTTACTTCATTGCTGTATCCTTCTTGATAATTAAACAGATTTGACTGATTTTAAAGTAGTGTTATAATTTAAAACTATATTTTTTCCATTTTCCAAACACTTTGGAATTTAATTGGTTGAGCCAACTATTCCACTTAATTCCTCCGACCTCCAGACTTTGCATACTTTATAATACTATCTTATCTGAGATAAAAGTGTTGATTATCTGTACTTCTCTGGCAATTAATAAACATAGAAGTTAGACATTCACTAATGCTACAGTTAAGATTACGTTGCTCCATGTTTCTCTTTATAACAGTCAAATTTTGTATAAGTTTGTTTCTGTTATTTATTGATACTGTGATATGCATTGTATGATAATGAGAAAACAGACCATGTGTCATTAAAGTTGTGTGTTTGTAAGTAATGATTTCTGTTTTTCAATCATATAGTGGTTTAATAGTTCGTTTTTCTTATTTTTGGAAATAATTGTGGTATCAACAACTTTATCCAGGTTATATATCTGTCAAATATTTTAGTAAATTTAAGTTTTAGGTATATATTTTTACTTTATAGTGATTTATTTTCGTTGGTAGTTAGTTTTATCATATATGCTTCAGACTTGTATCTGTTTTTTTTTTTTTAAATATAAAAATCAGCTATTTTATCTTTCTATTTAGTTGATATATTCAGATTGAATGCACTTATAGCATTAACATGTTGATGGGAGAAATTGTTACACTAATGTGAAACCATTTAATTCAATCCAAGTACATTAATGCCTCTTATTCTTCTAATTTATCTCTTATTTAAACTGCTTATTCATACAGTTTCTAACTGTTTTCAGCAGTAGATACCTAATTTGTAGTTTAGGCATCCTTCTAATAAACTACCAAAATAGTATTGTAATTTTTTTTTTTATCATTGTATTGATGTTGGATCAATTAGGTAAGGGTTAACAAATAGTAGGTAGGTTTTTCTTAATTTTCCAAATAGATATTGTTATGACTGTTTCGTTGCCAATGAGCAGTTTTGTAGGCAGTGTCAACTTGTCCAACATCACCTTTAAAAATAGATGGATAACATAGAATGTAATTAACTGCACTTATTACTATTAAATATTTTTTATACCTAATTAACATTATAATATATGGTAGTAGATCAACAATGATAACTGAAGTTTTAATGGGCATTGACAAAACTTATAAATACATTAATCTTTCGAAACATATCAGTTTGACACCTGATATTGTTTATGCCTTTAATTAAAATGTATTCCTTGTGAAATATATTTTTTATTCCAGATTGAAGAAATGTAATGGAAAAAATAACATTTATTTCAATTTATTAGCCCTCAGTTTTGTTGGCAAAACTTAATAATAGGGGTTAGTTTAGATCTCTGTTTTGTGGTAAATACAGTATCCACCTAACCCTATATTCATGCTTCATGGAGCCAGCCAAAGATTAGCACATTTCAACAAAAGTTTTTTGTTTTAATATGTTCATTAAATTCTGTTCCACATCCCATTTTCATGAATCTTTGTAAACTCAGACAAGTTTAAATGTTTTTTGATGATCCTCTCCCCCCTCCCAAAATCTGCTGCTACTTCTCATCTCTTTCTCGTAGTACCTTTCAGTGTTGAATTAATCTAAACCAGGATCTCCATCTATCTCGCATGAGTTGGCATCTCCTGCTATCTCTTTCCTCTTGCTTGATCCAACTTGAAAATATAGCTGTTATAGGTAAGTATAGACCTTCCTCTAGGTCTAGTCTACTGGTTCCACCTCCATAAAGTTGCGTGGATCTCGTTCAGGGCTTATTCTGCACACATCTCCATACTATCCCAATTGTCTATAAAGATAGAAGGATGGTTATAATTACAGTTAACTTTTAATTTATCATTATTTTTATTTGTTTATTTTGATATTCTATTTTATTTAGCTATTAGGCTCTTAAGCCCACAATTTTTGTTTGCTTTATTTTATTTTAAAAGGTCTGGTCTTGAAATAAATAAAACACGTTATTACATTATTGGATTATCAATGGAATTTATACGGACAAGGTAGAAATATGGGGCTTGAGTGTTAGGTATAGGACATAAGCTTGTCAGAAAAATTTAAAAAAAAAAAAGGAAAAATCTAGTATCAAATGAAGGCATTACATTGAAGTAATATTACTATAGTGTAAAGATGTTACAGTTATTTTAAGTCAAACTTTGTGCACATTTAATCCCACATTGCCTCATTTGATTTTGGTTTATTCAAGTTCCTGTTGCTTCTATTCTTTCTTGCTATTGATTGTTAGTACACACTGTGACGAGTCCTCATAAATCATTATAAAGTGAATCTAATCATAACATACACCAATTGTTCTTTATTTATTTTTTAGCTGAGGGGCCGGTGGTAGATATTTTGCTATAACACAATTACTTGGCTCTTCAATTAGGTTATTCACTGGATATCCCAATTGTGTTAGCAGGGTGGCGACCGACCTGGAAAAATGGAAACGGTCTGGGAATTTTCAAAACTGATAAAAGTCAGGGAATGTTTTTAGTACATAAATGTTTTTTTCAAATTGGAAATAAATATACAGTGGATATCGTTTATAATGACCTAGAAAGGCTAAATTTCGTGGTTAGAAATGACCAAGATTTCTATATTTAAACACCTTTGACTGCCGATTTCGACACTGGCCATTATATTGAAATCAAACAAAGTTAATAAATAAAATTTAGGCAAAATAAACTTTAAACAGTACTTTTTGAAAAGAAAAACATACAATATTATTTACTAATTGTAATATATGCATCTATGGACATTTTTTTATATATAATAATGAACTTCTTAACGGTCTATAGATACATTAAAACATTTTTCAATCTTAGAAGGTTCCGTAGAATTTGATGTACATTCCGGTCAAACATCACCTTCTTAAAAAATTTCATTTAACCACGTTGAATACGTCAGCGTCATGATAATTCTCATGAACTATCGGCTAAACTGCATTACATTCATTGGTTTCAGAAACATATTTTTTTAAAAACAGTATTGTGTCGGGAAATAAATCTTTGTATCCATCCTTACGAAATATTATTTAGAGGTTCACAAAATGGTTCGCGTTTAGTAAAATCTGCCTTCACCCTGATAGCGGAACAGTGAGAAGAACCGATTTTGTCATTGATAGATTATCGTATTTTAGATTTAAAAGATGCACCACATTCAGCATGCTGTCTCGAATAGATTTGGAATTTTTTCAGTTTGTTGAAAGATAGATTTAATTCTTGTGCCAGGCTACTATTAGACTCTTCTAATATATCCCTCTCCAATCGGCAGTATATATGGAATTTTCTTCCAAGGAAAAACTTCTTGCTCTTCCATATTCTTATTACAGTACCAAACAGAAATATAAATTTAACGCTAAGAAGGGGAAGTGACAGTTAATATTGGCAAATGATAGAAACTACATATTATTTAAATTTCATTTACATATTATTTACCTTATATTTTTAGTTAATTCTTGTGGCTACGGTTAGTGCAATAGTGCAATTCAATGGCTGGCAAGCACTCATTCGTTTGACCATTGTGCTCCTTATAAGAGAATTTATTAGCCAGAAATGTCACAGTTTGTGTCAATGGATAATTATAACACTGTTTATAGTAGTAAAGAAACTAAATCATTTATGAGAAACTACATTAATATTAGAATCGTCCTTAGCTCACTTTTTTTTTATAATAGAGAAAATCAGAGCTTTATATGTCAAGTATCAACTTCTACCTCCTCTCAGTTTATGAAAATAAAATAAAGGCGATAAAAATAAATTACTAAAAGTTTAGTTTTAAAAATAAAAACTGTATATCAATCTTAAAAAAGGCTTCCTCTAAAACATTATATTTGTTATTTAAAAGACTAGTTTTTTAAATTTTTATGAATCATTTTGTAGTCAATTTTCTTTCATGTGTAATAAATAAATTTAGTTATAAATTATACATTTTTAATATTTGTGTCATATTGGTCAGAGAAAACTATCATTAAATAAGGAAATTTTACTTTTAACTGCCTGGTAGCCATGGTTAGCCAAATAATGACCAAGTTATTGTTTTTTTAGCATTCTGATCGATATTTAGTATTTAAAAAAAAACACCAATATTATTTCTCAGTAATAAATGACTACAATATTTTGGACAGGAAACCATTATAAAAACATTTTTTTCCTTTAGCCACTAATAATAATAATTAAAAAATATCAGTACACTACAAAGAATACAAATTTCAATTTAATCATAATTTTTGCAAAAATTCATTAGATGAAAAAATTTGAGAGTTTAGCTGCCCTACATATATATAAGGTTGTTTAACATATATGTTTATAATTAATGCATTTATTTTTTTCAGTATTATTTTGTCTACCTAAATTTGAAGAGAATTTTTTTATCTTATAGATTTTATTTATACTGTCTTATCATTCAATATGTGAAACTTTTCATCAAATCCTTTATTGGTAATATGGTATGTTCATTAGTACTGCATTACTATCAACATTTTAGATTAGTTTATTTTCGTTCTATTTCTTTTTTAGAATTTTGCTGATTTTTGAAATCATTGGAAATATTAATCATGGCTTCTTTTGATGAAGGTGTATTTGAAGAAAAATTATTATATTTAAAAGACACACAAGATAGCATAGCTAGTCTATCATCTTGGTGCCTATTGCACAAAGAATATCATGAAAAGATTGTATCAACATGGCTTAATGTACTAAAAAAAGGTAATCTGTAAAATTCATTATCAATTTATTTATATGTTTTTGTAATAACTACAATATTTTTCCTATTTTAAATATTTGTTTTTAATTAGGTTTAAAATCTATGTGTAAATCAAATAAATTTATTCTGTAATGATAAAAACTATTGAATGCATCACTACAATAGCAACCAAATCTTAAATCACAGATTAAAAAAAAAAAAAAAAAAAATAGAGGCTGGTTGTGTCCCAAGAGTAAGGTGACGAGATTTTAACCTTGGTAAAGCAGGACTCCATTGACTGGGAGGGGGGGAGGAGATTAGTTGGTAAAGCAGGACACCCGTGACTGAAGGGAAGGAGCAAGTTCTTGATTAAAATTTGGTTGTATACTCCATTAAGTCCAAACAATAGTGGGGACGGTCGGGTGGCTGAGCAGGCTAGCACTTATGCACACCACCGTGCGTTGCCCCGGCAACCTGAAAACTGAAGTTTGAGATAAAAAAATAATTACGGCATAATTCCCTGCTCTCTCTCCCAGCTCTGAAAAACCACTGTGTAGCCTAAAGGCAAGGAAGGGGAGACAAAAAAAAAATTCCAAACAATAGTTCAAATTTGTGTTATAATAATTAATTTTACATAATGATAATCTGGTGCAAATATTAATCAGGTGACAGTATTCAGCTGAAATAAGGTTGATAATTTAGTTCTAAAGGCATATTTTTGAGAAGAAATAATTTGATGATGTATGTATGACTTCAATAATAACACAGTTTTAAGACTTAAATGTTTTGTTCGAGCAGTTTGTACACATTCAAAAAACATCTTTTTCAAAATGCTATAAACTTATTAAAGGTGGCAACATTTCGGTAATTAAAGTATTAAATGAAGTTAATTTGCTGATTTAAACTTTTCCTTATCAATATATTTTTTAAATAACCATACCTCATTAAAAGGATCATTTTCGGGTTGTTTATTATCATTAAGTCCAAACAATGGTGGTCAAATTTTAACAACTGATCAACTATGCAAACTTTGCTCAGCAGTTCTTGATAATCAGTTTTCAACAATTCATTAATAAGTAAGTAAGTAAATATTAATTTATTATTAATGTTTAACATTTTAAAATTAACAAAAATAATGTAAAATTCATATCCTGGCGAAATAGCTACATGGTCACCAAAAAATTGAATATTCTCTTCCCGTTCTCCTGCCGTTCCCTGGCTTGTCCTGTATTATTTCCGAAAATCAGGACTTTTTCAAAATATTTCCGCGAGCCACGGGAAAAATTGTTAAAAATCGGGACTGTCCTTCCAAAAGTGGTCTGTTTACCTTACCCAAGAGGGTCTTCTGAATCCTAATGTTGATATATGGCTGATGTAGCACACTAAATAATTATATTCCTTAATCAGACTCGATTTCTGAAACAGAAATCAAACTCCGACCAGAGAGAATAGGAGTATATTACCTCACTCACTGAGCTACGACCCTCCTTGAGTCAAGTTAATTAATGAATTTATTTTTTTAATTAGGAGTTCAGATTTGAGGTCTTGGTCAAAACGTACAATCTGATTGGTCAAATGTTATAATTAGATATTGCACATGACTTCGTTTACATAGTCTTCAATTAATACAATAATAATACATTTAGTATGAGTACCCAGGATTTGCTGTAATGACTCTGAAGGGAAGAAAGTGCTACTGTTAATTCTGTTTAACGAAGTACCATTTCATACATAATATTTTTTTTTCCTCATTTATGGTTTCTGTGTTTAGTCAGTGATCTTTGAATTTGAATGGCATATCTGTCAGCCAGCATATCTGTATGCATGGTTAACATAAAAGCAGTAAGAACATAAAAACTATTTTACTATTAGATTTATTTATATGTTTCCAAAAATGTCTGTATGTAAGTCAGTATATCTTTTTTTAGCATTTATATTGGTTTTTATAATTGTCTGTTGGGTATATGATTTGTCATTTGAGAATAAAATCTGGGAAGAATCTGTTAAAACATAGAAGAGCTGTATATGAAGTGTTGCTTAATATAACTATAATATATAACTCTCTTTTCCAAATGCTCACTGCCTGCCACAGCCAATATATTCTTAACAATTAGGTACATTAATCTAAATTGTTAAATGGAATTTATTGACATTGATAATAGACCATTTTTATACTATTCTCCAAATTTTCCACAACTTTGGGTCAAATTTAAGTGAGTTTTTCAAAAAATATTTTGCCATATCAAGAATTTGACTAAATACAGACAGAACAAGGGACAGGCATAAAACCAAATTTGTTTCTTAATGTCTAAAACATAATACCCAACCACCTGTATTTAACTTCCTATATGATTAAAAAGCTCCCCTACCTTTAGCAATGAGCAAACAAATATAATCCATTTTTAATTATTAATAAAAATTCTGGTTTTTAAAATACTGGTAGTACTTGCCAAAATTTTATATGCGAATGTACAGTGTAAGTAAAATCTCTTTCAAATGATACCTTTGTAGTCCTTCCGACAGAAATAATATATAGTAGATTGTTTACCTGTCAAGTTTACATTTCTTTGTATCATTAAGTATACACTTGTGTGGTGAATTATTCTTTAAATTATCTGCTATGAAAAATTATTGTTATATGAAGCACCTTCTTGGTGCACCAGTAGCTACATGATGCACTGTTTTTAATCTTAAATTTACTATTAAATACTGTCACAAATTACTATTATTTCAACTAGTCTGAGAGCCCATGGAAAAAATCGTCATCTGAAGAAAATTTTGATAGCGTTTATTTTAATATTTATAACGTTTATATTAAAAAATGAGAATCTGCCTGTTGGATCTTGTTACCTGTAAAAATGGTAGCTGATTTAAACAATATTAGGCTAGTAACTTGAGGATCGAAACATGAAATTCATTGTAAACTCTGTTTTTACCAAATTCTTCAATAACTGAGATGAATTTCTATAAAAGGCTCTGCAGCTTGGAAATAATTTCTCTAAGAGAAAAACTCATAGAATAAAAGTTGTAGAGCATCAAATTCCGCATCCAATGAGTATCTACAATTTTAATGTAAATCAATTATACCTCTCGGAATCAATCATGAATAGTGATGGCTGGATATTGGTAATGAAGATATCTGTGATTTTAAATATTTCAACAATATTCCAGGGTGTCTATTCTACTGAGTTATTCTTGTCAAAAGACTAGTATATACAGTTTAGGACTCTTTTCCACCTCTCAGCAGCAAAGGATTTTAAGAAACAAGGTATAAAAAAAAAAAAAAATCCCGATTTAATGGAATTGACCTACATTAAAACTGTTGGAACTCAATGGACACGGAATTTGCTCTTCCTTTTTCACAGTTTCATCCATTATTAGATGAGTGAATAAGGAATATTATATTTTATACTAAATTGTTAACATAAAAGTTTTATACTGAAGATATGTTTTGTTTGACTCAATCTTTAGATGTTATTGCCTTCATTTGTTAACAAATTCATATTACAGTTAAAATAGAGCATCGCCTAGTGTTATTTTACTTGGCAAATGATGTTATTCAATACAGCAGAAGGAAATCTCTACCATTTGTTGATTCCTTTGCACCTGCTCTTCAGAAAGCTACAAAGATGGTTCGGTATGTATTTATGTTTAAGTCTATTCAATTATAAAATATTTAGTTAGCTTTATTTGAATTCAATGAATGATTCTTGCTTTAATACCACAGTTGTATGGAATAGTATGGAACATTCATCGTATTATAGTATGGAACATCAATTTTCTATAATAATTCTTTTTTTTCCTTACGGCTAAAACTATGGACCACTATAATATTGCTTCATTTCCTTCTTAACTTCCTTTCTTTCTTATTTTCCTTTTTTATAATTATCTGCAATATACAGAAATACAGTTATGATTAAAGTTGACTCATTTAAATTTATCTGTTGGTTAGTAAAAAAAAAGAAAAAAGTTCTTTAGTAGTATGGAATCCAGTCACTTAACTTTGTTATATTTTGAAATGTTTATTCAAATTTCATTGCTTTAAACACACTTTAATGTTTCCTTAATCAAAATATTTTATTTTTGTAATGACTACGAAGGGTTTTATCAAATTGTAAAAGCTTTTGATTTTGTTTAAATATTTCTGAAATCTTATGATAAAATTTTAACTTATAAATCTTCTATGTCGTTTATGGTTACCTTAAATATGTCAGTCCAAAATTTCAAATTCTTATAAGGATATAAGAAGAAGTTTTGGTATAAGCTGACAATAATGAGCTTATAGTTAAATTAACTTAACTGTCATTTTTTTCACTGATTTATTAATAATAACTTTTTTACATTAATTATAATTAATTAATTAAACTGATTTAAAATAATTAATTAGAACATTTAAAATCTTATTTAATTAAAAATTAATGTGATGCTTTTTGTTATAATTGATCAATTAACAGTTATTCTTTTTCAGAGAGGACAACAATATTCGTAACAAAGTAATGAGGTTATTTAAAATATGGAGTGAAAGGGGAATTTATGAAGAAAACTTTTTAGTTGATTTGAGTAATGTGTTGAATCGCATTCATAAAAACATCCAAAGTGTTGATGTTCAAGAATTTCAGGTTCTCAGTCAATCTCATTCATTTTAAAAGTTTAATTTATTTTTTGACAAGCAAAATTTTAATAAATTTATAAATTTTTAGTCATCTATAATGTTTTCCAAAATTCGAAAATGCAAAGAATTAGAAGAGGATACAGATACGAAACTAAATACATTAAACAGAAATCACATTTCTTTTACTGATGTTGACAAATTTAGAAACTCTCTAAAAGGCAAGTTTAATGTATTTATATATTTTTTAAAAAATCTATCCTTATTTAGAATGTGCTTTTCACTTAGTTCTTTAAGATACATAATGGCCGCTTACATTTTTTTGTGGTTGAATTAGATTGATTTCTTGTTATTGCGAATAAAAAATTTCTTCCAGTATTATTCATTTCATTTTAATTTATTTCAGTTGTAACAACTGGTTTTCAAAACAAAAACAGTAAGCTTAATTCTTTTTTTTTAGATAGAGAACATGGTGATGAACTTTTATACGAAATAGATGGGGGTGCAGCATCTTGCAATGCATATATCAGCTCACTTGAAACTGAAATCAATGAACGCCAAAGTCTTATTGATTATCTAGAAATAGCTGAAGAGTATTATGAAAGAGAATTTCAGGAAGCTAAAATCGTTGTGAATGTAATTTATTTATTTTTTATTACTTTTATGTTTGTTTTGTAGCGAATTCAAAGATATATTTCTTCTTTGTTTTCTGACTTGGTATCTTGAATGTATGGTTTCGAATCAATAGATTTCCTGAAATATTGAGAATAATAATTAATTTGTGAGAGTGACTTCAAATGATATAAAAATGTGGATTAGTCTATATCACCTATTTAATTTATCATGAATTTTTTCTTGCAATGAAATAAAAGAACAGGACGAGCACAAAATGATCCTTATTACGTGTAATTAGCTTTGTCTTTAAAAGTACTCTCTTCCATAAAAGTCAGATCAAGAGGAAACTTAAAACTCATTAAGTATGCTGCTTAGAATACTAGTTAGATTCCTCCTGTTTTAGCACTGTACTCACAGAGCCATGTATCCTTGTATGTTTGTAAAATGAATTTTTTCTCCATTAAAAATTATTATTTTTAGATATAAAAACAGAAGCTAATCAGATATTTTCTCAGTTTCATATTTCTAGAAACATGTTTATAGAAATAAAGTGTAAAAGTGTCAATTTCAGAAATCAAGCGTAAAACATTGTTCTAAAATGAAGCAAATGTAATTTAAATCCTCAATTAACAAGATTGAGTGTAGACAACTGTCTACTCCAAGCACCTATCAGTGAAATTGATTATAATAAAGATTTTATGAAGTTATTAACTTATTTTCTTTTTAACATCTAACATATATAATAAAAGTGAATATGAATAATAATTATACTATTTTCTGTGGTAATCTTGTTTTAACATCATACAGAAGTTAATTTTCCTCAATTCCGTTTTCCCCATTTACTTCAGTAAGTTAGAGTTAGTGTAGAATTTTAATTTCGGAATAGGTGAAGGGAATTTACTTAAGATAAAGAAGTCAGAGAATTCAACTGGCAGACTCTATTAGACACCCTGTATAAGTTCAGAATAAAATTAATCTAATCCTCCTAATCAAATATAAATCTAAATTTTCAACTTATAGGACAGATATCAAATATAGCTAGGACACAATGAAAATCATAGTGATCTGTCAGTTAATTAAATAATTTTGTAGAGTTCATTTTAATATTAACTATTCATATAATTTTAGGAAAAATTTCTAAAACCTTTACTTTCTAATAGTATACAAAAAAAAAATTGTTTTTCTTGTATAACTCTTTCAAACAATTTCAAATAGTTTTATGTAGGCATGCAGATTAATTTATTTAGTATTAGTATTTTTTCTTTATAATTATTAATAGATTTATTATTATCATAAGCATATTATATTGGTTATAAACAATATTTTTGTCTTTCTTTTTTACAGGCTTATAAGTGCTTTGCTACAAGGGTTAGAGGAGTAAAACGTAAATTAGAAGAGAAAATTGATTCGATGCCCAGCCCTATCCCCTCTCCGGATGAAAATGCTCCCTCTCCATCACCTGAACCAAAGGATAATATATGTGAGTGAATATCTATTAAACTAGGATAAAACAAAATCGTCAGGAATTTCAGTCATATTATCTGTAATGGGTTAACCGATGTTTTATCCAAACATGTGGATCATCATCAGGGCTATTGTTTGGACGGCGGGACAAGAATTGCTGGTCTAGCAGTTCTTGACCCATCTTACAAACCCTGATGATGATCCACATGTTTGGATAAAACATTGGCTAACCCATTAAAGATATTTTGACTGAAATTCCTGTTGATTATTTACTCATATCTATTCAATTAGTTTAGTTTATCTTGAGTTTTTTTGTTTAAACCAATATACAATGATTATAGCTGTTAACAGAAGTTATTAATCATTTTTTTATGAAAATGCCTTTAATTTGTTGTAATTGGCTGCTAAAAAGAATGAGGAATAAGAAGTGTATAAGAAAAAAAAATTAAGTTGTTATTTATATCAATTTTAACTTCACCAAAGATATATTAGAACTGCAGTATATAGCTAATTTAGGTCAGTAGAGAGGTAACATACGCAACAGTGATGTGCTAATGCTGCTTACAGTTGTCTCATTCGTTGAAGGTGGATCTTCTACCATTCTTATCAACTGATTTGATTTGACAGCCTTGGTTTGATACTATTCAAAGATACAACAATAGATACAGATGGTAATGAAAAAATATTTTTTCTGATATTGTTAGTCGAAGAAAAAAATGTTTAAAAATAATGCTTGAAGAATACATTGAGAATAATTCAAAAAGCTTAGGAGAATTTCACCATATTTTCGTAGAGCTCATGAGAAATGAGAACAAATTCTTAGTTAAGATTGTAATTTACAAATGTATCCAGTCATGAAATTTTTTTTACACTAATCAGACCAATTATCAAGTATTTAGCTTCTTTTGTATTGTCCGGCATGGATGCATCGTGACCTTAGTGAGGTTGATTGTATACCAAAAGTTAATATTCTATATTTATTACTAAGAATTATAGATGTTTAATTCTTCAAATAGTATCAAAAAGGTACTTTAAAGAAAGTAATTTTAGAAATTATCATTTAAGGCCTACCCAACACATTTAGTACTTTACGAATATTTGAACGAATATAGTTGTTTCATAAGTGGTTCGTCACTAGTGCGAAGCTGGAATTTTATGATTTTAAAGAAAAATTATTATTTTGTCTGAGTTAAATTTTGTTTGAGACTGGTTCTTTAGGAAACTCTCTGGGGGTGACCACTTTAACAAGGATCAACTATAGTTGAAGAACATATATCAGGGAAATTTTCTATGGTTTTAGATCTTAATAGTTATTTTTTAAACTGATAATGTACTATTTGTTAATGCTAATGGTCTTATGATTAGTAATTATATTATGTTTGTCTTCTCATTTACACTAACTTCATCAAGTCAGATAGCTTTTAATTATTTATTAATATTTATAAATTTCATTGATTTTTTTTTAGATAATGACTTGCGGTACCCTGCTGAATCTGGGCCTGATAACTTCTTTCCTCCTAGTGAATCAAAAAAGGAAAATGTCGACATCTCACCTTACAGTCCAAATTCTGATTTTGAGTCTGAACCAATTGATTCCTCTTATATAGATGAAGAGCAGGGGGACTATGAGATGAAAACTCCTATTGAAAAAAATGGCATCAGCAGTAATTCCTCTGATTCTAAAACTGCCCCCTCAAATGAACTTTCACTTTCTGCAAGTTTTTCAGATGAATCATTTCATCGTGATCAAAGTTTTTTAAGTGGAATTACTGGTGCAAATAATTTTAATATATTTCAGGTAAATTTTTTATCATGTTTTTCTGTGGTAAATTTTTGGTTTATTTTTAATATTATATTAATAATTTGCTCTTAATCCAAAAAGCTATAAGAACGAGCAGAACTACTTTTAAGAAATGTTTATTAATGTATTCGAAGTACTACATATAAATAAATATTAATATTGCTGATATAATGTTATATTTATATTTTACTGATGTAGAGATGGTTGACCGTTGATGTAACTTGAGAAGGAGTTAGTCGGGGGTGTGGTCAAATAAATACTAAATAAAAATATAGTAATTATTTTATTTTAATTTTGCCAAAAAAAAAATTACAATAATTACTTAAAATAAAATAATTACTATATTTTAATTTAGTATTTATTTGACCGCACCCCCGACTAACTCCTTCTCATATTTATATTTTACTTATACTTATACTTATTGATTATGTTATATTTTTACTTTCACTTACCTACATATGAAATATATAGTAAAGGATAGTATTGCGATCGTGAAAATTTTCGAATCTCAGTTTTCAATGGAAATACACGTTTTGAGGTCTCCTGTGCCGAAATAACCAAGTCCCACAAAAAGTCCACTGTGTTAAAAGTCTAGCTCAAAAACGAAAAGTCGTACGAAAATTAAATTGCATATTTAAGATATATATTAAACTCTGAGATGTTATAGCAACTTTTCCTCACAATTGGCTCACTGGAAGTGGCGCTTTATATCATCGATTTAACAAATTTTTACGGCTTTCTCAAAAACGGCCAACAATTTTGATTAAATTCATTTCATTTGTATAAAATTAAGCAGTGCTTAATATTATGTAGGTTGTATTCTCATTGATATTCTTTAACAGGGCTTAAATGGCTAATTTTCAATATGTCTTCCTCTAAATTACCTTTAATATATTTTATTTGAAATATATAACCATTTCACATTAATCTCTTATTAAAAAAATCTACACACAGCTTTCACTTACCGCTAAAAATTTTGAATTTCATTTTTAACTGAGCTAAAGCTGAAAGATTACAGCTAACAAAACATAAATACTATTAAAATAACAAAAGTTCTATTTCTTATATCACCGGTTGATTATGGATTGTACGATCCGTTGATTATGGATTCTGCGACTATTAGTTATTAAGCTGTTATATTCCATTGCAAAGTTTAACCAAAACGGAATTAAGAGATTTGCATTGTCTGTCATAGACAAGTCAAAAGTTGTCGTACTGATTGTAAGTGGATTCTGTTGGAATAATTTAATTTTCTAAAAATTTACATAACATATTTTCGGAATAAACGTTGGTAACTAATTATTTAAATAGAATAGCAGATTTATAATCACTAAACTACAGTAAATGTATTTAAGGTTATAAACATAGGCTTTATACATCCATGAAACGATTTTATATTTTACTTCTTGTTTCACACAAGTACAATGAAATAGTTTTTTTAACAATGCCATTGCCTTGATTAGGAGGATTTTAAATACTTTTTACAAATATTAAATAATTTTTAAAGTTTACATTTAGTTTGTAAATTTCATTTAATTTTCTTGAAAATGTGTGATTTACATTAAATATTATGTAACCTTACGACTCTATACGGCGAATGGTGAAGATGGTAGTGAAGGAGGAAATAAGAAAAGTACATTTCGGCAAAGTGGAAGGGAAGCGTTACGAGTGGTTGAAGGATAACCCGATCCCAGCTGAGCTGCCGAGAAGAGATGCAGTTGCCTGCTTCCGCCTGGCCACTGGTCACGACTATCTGCAGAGTCATCTCTACAAGATAGGCGTCGCTGAGGATCCTAGTTGTAAATTGTGTCATCTAGGAACAATGGATGCAGACCATCTAGACGCATGTCCTGCCTTGATGGACATAAGCGACAAAAAATTTTCAAATATACATATCAGAAAATCTAAATTATACTGGGCAGCAAGATGTCGGATGGCCAAATGACCAACGAATGGCATAAGAAAAAAAAAAAAAAAAACATTAAATATTATGTTTTCAAAAATTATTTATAATTTTTTTGCCACTCTCCGTTACCTTCTACAACTTTCTATATTAGATATTGTTTTTTTATAAAATTCTCTGCTTTCCTCTATGTATTATAAGTATACCTTCTGACTGTTATTTTCTGGGATTCATTTTCGACCGGGATAAGCGTTTTTATTTTTTTCTCCCTTATTCAATTTTCAAATTCTTTCAAAAGTTATATTTAGCATTTTTTCGTAACTTTTAATAATGAGCGATAGTTAAATATTTAAAATAAACCATATTAAAGGTACTTTAAAAGAAGACCCATATGAACATTAGAGATTTATAATCCCTGTAAAGTGACATCAACGGGGATAAGACCCTAATGATATTAAAGATAACTTAATTATGATGCACACCGATACACCGAATTTAATCAAAATCGTTAGAGCCGTTTTTGAGAAAATGTGTGTAGAAAATTAAGATAAAAATGTGTTTTAGCATCGGTATAAAGTGGCACTTCCAGTTAGCCGATTTTAAGGAAAAAGTTGCAACCCCATCTAAGGCATATATCTATCTTAAATACGTAATATCAGTTTCGTACGACTTTTCGTTTTTGAGCTAGAGTGTTCACAGACATACAGACTATTTTTCGGGACTTGGTTATTTGGACTCAAGGACTCACCTCAAAACGTGTATTTCAGTTGAAAACTCAGGCTTGAAAATTTTCACAATCGCAATACTCATCCTTACTATATATTACATATGTAGGTAAGCGAAAGTAAAATAGTTAAATATAAAAGAATTTTGATAATTTACTGAAGCAGAAATAAGAGATCGTAACGAAAAATAGTTATAATTGAGGAACTAAATGAATACGAGCGCTCCCGAGCTCACTCGAAAGATTAGAACAGTTTCTCATATGTAACATGAGCTTAATATACAAGGGTGGTCTAAAAAGTTTCTGACCACAACTTGAAGACGGTAGCACTCGTAAATAAAAGTAAGTGAATTTCGTTGTTCTTCTATTGACAGTTACCCACTAAAGTTTCAGCCATTTTGGACCCGCAGCTTTTATGTAGCAGTCATTGATGTGAGTGTTTTTGTGAAAATGGAGAAAATCGAGTATCGAGTTGTCATTAAATATTTGTTTTTGAAAGGCAATACGCCTACGCAAATCAAAGATGAGTTGGATTCTGTATATGGGGATTCTGCACCATCATTTACCACAGGCAAATTTTGGGCTGCCGAATTTAAACGTGGCCTAACAGCTTGGAAGATGATTAATGTTCGGGACGTCCAAAAATTGCAACTACCGACGAAAACATTGCCAAAGTTCACCAAATGGTGCTAGACCACCCTCAAATTAAAGTGAGAGAGATAGCAGAGATTATGGACACGTCAAAAGAACGCATTTGTTACATATTAAATATACATTTATATATGAGAAAATCCAAGTTTTGGTGCCGATGTTACTGTAGATGAAACTTGGATACACCATTATACGCCCGAAACAAAAATACAGTCCAAACAGCGGACTGTAAAGGGAGAATCGGATCCAAAAAAACAAAAACTGCTTTCTCAGCTGGGAAAGTGATGGTGACTGTTTTTTGGGATAGTCATGGAGTTATTTTAATTGGCTATCTTCAAAAAGGAAAAACCATTACAGGAGCATACTACGCATCATCATCATTACTTGACAAGCTGAAGGCAGAACTTGCGGAAAAAAGAAAATCCTGTTTCACCAAGATAACGTACTGTCTCACACTTCATCGGTTGCCTTGGCGAAAATCCACGAATTACGGTTTGAACTGCTTGACCATCCGCCTTACTCACCAGATCTAGCCCCAAGTGACTTCTTTTTCTTCCCTTATCTAAAAGTTGTGCTCGGAGGACAGAGATTTTTGTCAAATGAAGAAGCAGTCATCTTCCTGAACAATTATTTTGCTGAAAAAACCACTGAGTACTTTTTGAATGGGTTATAGAGATGGGAGCATCGCTGGGAGAAGTGTGTAGAGCAACAAGGAGACTATGTTAAAAAAAAATCAGAAAAAATGTCTTGTATTTTTGTCAGGTCGGAAACTTTTCAGACCACCCTCGTAATATGGGCTCCAGTATTATGTACATACACATATTTGGTTTTCATAAATGCTATTAGTATTATTTAATATTTAATTTTACTGATTACAGCGATATAAAAATTAAAATTTGTATATATACCACTAGTTAAAGAAATAAAAATACTCACAATGATATATAAATAAATATAGGTACTTTCTTTATCAGTGGTACTCCTGTCAGACTAAAAATATTTTGTGAGACTTAATTAGTCGTCGTAAAAGGAAATGGCTAGTTTCAATACATATAATATCAACGAAATAAATATAATACATTGGACGGCTATGAAAAACATATGGTAATTAATTATTTTAAATAATGTCCCGTACCATCTATAATTTTTACTTTAACTTCCCTTTGTCTTAAAATACTTATTTCTGCTAAGAAGACGATGGTAAGTGAAAGTTGTTTGATCCACATATCGCACCAGATTTTTATCTTTAATACTGTCACTAGATACAAATAATAAATTTAAAGAATTTACTGAAGTATTGTTTATAAATAAATAAGTTGACCTAACTAAATATACTGAAGGAAGTTTGTTGAAAGTTCTATATATCATGTATGATAGGCATAGAGTACAGTCAGTTTTTTAAGATTTTTATTGCCAACGTTTGAACCCAGTACATTAACACCTTCAGTGTTGGTGTTAACATGTCTTGATAATGTCCTACATTGGTAATAAAAATCTTAAAAAAAACTGACTGCGTCTTGACTATCTATCTTTCCTAACTAAATATTAAAAAAAAATTAATAAGTCATTGGATTTTTGCAAAAAAAATCACTAAGTAACATTTCATAAAATTTAATCACTGAATACTAATATGAATTTTTTTCTCTCTGAAATGATGACATTTTGTTCTTAGATATTTTTGATTTATAAAGGATTTTTGATCTATTATTGTGTCATTATAATGTAACGACTATGTTTTCAAATTTATGAATAAGGTCTCAATTCATAAAAATGTAATTAAAAGATTAACTTCATCATAAATGTACTCGGGAGTAAGGTAGCTCAGTGGTAGGGTACTGAGCTTCCAGCGCTAAAGGTCCCAGGTTTGAATCCCGGCTCATGGCAGAAAAATTATTTATTCTGTTTCATTGGCCGTGGGGCGACCATGGGCAGGTTGAACCTCCTGGGGCACACCCAACCTCCAAAAAGTGGGTACTCTTAATTAAAATAATTAGTTAAGGAGAAAAACCTGGCGGTTGAGCGTGATCTCGGTCAAATCACCTCTTTGCACCTCTTTCTCTAAATAGTACTGAACCCAAGACCCTTCATGGGTTGCAGTGATACAGGGAAAAAAAAAATGTACTTAGTAATTTTTTACTATGAATCTTCAAATTATAAAAATATGTCAGAAGGAGTTGGTCAAAAGATGCAGTCATATAAATACAATATATTAAAGTAGTACTTTATTGTTTATACCTATGTTTCGACCCACTTTATATAGGCTTTCATCAAGGCGTGGTATCAGGCACTGCAGGAAGCAGTTGGTAGACTGGGACACTCACAACATACAACAGTCTACCAACTGCAGGTAGCAGTGCCTGTTACCACACCCTGATGAAGAGCTACAAAGTGAGTTGAAACGTCTGCATAAACAATAAAATATTATTTTAATATACAGTATATATTTTACCGCACCCCCCGACCAACTCATTACATTATAATCATGATCACCATCTCTATCCATTGTAAAAATATGTATTTGAATTTGTAGGTTAGGACTTCATCTTAATAGTAATAATAAAACCACATATTTGATCACTATAGTCCTAATTTATTTTTTTGTACATCAACATTTCAGCCCTTAGGCCATTATCAAGAGAAGAAACTTTTAACAAATAAATTAATCATCACAGCCTAATTATATATGCTAATTAATTATTTTCATTTAATACTCTATTTTACATAACTATTTTAATAATTAAACATCATTATGGACTGAATCACCATTGTCAACTTCATTTAACTAGCCAACACTAAAACCTTAGGCTGTGATGATTAATTTATTTGTTAACGATTTCTTCACTTCAAATAAAAAATTTCAAAAAGATAATTTGTTTAATTTTATACAAAGTAGATTTTCTTACAAGCCTATAAATAATTTAATCTTTCTTTCTCATTATTGGAGGCAGGAAAGCCTTTTATTTATTCAGGAGTTAAAAAAAAATTGTCCTTAATTAAAAATTTCTATAGCCAGGTATTGCGTGTTAGTTATCAAGAAACAAATTTGGTTGGCCTGCCTTTATGTAGTTAAATCCATAATGCTGCTATAACATCTAACTACCTTTAATCTGATTTTTATAATATTTTCATGGATTAAGTGGTTCAATTAGATGAGGTTCGATTAAGCAGTTTGATTCTCTCATATCAATTTCCTTAAATTTCTGTCTGCACTTCAAAAACACCTAGTTCCATTGGCTTAGAGATAATCGAGCTATTAGTAAGAAATGATGTTATATCAATTTTATCAAATTCCATTCTCTACTTTCAGTTACTTCAGCATAATTTTATTTTCCTTGATACACCGACAATTCAAAATTGCCTGTTTTGATTTGGTTGTTCAATCTAAAGTTGGAGAAAAGTTAGGGATTAGTGTAGTGAACAAATGATCTAATATAAATTTTATCTAATTCCATCTACTGCTTTCACTTATAGTTCCACAAACTTTTTTTCCTAGACATGCTTTATTTTAAAAATGGCTTGTTTGAGGAAAATTGGGGGTAATATATAAATGGTCCAGTATTATTTCATCAAATTTCCTATAACAATTTAAATTAATATAATTGTTAAGATTATGATGGCTGTGAAAATCAGAAATGGAAGGTAATATAAGTTTTTAAAATTGGTGTGATTTATTAGACTTTTGCTTTTTGGAATATATTGAGTTTTCAAATAAAATTTATTATTGGAAAAAATCTGCTTATATAAATAAATTCATATATTGTCTGAAAATTATTGAGTTTTGTTCAGATGTGTTAGTATCTGACTACTAAACCCAGTTTCAATATTCATAGATGCCAACTTCACTATTAACCTAGCAATGTGTAGATATGCAAGTACATTTAAATCCTTAAGAGTTATAGAATAATTCCCATATTTTTTTAAAAATTAAATTACTTGTTTACCTATAAATTATTTTTTAAATAATCTTAAAAAGAATTTAATCATTTAAAAATATTGAAAAATTTTAATTTTACCCAGTCTAATGTAGATTACTTGTTGAACAAACTATTAAAATTGTTCTCTTCTCATAGTAGGTTTATAATTTGTATTTTTTTTTTTTTTTTTTTGTAATGATTTTTATTTTATCTTTTATTTATTTTTTTTAGGGTAAGAGTAGTGACACTACGTCTTCAGAATGGAAGCAGTTATCCTTATCTGCATTATTGCAAACATTAATACCTTCAGAAGTACCTGTTGAATCATCTGGCTCTAAAATAGAAGTTTTACAAAGTCCTACGCCTGAGAAATGTGCCAAAGAGGAAGAAACATGGGAGTCTCCTGAATCTCCTCCACTTTATGAAAAAGCCAATTATCCAACTATAGCTGATGAGCAGATTTTGAGCCACGATACCGATATGAGATTTGCTGATGTAGATGACAGAAATCTCATAGATTTTAGTGATTCTACAAATCCAAGTTGGCCTGGAGATGACATAGATTACAGGACTGAAGGAAAATTTAAGAAAACTGTCTCAGATTGTTCTCAAAATCAAGATAATGTTGAAAATGTAGATATGGAAATGAGTGATGAAGAAGAAAAAATAATGAAAACCAAAGAAACTGATTCAAAACCTCCAGGACCCTCTGGTGTTATGTCGGGTGATATCTCAGTTGTATCTCATGAAACTGCTAAACCTACTGGCTCAAAGGAAGGATTTTTGAATTCTAAAGAAAATGTTGCTAATTCTTTGATCCTTAATCAGAATCTACCCTCATTGTGTAACCCTAATCCTCCTGCTTACAACAGTAATGTACCTTATAATGATAGTTGTTATAACTACTCCAAACCTGGTGCTTATGGTATCGGGACAACTTACAGTAATAACAATCCCTCTCATTTTCCAAATTCTGGTAAGGGAGACGCTTCTAATATGCTACCACTCCTTCCACCACCTCCTCCCCCTCCTCCTCCACCCCATCCTCCTCAGCTGTGGTCATCACCATTTACCGGGCCCCCTCCTCAGTTTGGAAACTCACCAAACTTTGTCCAACAAAGTGCAATGTTTTTTCCTCAGCCTCCTCCACCTGTTATACCGAATCCGAATCCACAAATGCCAGTTCCAAACAGACCATATAGAGGTAATTTTAGACCATTTCAACGAATTTCATCTCGTTTCCAAAGGTGGTGAATGTGAATGAAGATTTGTTATAGTTTTAAAATTATTTCCATGTATATAAACATTATATATATATATATATATATGTGTGTGTATATATATATATCAATATGACGGATTCTTTTAAAAAGAAATCCAAAAAGCTACTAGTCTATTTTCAAGACTTGAAAATTTGTTACTTTCATTTATTAAATACATTATACACTATTATTTATTCAGTTATTGGTTATCCACAGAACTTGATGATGAGGTTGAGTTTTTACTAACTAATTTTGTAATTGAATTTTAAGATTGTGATATAAGTATAAACATAACTCTGAATATCATAAAGAATTACAGAATTTTACGAAAAATAAGACTTGAATAGTATATTATAACTTATAGTTAAAATTTAAGTAAATTAAGTTGTTTTTTTTTTTGCCGTTTATGTATTTTTTGTTTCTTGTGAAAAATGTTTTAAAAATAAAAACAGTATTAAACATTTTTCATATAATTTTTTAGGGTAAAAGACCTTTTAAGTTTTAATAATAAAATTAATAACTAAAATTATATTTAAAAAAATGTATAAAATATATCAATAGTTGAAACTAATTATTATTTTACTGTTTTTTAAAACATAGCTGTTATTGTCACAGCGTATGTGATATAAATTAAGAGATGTTATATAATTTAAAGTTTATTTTGATGTTTTATATACATCTTATAGATTTGTGCCACTTTCGATATTTACATTGATTGACTGGAAATTCCTAGTATTTGTTATTTAATGAAGCAATTTTTTATTTTCTAAGTATGTGTTCTTTTAAATTTACTTCATAAATTATTTTGATTCATCTTAGTTCTAGAGCATTCTCAGCTAGGGATAAGGTTACTTCTAGGATTAAATTAAGTGAGTAAATGAGGCAGTACTTCTTTTATTCAGAGGATAGTGAAGCCTTGGAGTAGGTAAAAAAATCCTTAGCTTATCAACAAGCTCTGTCATCCAATTTTAAATTATTTCTTTCTCTCCTTAGTTTATGTTTACCACGAAAACCACTTTTTTTTTTTATACTTGGACATTAAATAAATTATACCTAACCACTAACTGATAAAGAAAAGAAAAAATAATATTATTTTATTAGTTTTTGTATCATTGGTATCAATAACTAGATAAAACGATTATCCTGTAAGTTTGATTTGATTTCTGTGGCTCTACATTCCTTCCAAGGCCTTGTCCTCCTCAACAATTTCTCTCCAATCCTCCTTATCAATGTCCCAGCTTCTCCATTGTTTGTTACGTTATTTATGTTTTAGAGGCGTAAAACTCCAAGGTCATCAATGCCTATCTCCATTGTTTGATTCTCATCCCTACAGGTCATCTTCCACATAATCGATCCATTGCAGCCTGGGCCTTCCTCTTCCTGTATCACCTCCTGCATTTTGTCATATATTAGCTTTTTTCGGGCATCAGAAAGATAGGCAGAAAGGAATAAGTAGTTTTGGAAATCCCTATTTATTTATTGGAATCAGAAAATGATCTCAAATTGAAAAAGTATTTATTAGTTAGTGATATCAAATATCAAAGGGTTCAAGAAAATAGATAATTTATCGTATTCAGATGAAAATCTTTTTTTTTTTTAAGATCATGAATAACAAATGTTTATGTATAATCTAATTTTCAAATTTAGAAAATATGTAAGATTTCTCTTGAGCCAATATGTGCATAAATAAAAAATAGGTTATTATCTAGTGCTCTGCTCATGTGATAACTTTTTATGCAGGCATATTATTTAGAAAATTTTCTTGTTGAAACTTTAAATATGAGTTATGTAATATTGATATAATTAAATTTATTTGCTTTATATATCACAACTCAAGATTCCTCACTAATTGAATTAAGCATTCCATTGCTATTTATTGGCTTGATCTCGATGTTCTGAATTTACTGAGAAAAGTACACCTGAACTTACAAAAAGGCTTATTCTATTAATTGTATGTACACATGTCTATATCCACAATGTATGTATGTATATTTTTACCACATTTATTAAATTAACATGTGCATGTGTGATTGATTATACACACTTAAATATGCATTTTTGTGTGCATATGACGCTCATTCTGAGATTATCTTTGTTGTTGAATTGACTTATGTATTGATTTCATTAAGCATTTCATTATTTTGAAATCTTTTTGTGTAGCATTAATATTCTATGTCACAAAATACATAAAACTGTGTCACTTAATTATTTTTGTTTTCTTTTTAATTGTTAAATGGATCAATACCTTGTCAGTGGCACACTACATATTATTATAACAGTTTCTACTCTTATATGATTTTAACCTTATTTTGAAATGCTTTTAATTATATATGATAGATGTATGGAAAGATTTGTATTTGTAGACGGGTGGTTTATATTTGTCATTTGTAATTTTTACAAGAACCATACTTTATTTTTGTTCTGTTTAAATGTAGCAATTCTAATCAAGACTGAAATAAAATGTCTAATATTATTATTTCTTTTATAAGAAAAGGTTGTTAGTTATTGTAACTATTTTTCTCAGTACTTTTGGATTACTAAATGCTGTGTGCTATATATATTTTTGAAAAAATGTATTCATTATATTTTTTTAAGATTTTATATTGTAAATGAATGTTACTGAAGAAATTCCTGTGTACCTGACATTTGTGATTATTAATAAAGAAACTTCATTCCTTGTTTCATCAGTTATCATTGCTTATTTTGTCTTAGTTATTTATTAATAGTTTAATGAAATGTTGGATTTTAAAAACAGTTATGAGTTAAGGACTTGTCCTAAGTTATATTTGATTTAATTTGGTAAGTAGTTCAGACGAAAACTCAACTCATCAAGTTGGCTATTTATGAAATTTTGAACTTTCTGGTGTTTACAGAACATACACCATAATGAGAAAAACAAACAAAAACACTTAACCAGTTATTTTAGTTAAATGGGAAGAGCTTTTTTTACTTGAACATTCCACTTCTTTTTTTTTAATTCATGGGTGTTTCCCTATATAATGGCCATTCTTTCTAATAAAATTTATTTTTTTACTTGAAGTTTTATATTAAATGTTTCCCACATTCAGAGAATTGATGACAACAGGTATTCATTAATTCACAAAGGTTTGTTAGATTACTTTACATTTCACACAGGTTTGTATTAAACTCTTGTCCTTGATTTTCAAGATCTTCCATTGAAACAAGAACAAACTAAGAGCATGAAATGTATATTTTTTATTTAGTAAGTATTATGGAATTTAATTATAAATATGATAGGCACATGTCAGGATTTCCAAACTATAAATCCAAATTTTTTTATGTTGCTTTATAGATTTTTAGCCAACCTCCTCCCCACATGGCTATATCTCCAGTTATTTGCAATCAGCTCTACAACATCTTGGTTGATTCGATCTTCCCATCTGGTTTTTGGCCTTCCACTTGGTTTCTTGCCTATTGTTGAGGCAAACACTGGTGTGTAGGTTTCCTAATGGATTACTCCAAGCTAAATGCCCTATCTACCTTATGCTCATTGCCTTCAAACCCTGAGATATTGATTGACTGGTTTCTGTACGCAGTTCTTTATTGGTCCTTCCTGTTTATGTGTTAAGGTAGGACTTTTTAAAAAAAATCTCAATTATCCTTTCTAGGTAGATAGTTAATATCCAGAACTCACAGCAAGAAAGCTCTCTCAAGTACTGTCTTTATTAGATAGTAGATGTTCAACATCCTCACCATTTATCTTTGGTATTGTAATTTTTCCCAGCAATGAGACATGGAAGAAAGAACCAGAATAAGTAATCAAGGTGATTATAGGAAAGTGAATAACCAGGAGGGCGTTTTACTTAAAAATAACTTTCATTATGAAGAATTTTTCTCTTAGAACTACTTCTGTAGATCATCAGATAGTATACTCGCACACACACACAAAAAAAAATCTAGAAAGAAAATACTTTCATAATCTATAGACCAAGGGATCCAGAAGAGATAAAAAATGGAAAAGAACACCAACAACGAGCATGTATCTTTTCCTGATCTAGAGGGGTTCGAAGAAGCTCTCCACAACCTTAAAAACAATGAAGTCCCAATGCAGGATGGAATACAATCAAAACTGCTTGTCAGCGCCGGCCTTAGACATTCGGCGCTCTCCCCTCACCTCGGCCAATAACGTCATCTCTCCCCTCCCTAAAAAATTTAATTTATTTCTTAAGCTATTTATATTATATAATATTTCAATTTTATTTCATTCAACATTCCTCTTATACAGTTGCTTCATTGATAGACTAAACTTAATTATTTTAATATATTTTGTATTTTTTTTTATTTCTAACGAGTGGCGAGCGACCCTTGAGATCGGCCAGCGCCAATTGCCCCGGTTGCTTCACTCCAAGTCCGGGAGCCCCTAGCAAAAAAGGTGTCATATTTCATACTAAGATTTGCCCTTATAAATTGACCATGCCCACAGGCCTGATGAGAAAATTGCACGTCTGCCAGCATATAGCCGCTGGAATATAAAATGGCGGCCATGTGAAGATAGATATATAAAGCTACCAATCCTTTCAATTTATAGTATTTACAATCTTAAGATATGAAATAATAAACAGTTACCATGGGGTAAAGATGACCTGGACACGTGGATTTCAAGTAAAAATATTAAATTTACGATTCAAAAAGTTGACTTTTTCGGTTTTTTGCTTATACCAGTGAAACCAGTTATTCTATCTACAATAATGTCATATGTGAAATTAAAGCTGACAAAATTTTGCAATAGAAATGGTTATGTTAGTTCTTCGCTATATTCTATAGTTCCCGTGATATCCGTCTTCGTAATTCACTAAATTCGAAAAAAAAAATAATAATGTTTGCATCGCATTTTTATCATTACTTGACTCGCCAACTCTTTATCTTTTCATTTTAGAAAAAAGTCATAAGGAAAAAAGTTGTTTAATATTAAATTTTCTTCAAGAATATGTATTACTTTACTATCTTATCTTCAACCATTTAAAGGCTAGCAATTATAACTTAATGATTAAACTCCGAAACTATACAGAAAAACTTACTTTTCGATATTTTCGTTTTAAAACAGCTCTTAATCTCTATATAAGACAACATACATGTGTATACATTGGCTTACATAATATACATATATACAGTGTTATATACAGGTTAAGAGCTGTGTAATAACGAAGATTGCGAAAAGTAAGTTATTTTGTATAGTTTCGGAGTTCATTCACCTAGTTATAATTGCTCTAGCCTTTGAATTATGGAAGATAATAGGGTAAAGTAATATATATTCTTAATTAATTCTCAATTCTTAATATTAAACAACTTTTTTCCTTATGACTTTTCTATAAAATGAAAAGATAAAGAGTCTGCGAGTCAAGTAATAATAAAAAATGCGATTAAGACTTTCGTATTGATAAGGGTTACAAAACCCATATTAAAGACTGGAGTACCTTCTGCCCTATGTTGCGAGGGGAAGCTAATTGATGATGAATGGGAAAAAGCTGAGACATAGTGGACGGATGACCTGAACCACAGGGTGTCCAGGATCACCAATGTCATTTGTAATGCAGCAGAAAATTCCCTTCATCGAAAATGAGAGCTCGATCAGCCCTATGGTGATTATATTGTAACCTAATAAAAAAAATGGTTAAATTTAAAATATTAAAGAAATAAGAGCACTCCCGAGCTCGGCCAAAAGGTTAGAATTGGCTTCCATAAGTAACACGAGCTTAAAGAGCCCCTTCCTTACATGGTCAATATTATTGAAGCAATATAATTGCAGGAACTATATTGAAGGGGTACCTTACACGTGTCAATTATATTGAGTCAATAACGAATTTCCTATTAGTTTAATTGTCTTGGCTTAAGCATTAAAAAAATAAATAAATAACAATATGTTCTTTGTAATGTTTATTTTGTACCTAGACATTAAAGCATTTCTTGTCTCAGATTGGTTCTGTTCTTGTTGCCTAATTATTTAATATTGCAAAAATTTTTTAGTAAAAATGTTATTAAATTTTGTATAAAAATCAAGTTTTGAACAAAAAAGTATCCCCAACCTACCCAACTATATTGCCATTATATATTTTTTAAAAAATTGGGGGTAGGAGGGAGGAGAAACTTTACTCTTCTTCCCCTCAAAAAAAAAAAAAATAAAATAATAAAAGTAAAACAAAGTATCACCTACCTACCCAAACATATATTCATTTATCTTTTTAAAAAAATTCAACGGGGGAATGGTTACTCCCCGGCATCATTGCTGAATTTGAGTGATCTCTACGAGAGGCCTTTTTAAACTTTGAGTGTGTAGCCAGATGATTCAGTCTAGTTGTAAATGAAGTCATAACTAAATACACACGGGTTGGTGGTGGCAGAAACTTGGCGTAAATACTTTGAACTTGAAAGTTACAGATTCCAACGAATGGAGAATTTCAACTATATGGGATCTGAAAATAAATAATTATCTTAGGAGATATTAAGAAGAATAGCTTCAGAAAATATATTTGATTTTGGTTTCGTAGAATTTTACGGTCCTGTCCTTGATGGAGATGTTTGCCAAAGGCTTACTAGTAAGTATCGTTAAAAACGGTATCATCTCTTGGACGAGGTGAAGATTGTTAAATCTGGAAAATTTCATTGAGCTTTAACGTGATTAGAATGAATAACTCTAAAGGTTAAAAAAAAAAAAGATATATAGGACTAACACATCGGACCCGCAAAGTTGGAAGACCAAAATAGGACAGTGTACGTTAGCATCCATGTCCTGTCGCCTATTTTTATCGAATCAGTCATGCAGTGGGCGGGGTGGCCGAAAGGGCTAACGCGTTGTGCACAGCACCACCGTTGCTCGGCAACCTGATTTATGACAAATGTGTTATAAAAATAGTCACGAGATCGCGTCCCGGGACCAAGGCGTCTTTTAAGTCCCCGCCCACACGCCTTGGCCCGGTAAAATCCCGTATAGCCGTAACGGCGAGGAAGGGGAGGACCCAAAAAAAAAAAAAAAAAAAATCAGTCATGCTATTTAACTAACTAAATTTATTACAACTGTGCAGTTAAATTATATAACGAAAATCAATATCACTGTCAGCATCTCGAAGGAAGATATGGGAGATAGGGGTTTCATTGTTTTGCTGTGTCATTGATTTGCCCTTGAACGGTCCATCTCAGTTAGAGGCAAATAAGAGGTTTTTACTGTAGCTTATCACAAATTGGATTGTATAGAGTACATTTGAACGCTGATAGGACGCAGATTGAAATGACGTGACGCCTCACGTTAGCAGAAAATGTGCGCCAGGTCAAATGTAAACATTCTGCAGCGATATTTGGGATCCATTTTCCTACCTTTGGGATCCAGTACTCTCAGGTTGTTTCGGGATCCCAACTAGTGTGCTCAAAGTGGTTTTATAACCAGCCTTCATCGATTCATCAAGCGAACTAGAGATACTTATCGACCGACCTCTTCTTCTCGAAGTGCAAAGCATACTTCAATCTCGTAAACATTATGAAGTCGGCTAATGTCCGTTATAGAGAGATAGGAGGACAATACATGTTCACTTGGATCGTTCGGTTCATTTTAAAGTGTAAATATAACTATGTATTCAAGTAGTCGAAACACTAGACCGCTTTGTGTTTTAATTATTAAGCCAGAATTTTTATTTTAACGGCCGGGCTGGGCCGGTATTTTTCTACTGGGTATAATGCTTGAGCCTGGTACACTAGCGGATCCAGGATTTATTTTTCGGGGGGGCTTAAGCCCGAAATTGTTTTTTTCATAAAAATAACTATAATTACTTTGGAAAAAAAGAAAGGAACTTACTACCTATATGAAATGGTGTTAAAGTGATTCCTAAAGCCCTTTTAAACGTAATTACACGAACAATAATACTTTAAGAGATACTTTTTAAATATTTTTTTCGATAAAACATGGTTATATTTTACCATTTTGGGGGGGCTTCAGCCCGAAAGCCCCCCCCCCCCCCCCGTAGATCCGCCCGTGGCCTGGTATCATCTTGTGCTTGGCGCCTACAATCCACGCGACGGGTCTGCTTGTGAAATAGTACTAAACTATTTCTCAAAAATGTTAGTAAAATTAACCTTAAAATCGTAAAAATTATAATAATTTTCATTAATGAAATGATTGATTCGCAATGATTTAATTTATACGTTTGTAAACATAAACATTATAAACAATAAAAGTAATAAACTTATTTAATCTATTTTAATTATCCAAATACCTAATGGAATATTTTATATTACTGATCATTAACTTTATTGTACATTTATGTATTGATTATTGCTTCATTACAATTTAAGTGGCAGTGGCAAAAATTCAACCATTGTCTGGTGTACGTGTTGTAGTTTTTGTTCAGTATTTATTGCTGTTCATATTTTTGTCTGTTTCTCAGGCTTTAAGTGTTTATTTGAAATGGCTACTATTCACAACTTTGCAATGATGAATGGTGGAATGGGAATAGTAAGTACTTATATTATTTAACTGGAATAAGGGAGTGGTATTCAATATGGCGTAGTTTATTATGCGGTGTATAATATCTTGATAAATCAATGCTATTTATGTATTTAAGGTTTGGTAATTCTTAATTTTCCTTGATTATGTATGTATTTGTTTAAATTGTTGAATTATTTCAATCTTATGATTCGGGATGTTTTAACTAAATATTTGATATTTTATGGTTAAAGGTTATTGTCATCTGTTTTGAATATAACAAGAAGCTATATTATATTTACCTCAACTAAAAAATAAGTTATATTCGTTAGCTAATTCAAATATTTACTAGCAAAATTAAGTAATTGCTCTACAGATTAAATTCAATCTTTAATCTTGTTCATTAAAATCGATTGAAAATTTTAAAATAAATTATTTAGTAGTGTATTGTGCCTATTGTGGCTCATCTAAATTTTAATTATATGTTTTTAAAACTGCATTCAGTAAGTTTGGTTGTATGGCATTTTTTAACAATTCATTTATTAATTGACTTAATTTTTCAATCATAACATTTTCTATTGAACATATGTACTACTATTGATAACAATGAGTTTAGTTAATTTAAATCTTTGAGTGGTGATTATAGAAACTTAGATTGTTGTTATTCTCCCTTATAACTTAAAGCTCTTCCTTATTTCTATCGTTTAAAACATCAATTTATGTTTTATATACATTTATTACTTTTAATAAATAACCTAACATTATTTGTATACATCGTATTCACAATGTTACGGAATATGTGTGTTTTCTATCTCATTTTTCATGTTTTAGAATTATGACTTTTAAGTTTCTCAGTATAAGATTACTGTAACATTAACAGCAGTTAAATATTTGATGCATTAAAGTTGTGTTGATTTTCATAAGATTCTTGTAATGTATATAAAATAATTGTTTATTCTTTTAGAGAATGAATTTTATCAGCATCTAAATTGTTTTATTTATAATTAGGGAAAAATTGTATAAATAAAAATGGAATATTCTTATAATATGGAAAGAAGTAGTACTTCGTTAAATTTTATAGTTGATTCATAAATTATTTTCCCTGATAGGCTCGAGTACGGTGCCAATAGAAATATGTAACAATTATTCACAATAATTTGATGGTTAATCATTCCTGGCTTTGTTTACTTTTCACTTCTTTACCATCTATTCTCATTTATATATATTTATATTTATATATTTACAAAATACATAAAATTTAACAGACTAAGTTATTACTTAGTTTTTTATTATGCTGTGAAATAAGTTAAATTATTTTATTTGATAAATTAGTTTAAAGGTTAATTGATTTTTAAAACCAAATTATTGTATTTTTTAAATATATGTTTTATTAATTAATTGGTTGATAGATAGTTTGTTTTAAGGCCAGATAATATGGTGTGATTGAATTGATTGTGGTAGATAATATATTTTGTTTATGAGGTTCTGTGATGGTGGTACTGTAAAATTAAGATTAGTTATGCTCTCTTTGAAAGGTTCTATTTTCAACAGTTATCTGCAGTCATGGAGCTTTGAATTGAACTTAGTTTTTGTTCTGTTTCATCATTTTTTAACTTGCCTATTTCGTTTTATGTATTGATTATTGTCAACGTTTTTCATCTGAATTAAATTATAAATCAGGTTTTGGTTTTTTGCAATAATCTTATATAAAATATTTTGAGCAGTGTTGGGAAAACATTAATTCTCCAGTTAATTGACACTTTATTTGTTAATTGTAACCACTATTAATTACTTTCAAGTAAATTAGTTGAAATGTATAACTACAATTTTTAAATGAAATAATTAAATTGCACATGGAAGTTTGAATACTTTCAGTACTCTGCTCATTCTTTGTACTTTCCGAAAGCATTCATGCATCATAATACAAAATGTTAGTCAATTCCTGTGGTTTATATGAGATTACAAAAAGTATTCAGCCAAAATCCAATGAAAATTTTAATGATTATTTCTACATAGTTTTTTTGTTAGTTTTAATGATTATGTCTACATAAAAAGTAAAGCTAACTAATTGTTTAGTTGAATACAACTGTCAATTAGAAACTATTTGTTGTTAGTTGTCAACTAAATAGATGAATGTTATTCACAACTACACGTTCAATTTTTTTTCAACTGTTAATTGAAAATAAATACATTCTGCTACACTCACTAGCGATTGGTATTTAAACTATGTGTGAGGCATTCATGCCATTTACTTGTGAAAAATAAGTTAATAATAGTAAGACTGCACAAATATTCTTATAGTGGAAAATTAAAAATTAGTGTGTTTATGAGTGTGAGCACGGTCTTTTGAATATTTAAGCAGTTGTTGAAACTTCTCAAAAAATTCTATTATAATGGTTCCTGTGAAACTTTTTAGAAAAAATGTTCTCAAAATAAAAGTTCTAAGGAACTTTTTTTTTATTTTATTAAAGTTCTGTTAAATGAGAAGTAAACAGTAATTGGGCATAGATTGAAGTTATAATCTATCTTAAATTAATTACACATGATTATTGTGTGTCATTTGTTTGTTTAACTTGAAATAAAAATCATTTACAAATTGACTTTTTAGCAAAATCGATAGAACTTTTAAATAAAAATTTTTAGAAATAAAAGTTCTGTAAAACTGGAAAATTGACAAGGGAGAAAGTTCTAATTCCCAAAGAACTGAAAAACTATCGACAATAAAAGTTCCAGTGATACCGAAACTTTTTAAAAATATAAGTTTTTCCCTTTTAAGCCCTGGTTTTAAGTCATTAAGTTCACAATACTCATCTCTTCTTCTTATTTCTCTTCCAACCATTTACTTTTCAATGTGGGGGTCCTCCAGCCAGGCGTCTAGGTGCCTCGCTGTGTTGTTCACCTCGCAAGCAGTAATTTATACGTCACCGAGGACTCACTGCCTCTGGCTATGGGTACCTATTTCACATATTAATATCTATCTCCAAACTTTCTACCAAACCTAGAAATATGCTAATAGTTAAGATTTTATGACTTCTACATGGCTATGATGGATTTAATCAAATACTTTTCTTCCCCCAATGATTGTAGAATAATTGTTGAGTCGTTCAGCAATAAACAAACAAATTTTAATGTCAGACTAATTTTTTGGAATTATAAATTAGTATTTTATATACGGAGTGATGGTATTCCTCCACCCTGACAGAACCTGAGGATTAACGAGCTTGGACAGCAGTGTATCTTGTTTAGTATGTTTAGCTATTGTATCAATAGGTACAAGTGGTGTAGAAATGATATGCAACTGGAGAAAAAATAATGAGCCAATGAATTAATTGAGCTGCAACTGATCTCAAACTTCTACTAATCATGGAATTAGAATTTATTTTCCATCCAATTGGTAATCTTTGCTACTTATCAATATCAACTCCGGAAATGCAGTTCATATAAATTAACAGTTAATTATATAAATATATATACCATAATTAACAATTTTTTTCTCAAAGTTTTGCATCTGTTTATTATATGATCAGTTTCTGGATTCAAAATGTGTTGAATAAATTGTCCATTTTCAAGAAAAATTATCCATTTAATTTTTATAACTAAATTATCTGCCATGAGTATTATTGCAAAATATTTTTTAGTCAAGTTGTATGTCTTGTCTTTCATCTAGCGTGTGATGTAAAAAACAGAAAAAGGATTTGACAATTATTCCATGATGAGATAAATAAGTTTTACAAGAATTAAACAAAGTTTTTCTTGGTAAGCGATGATCCCTTTGAGAGGTTGGAACATTAATAAATGAATTGATAAGTACACGTTTGTTTAAAGTTAGGTTTTTAAATTCGGGAAAGTGATCATATAGTCAATATGATGTATAAATATTTACACTAGCTGACAATCCAATCTCCATGAGAACCTATTTTTAATTCTATTCATGTTTTTTGTAATATTCTAGATGCAGCCTCAAACTGTACCCATTTTAACCCAAGATATCACAATGCAGGCAAGTGTCCAGCAGCAGGCTGTACCCACTGCTGCTCTGCCGCCACCTGAACCAAAAAAATATAATTCCACTTCAAGTGCTGAAGGTAAATACTTCAGAATTATGCTGTTTTATTTTTTATTATACAGGATTAGTGATCAACAGAATTTAAAAATTAATTTAATGTTTTCGTTGTGTATTTTTTTAATCATTCATTAATTAATAAAAAAGGTTGTTATGGAATGTTAACATTCTTGTAAAATCACAGCCCTGTACATTTTTTATTTTATTTTATTTTTCTGAAGAACTACATTATATCTGTCATATTTTTTTTTTTATTATTTATTAATTTTTTGTTTGTTTAATTTGTGACAGATTTCAACTATACCCTTGTTTGTTTTAAACAGTAAATATTATCACAATTAATATTTTTAAATTAATCGGGTTTATTTAATAAAACTTATCTACTTGAGAAACGAAGATGATCTTGGAACTAATGGAGTGCTTTCGTTTGTTTGAGATGTTCCAGGAATACTATGGCCTTGTCCCATGCCAACTTAGGATTTGGCTCTCAAATGAAGATATTGTACCTAAACGTTTTTATTTCTAGGCTGGCATAAGTCATTTGCCTCTCAAGGAAACAAATTTGTATTGTCATTAAAGTTATATTTTTGTTTAAGTTACACCTGATGAGTTTTAAACACTATAGATTAGGTATTCTTATTCTGAAAAGAAAAGAAAAAAAAATTTCGTTAAAAAGTATGAGTAGAGATGCATTCTCAAGAGTACTCTTGTCTGGTTATGTTTACAGATTGCCTCCTCTCGCACTTCCCCACTAATGTCGTTTGATGAAGACTCAACTACAGTAGCTTAATGCATTGATTTAATCTCATTTAGAACCTATTTTTTATATGTATACTGTCCCATCCTTTAGTGATCATCATGTCAGTTACGAGTTAGTATTATTTTCAATTTTTATTTATTTGTTTTGAAAATTTTTAATTTATTTTAGTCATGTTAGGTTTTAGAAAGTAGAGGAAAAAAAGGTTTTATTATATGTATAATTTTTTTAAGTATCCATTTTTTATTCACATATATCATTCTTTATACAAATTTGTCGAGCCATAACTAGCCTTAAAATTTATTTTGTATATATTTTTTTTTGTTCTCCAATAATAACTGGATTTACCACCAATATTTAAACTTAGTATCAGTTTTCTAAGTTCTAAGACAACTTAATGTTTTGTTTGTTTGAGTGCCTACTTTTTTTCTTCTATTAATTTGAAAACAACTTAGCTATGGCTCTGATGTCTAACTCTGGATTTATTATTTAATTAAACCTGATGTCATGATCACGCCCAACCACTTTCTCAATGATTCGGCCTGTTCATTTTTAATTAGGAACTTAATAATTATAAATCAGCGAAAAGGAATTATTCATTTTCTAAGATTTGAAGTTAACATAGCATAAGTCAGACTGTTTCGAACAATTATGGTTTATTTACATTATTGAACCATTATTGTTATGAAACATTACTTTATTCTAGATTTTTTTTTCTGTTATTTAAAATCCTTAATCCTAATCCTTAATCCTCATTATTCTTGTCTTTTTTCTTTGCTTTCAGGGACTGAGAATCTCCGAGCGCTTTTTTTTCTTTTTTTTTATTTATAGTTTAATAGTGTGTTTACATATTGTATGCACACATATTAACAAAACAATGTTAAAGTAGACATGTTTGATTGGTTCTGTTGTTTCAGATACAATTTTTTTTAAATATACAAACTTTATCCATAGTAATCGGAGGCGCCCTTTGATGAACACTGTGATATAAACACTTTCATCTGCACTATTTTAAGAAAAGTTATTTTGGGAAGTAATTCCCTTTATTATTATTATTATTTTTTAAAAAATATATTCATTCATCATTTAGGAATTATTTAAGATTCGAAAGAAAAAAAAAAAAAAAAGAATGACAACTTAAAAATATATGCTTATTTTTTTTTACTCTTATGTGTTGTTACATGGGTGATAGAAGGTGAATGACGCTAGGTGGAGCCAGAGTATCTGTTCTCTCACTCTTGCCGACTCAAACCATCGGTAAAGGTCAATAATCAACTGTTACATCGCCGATCATCTCACAATGACTAATCCTCCTTTGAACAATCAATTCATTCAATTGAATTTTAATTACTTTTATCCAATCATTTTTAATTACTCTAGTCAATATAGGGTTCCGTAGGTTTATTCACTAATAAATATTTTTCTCTTTTTATTAAGATATTAAAATGAAAATTGCCACCTCTTTTGACATTTTTATGAAGTTGTTAATTATTTTAACTTCAAGCATTGAAATATAAACATTCTTGAACATAATTATTTAATTTTTTATTTAATATTTGTTTAGTAAGAAATGAGAATTAAGCAAAAGACCATTTTATTTAATCATTTTCAAATATATTTTTATTTTAAGAATGTTTATATTTAGAAAATATTGATTATTTTAAACCAGATATCTGTTTATGGTTATAGGAGGAAGTTTTTTCAATATTTGGTTCTCTGGTTTTAATGGTATTCCTATTTTATTAATCATAGATATTCCTTGTTAATGTGAAAAATTGTAAGGTTGATTTTTTGTTAAGAAAACAAAAATTTATCAATTGCAAATGCTTTTGAATTTTTAAAACAGCTCTACTATTAAACTTATTTTGTTATTAAAGATTTCCTTTTAGCTTACTTGTTTTAATTCCTGTTATGGTGACAACCAGTTTAATGTTATCGTCTTTGTTTGAGGTTGAGCAAGTAAGATAATCGTGCTTTTTTTGAAGTCACTTAATTTAAAAATAAATAAATTCCCGGATGAGGTTCTATTTAACTGTTTTATTTTTGTTGGTTTGTAGTTTATTAATCATTCATTAAAAATTGTTTAGGATTCTTGGGATAAACAGTGGTCCAATTTGTAATCTATGATTAATTAATTATTTAAAAAAATTAATATCAATCAAAATGAGTAACCCAATAAAATGTGTAATAAACAGAGTTATTACTTGACTTCTCTCCTAGATGTTTTTTGGTATTTTTTTTATCCTTTGTCATAACAGTACTCTTGTAAATTAGCAATTCTAGTCTTATTTGAGGCTCAGATTGAATGTGGAATAATTTGGATCTTGTTTTTTTTTTTGTTTTTTTTTTAATTTTGTGTGTTTTGTCTCAAAATATAGTATTTTGTTTCTAAAGTTACTAAACTGAATTGGAAGAAAATTGAAAAAATGTCAAAACATATTTTTAAAAAATAGTTCATAATTTTACCAAATTAAAAGTGAAAAATATTAAGTTTTGAATAATTTTAGTTAAATTAAATACATTTCGCAATTTAAGAAATCTTCCTCATATAGTTAATTATGCCATATGTGAATTGATCTGATTAATTAAAAGTAAGGATTTTTTTTCAAATACTGCTTTTCAATGAGCGATTTTATGCTTTTTTTAAGTATTTTTTTTTTGTATTTCTTCCTTTACAAGTATCAAAAGTATATTTAATTTTTATATATGTAGTAACGTAGATATCATTGTGTTATTAGTATATTGATTTGTTTAATATGGTTTGGTTATTTGTGTGCCTGTTTCGTCTATTGATAGATGCTAGATTTGATTTTGGCTTTAAGATTATTGGTATCTTTTTATATCAGATAATAATAATTTTAAATTAATTGCCATTAGCTTTTGAAATATTTTATGCTTTAACTAGTGTATACATTGCATTAAAAATTCAGAATTTGACTGATTAAATATGTAATCCAGAACCATCATAATTTGAAATAAATTTACAATGTTTTTTTAGCTTCTGGTATGTTATAATTTCAATAAAGGTTTTTATGATGCATTATCTTGATATCATAAAAAAGAGCCAACTTCCATGTATATGTGAATTGTTAGTATAGAAACCTGATAAAACCATCTACGAAACCCTGATTATTTTTTTGCCATTATCAGTTTTATTTTGTTTAAATTTTTTAGCAATAAATTGAAAACAAAGGAGGATTAGTTTTATTATTAAATTTTTATTTTACCTAGGGCAAATTGTCTTCCTTTTTTTATTTTGACGTAACTTATGTTGTACCTTGTGCTAAGACATAGCTTAACAGGTTGTTTAAGTATCTGTTTATTTTTAAATTATGTAGGATGAAAAACATAGTAGCCTGTTAACTATGATGATCTTAGCACGAGGCATATCATTTCTTAGATCTAATATATCTTGTTGTTGCAGGGTGTCCATTACCTCCGTCAATGCAAAACTTTACCCAGATCGGGACCCTAACTCCAGGTGAGTTTCATTAGAATAAAAATGAATGTATCAATATATATTATACAACAAAATCATGGAAATAATAGAAAAATATATTTTCTTTGATTAAAAAAAAAAAGTAACCTTCATGCACACACACATATAAATTTTTTAAAAACTATTACTTTTATGTTTGAGATGATTATTTTAGTCATGCCATAATTTTTACATTTACTCATAATGATAACAGTATTTAATTTAAATTGTAAAAGAACCAAAATTGGATTTATTTCAGAACTATTCAAGTCAGTTTTTGAAACTTTGTCATTTTTAATTCAGTGTGTTAAGTTTTACTAAAAATGTTAAAACATTTTTATTTATATTTGTTCGCAGATTTCATTGTTTTTTTTTTGTTTTTTAAGGATTATATTTGTTGAAATATATATATAGAATAATTGATTTCCACCCTCCTCTCCTGAGATTAAAGCGAAACCAAAAATTATATAAAATGTAATTTTTTAATAAAACTTATTTTTTTTTAAATGAATAAAAGAGGAGCTGGATGAGAGATCTCCTTTCCTAAATTATGAAGTTGACCAAGATCAGGAAGAGGTACTGCTGGGTACTAATCTTCCTACGGCCTTAAATGTCAATTTGCTATACAATGAGATCACATCTGCTTATTGTCAAGATTTTGACTGGTGTGGATAGAAATATAAAGAGAGAAAAACAAAACAAAAAACAATGAAATCATTTCTTATTTAAAATATATTTTTTTACAACAATGTTAACAGCTTTTAGGATTAAATGATTATTGAATGGAAATGAGTGAAAGGAATATTAAGTGGGAAGAAAAAATTTACTCTTTTGTAATCTTAAAGTAAAGGTTCACTTGTGGCTTTATTGATTTTGAGGCTGTTTTACATGATCAAGTTTCTCTGCCAAAGCTTTGTCCTTGAACTTTCTTTGAACATATCTTTTCCACTCGTTACTGTAAAATAATCTTATCTTAGTAAATGAAAAAAAACAACCTGAATTAACTAGAAAAATTCTATTTTGGTATTTACTGATGATATTTTATTCACATTTATATGCTAAAGAGGCTCAACAACAACAACATATTTGTTTATTTAATGTATTTGCTTCCATACTATAATGTAGGGAAACATAGTTTATAGTTCCGTTTTGCTACTCCAAAAGTGATGGTTTTAGTGTCACTGAGGGCAGGATATTCCATGATAACTGAAAGAAGAAAAAATCTATCTATTATAAAAGTAAATAATAGTAAAAATATTGATATGAATATAACTTGTAGACTTCCAATCTAATAACCGAATTCTTTAATACGAATAATAATATTTAAGACAGTTCAAATTTTTGTAACGATCAAAAAGTTATCTGTACCTTATTATGTTATTATCAATATTTTTTTATGTACGTATTTTAATATATTGTTTAATATAAGCAATTAGAGATCAATACATCACCTTAACACAGCTTAACATATACTGTAACACCATTACATGATTATGTTTTTGGATTAACTCTGTTGTATAACGGTGAAACCAATTGGTATGGAAAGTAAAATGATTTCTTTTTATATTTTAATGTGGTCAATCAAAATAGTTATTGGGCTGTTTCACAAGAAATTACAGGTTTTATTATTTTAGAAATTCGTAAATGATTTATTAGTCTCCTGTTGTTTACTAAGAACATAGTTAATGATTATTATTAACAGTTACCAATGCTCTTCTAATAACCTGTGTGAGAACTCTTGTACTATATGTCTATCCATCTTCCATATAAATGTTATTAGTAAAACATTTTTATTTGTATAAATGACAAAATATTATCAAGAAAGTGTATTCATCTGACTGTAGAAGGAACAGTTTACTAAATAAGTAATTAGCTTACTCTACTTGAAAATATCTCTTCTGTAAAGCTAATTGTAAATTTAAACTTACCTCCTGGTATTGTGCTCGTTAAGACCCATTGGGTTGGTGCAGAAGAGCAGATCCATTAGTGTGTAATTATCTTTCTCAATAGGAATGGAATATAGAAGCCAGACCTGGATAAGAATTTGATCACCACAGGTGATTTTAACAACCAAGAAAATATGTCTCCTCAAAACTTCCAATTATCCTGGGTACTCAAGGGATCAGATTAAAGATTGTAATATGTAAATATCAATTGATTGTATGTAAACTCATAAAGAATGTTCAATTTTTTAAATAATTATTCTTTTGGTTGTTGAGATTTGTATTAGTTCTTGGTTTTAACTAGTTCAATTAAGAAAAAGTATATTAAAAACATTGTTGTAAAAAATGAAAGGTTTTTATTATAAGATTGACTCTCTATGAAATTGTATTGAAGAAAGTATTATTTGTTTTTGAAATTGAATGAATATTTATGTTGTGTTTCCTGCTACAATCTAGCCTAACAAAATATTAGGATTTATATTGATTAAGTATTTTTATTTTATTTTCTCTGTTATTTGTCAATAAGGTGATTTATCTTTTCAGGGCCCGGTTCCAGGCTAAGTATTATGGCCATTTTGGGGTCTCCTTTACCAAAGTTGACATCCGATCAAATGGATGCAGTCACAAGAGCTAAGAAATATGCTATGGAGCAAAGTATTAAAATGGTTCTAATGAAGCAAACACTTGCTCATCAGCAACAGGTAGTTTAACATGATTATAATGTTGTATGACGTGATGGATTTTAATTTTGTACGTATAATTATTATAATTAAGACTTTTGAGGTTATGCAAATATTACGTCCTGCCCCCAACTATATGATGAGAATAATACAATATTTCACAGTTCACACATTGCCTGTTATTGGAAGAATTTTCTTAAATAACTCTTGCTAATATTAAATTTGAAAGAAATGACAGATCACTTCAAATTTTATGTTAAAAGTTATAACCATAAAAGTTATAAATTGTTTTAATATGAGCTACTAAAATAAAATTTGTCTTATTGAATGGATTGGATATCTTTTTTCTAAGTTACATCCATTTTCAGACAGTTTCTTGTTATTTTTCCCCCTCTCTTCTATTCACGATTCCTTCTAAACTAATTAGTGTTCAAGTTTTTGGGAGTCTGTTATATAATTAATTGATTTAAGGTGTAGTATAAAAACTTTCTAGTTTATTTTGGAAGTTTATTGCTGGGATAGTAAAAATCAATAATCATTAGTATGGTGTGGCTAAAACATATCCTCTTGTATTTTTTTTTTCTTATTTGTACTATCATAACATTAAATAATACGATGTTAAACATAATGCCTCAATACTTAATAAGATTTGCCCAGAATAGTAAGTGCTTAAAAGTATTTCTTTTGTTACAGCAAGCCAAGTCTTTCCATCGCCATCAAGCTTTGGTACTCATGTGCAGGTGAGAAATTTTGACCCTTTATTATTTATAGGATTGCAATAGTTTTCTGTAACATTTTCTTATAGTAGTTTCAGTATTAACATAATGCAATACTAATATATGTTAAGTTATAATTATTTTTCTTGAATATTGATACCTATAATTAAAGACCGGATCTTCGTGCAGTAAAACTCTGAAGAACTTGCAGCAAAAAACTCAAAATGTGCTAAATCGTGCAGTAGAAACCCAAAATATGTAATAATTTACATAATTTTATGTAATTAACACTTAAAACGTGCAAAATCATCTATTTTATTTAATTAATTATAATAATTATGACATTAATAATTAATTATGACATTAATACATCTGAATCTTATCAAAACCTGTGTTAAGCTTCCGAATTAAAACAAAATAATGGGTGAAGAGAGAAACAATAATAAGGATTAACATTGAATTATTATCCTTTTCTATCATTTAAAAATGAAAATTTAAAGATGTATAACAAAATACGTGGATGAAACATTTAATGATTTTTCCCTATACAATAAGGTGTCAAAAAAACATTCGATCCTTAAATAGAATTTAATTTTTTCTTACTTGTTCTTTATTGAACATCTGTCTGTGATTTCTTATCACACTGTCTGTGATTTCTTATCACAGAAGACAACTTTCTCATCAAATTGCAACTCTGATTAATTTGATGTCCAGATTTTAATTTTTGACTAGAGACTAGATCCTGCTTTCCGCATTAATCGATTTAAAAAAAAAATAACCTTGAAATTATTATAAACCACTACAAAGCCATAAGAAATATTGAAAGGCTGAAAATGAGTGAGGATTTAAACCAAACCAATAACAATTAATATTCTTTCTAACAAAACAGCTTATTCTAGGAATGGATTTTTGTTTTTATAGTTATCCAGTACTTCAGGCGAGTTTTGTTCCAAGAATATTCCCCGCTAGTGTTTACTTCTTCCTTTTGTAGTGTTAAATCTAACCTTAGCTTGTTGCAGAATTATTTACCTCGTATTTTTCTATCTCAAATTATAAATGTAATATGGACAATATAGTAATATAAATAGGTAAATATTAACCCACACATATATATTTATAGTAATAAATAATCTAATAATAGTACAAAAAGTGCAAAAATGTGCAATTTAATGCAAAAAAAATCAAAATAGTGCAATTTAAGCCAAATATGGCAAAGCATGCTATTTTGTGGAGTATAAAATAAAGGTTCTGAAACAGATAGATAATCGGGTTTGGACTTTTTATAAGCAAGAGAATAAAATGTGCAATAATATGGAAATTCGGCCTCGACTTCTAATTTAAAGATAAACCAGGTTGCCTTAGTGGTGGTGATCTTAGTCAGAATATGATAGTGACTTGTTGATAATGTGATTTGACTCATGCTTCCTAGGTTCACAAAGATAAAAAAGATTGCATTAAAAAAGTAAATTATCACAGGAAGATTTACTTAATCTTGTCTGTTTATGTTTCAAGTAGTGGTTGTCAACAGTTACTCTTCCAATTTGAAATTGGTAATTTTCCATTGATGAAGTGTTTCCTAATTTGATGCAGAATGATTAGAAAGCGTTTGTTGAAAATGATTGAGTCGCTTCGGCTTGATTCTCATTTATCACTGATACATTAATCAAAATTAGCTGATAAGATATGACTGCATCATTTAATTTCCATTTTGGTTATAATTTATCATATTTTTTAAATCTGAAAGATCTGATTAACAATTACTTTATTTTATTTCCAGAGTATATGTTGGGTCAATCAGCTTTGAATTGAAAGAGGATACCATTCGCCAGGCGTTCAGCCCGTTTGGTCCTATAAAATCTATCAACATGTCATGGGATCCAGTGACGCAAAAGCATAAAGGTTTCGCCTTTGTTGAATATGATATCCCAGAAGCCGCCCAACTAGCGTTAGAACAAATGAATGGAGTGATGCTAGGTGGGCGGAATATCAAGGTAGAAGTTCTCTATCCATACTATTGCTGTACCTTATAATCATTCTAACATCAGTTGATGCATACGAAAATAGACTATATGAGTGGATTAATATCAATCATGGACATCTATCATTCTTAAAAAGTTGAGAAAAAGCCAATTTTCTCTGTAACATAGTTTCAATTTATACCTGTTTTAATGTTTTTGTTTTTTTTCATTAATCAACTTTAAAATTCTTAAATAAAATCATAGAAACAGTTTGTGTTAAACCAATAAAACAAAAATTGACTTTTTCTCCGCTTTCTGTTAGTCTTTGATATGAAGCCACTCTATTATTATACATATTATTAAAATGTAATGAAAGAAATTATTTTAAAGATAATTTTTAGTTTATTCCATGTATGTAAAACTTAGTTCTATTATAAACGTATAGTTGTCTTTTATATTTCAAAGAGTAAAATAAAAATTTGTAGTATATATAATGTATACAGACTTTTTTGTTTGACAAAAATTATGTATACCATGTATAAACTGTGTGTTAGGCCGAGATTTATTGGCTGTTTTTGCCATGTGTAGGTGGGGAGACCGAGTAACATGCCTCAAGCCCAATCTGTAATTGATGAGATTACAGAGGAAGCCAAGCAGTACAACAGAATTTATGTGGCTTCAATTCATCCAGATCTATCTGAAGAAGACATTAAAAGGTATTTCATTTTTTTTCTTAATTTTCTTTGTTTATGATTTCACTTCTATGGTTGACACTTATCAGAAAATTATGCTTTTCTTGATGAATGTTATATCGTAATTACTTTATTAGTAATAAATTAATTTCCTAAATTATTAATATTGATTTAAATTATAGTCACTTAGAACGTAATGTTTTTATCTCAACTTTTATTGAAATTTGTCTGAACTTTGTGTGCATTAGTATATTCACATTTAACTTAAATTTTATCTTTTATTAATTTTAAACTTGATTGCCGTATTTGATACATTTTCCTTATTTCAACTTTTCAAAGCAGTTCTTTTATACTGTATATTTTAATTTTCCCCACTTACCTTCCTTTTCTTTCTATATTAATTGTTATGTTGAAACATTATATAAATCATTAATTAATTTCTTAATTCATTCGATTTAATAATAGAATGCTTATTTCTTCTAAAAAATAAGACTGTTATTTCATACATAATTTTGTTTTCAGTGTGTTTGAAGCATTTGGAACAATTAAGTACTGTAAATTACAACAAGGTAGTTCACCTCATCGACATAAAGGATATGGTTTTATCGAATATGAGACAAAGCAGGCTGCCCAGGAAGCCATTGCTTCGATGAACTTGTTCGATTTGGGTGGTCAATATCTGAGGGTAGGAAGGGCCATTACTCCACCCAATGCCCTTCATGTAAGTTATCAAAATAATAATTCAACAATTATATGATATAATAATAATGCAATACAATTGTATGTTTGTGACTGATGTAAGAGTATCAGTTTTTCATTTACTTTCTTGATTCATTATTCTGACTTGATCCATTATTTAATGCATGGTTTTCATTTATCCTCTTTTAAGAAACAATGTTTAATTACTATTCTTGCAGGGCCCCGCATCATCTTCAAGTCAGATGCCAACGGCCGCTGCGGTAGCGGCTGCTGCAGCCACTGCTAAGATTCAAGCGATGGATGCTGTCGCTACTAATGCTGTCATTGGTAAGTAATACAAATATTACTTATAATTAATACTTATTATTATTTATCGTTGCTTGATAAAGTTAATTTTGACTGACTGGCTGACTTCTATAGATGAAGAAGATTGTAATTTTACCTTCTTCTTTTTTATTTATTTTTGCTCATGGCTTTTAATAAAAAACAAATTTCGGATTGCTGTTATTTTCAAATGCTATATAATATTACAAAGTTTGGCATGTTTGAGAAAGCATATATCCATATAATATAAATATAATTATATAAAATATAAAAATAGACTAACTTGTTTTAGACTAATTATTTAGTAGTCGTATTTAATAACTTATAGTAAAATAATTAGTGCAACTAAAATAATCTTACTATTTAAATAATATGTTTCACTATAAATTCATTGTAATTGGGTGCAGTAATTCTCCTAGTTTACATTGTTTCAATCTAGCAAGATAGAAATAAATACACTTACTTATGACCATAAAATCTTGTGTTTTGATTATTTTTGACAAAATAATAATTTTTTTTATTAAAAGCAGCAGTTTTGATACTCTTATTACATGAAGTAGCTCTTTACTATTTGTTAATTTTATAACAGTAGCCTTATCTTGAATGACTGCCATTATTTGTCATTTAATTTTTAAGGTCTACAGCCTTAAATTAATTTAAAAATAAGAATTTATTATTAATAAAATTAATTATGATACTTTATTATGAATTGGCACTATGCTGATGGTAGAGAACTATATTGTCTTGAAATAAATGAAACTTGGAAAAAATTTAATTATTTTCAACCATTATAAATGTAAAACCCATTTGTTTTAATTTTAGTATAAAAAAAATTTCTTTTCAATTAAGACTGCCATGTTATATGTAATAATTACTTGTAAAATTATTTTTAATCATTACAAACATTCATTAAGCCTGTTTGTGTTTTTTTTTAAAACTTTTTTTATTTTTTTTTTTGTGACAGGTCTTTTTGGAATATAAATATAAAATATAATATAAATTTATTGAACCAGATGTTGAAATAAAAAGTAAAATATTATTTTATTACAGGTCTTTCGAAGTTGACTTCAACACTGGGAACTCCTGCCGTGATCCCCGCTACAGTTCCTCTTGTCCCGACCCAAGCAGGCGTCCTCCCTCCTCCTGGCATCGCCATTCCCCAGCCCCTGCCCGTCGCAGGACAGTTCAGGGCTCCTCAACCAATCATTCCAGGTTAGTTGCTTGTTATATTGTTGTTTATTATTTCTGTATATTGTTAATTTTAATTTATCATTGGACTTAGTTCATCCTCTTTTTATTCTACACCCATTGGACTTCACTGCTATTGGCCTTTACTCCCTGAAAATATCCTTTAGTGGATTTAGCCCTGGAGCCAGGGCCCAAAAATCTACCTGATCGCAGGTGAAGGTTTGATCGTAAATTACGAAAGTGTATGTTATTCTGAGTAAAAAAAATCTGGTTTGCCGTTCCAGAGCTGCTGCTTTCAGAAATGGCGGCTGATTTAAAGAATATTAAGCCAGTAATTTCAGGATCGAAACGGGAAATCCATTGCAAAAAATGTAAGAAAAGTTTTTATTTTTTTAACTTGTATATAGGGGTTCAGACATGTAAAAAAACAAAATTGCTAACGCGGGCCACCAAGGGAAAACTTTTTACAGCCAAAATAGACAGATTTTTTTGATATTTTTTGTGTTTTTCTCCTATAACTCCTAAACAATGCATCAAAGCGAAAAATGTATTCTTTAATAAATTAAAGGAGGTTAAATTTTGCGTCAAACGAGTATATAAACTTTATAATTTGGTTACGCGGTAAGGTATAAAACCACGGTCAACCAACACTGAACTTTATCAAATTTGTCAAAAACTAAGACAAATTACTTTAAATGGCCCTGTAACTTGGAAATGAGTTTCCTAAGAGGAAAAACCCATAGAATCAAAGTTGTAGAGCATCAAATTTTGCGTCCATTGAGTACTGACATTTTTATTTTAGGCCAATTATATATCTTGAATCGGGATTCGTTAGTCCTTTATAAAATTTGGAATCTTTCGGCACATCGTTCACCAAAATCATTTGCTGTTGAGAGGTGGAAAAGAAGCTTATACTGCATGTAACAGACTTTAAACAAAACTAACTCATTAGAAAAGACACTCATACTGTTGAAATATTGAAAATCAGGTTTACCTCCATTACCAATTTCTAACCATCGATAGATTACCGATTTTTTTCGCAGCCAGTGACCTACATTAAATTAGTTGGTACTCAGTTGACGCAAAATTTGATGCTCTACAACTTTGATTCCATGGGTTCTTCCACTTAGGGAACTCATTTCCAAGTTACAGGACCATTTATAGTAATTTTTCTCAGTTTTTGACAAATTTGGTAAAACTCAGCTTTGGTTGACCGTGGTTTTATACCTTACGGCGTAACCAAATTTTAATGTTTCTTTGATCGTTTGACACAAAATTTAACGTTCTTTAATTTGTCAAAGAGAACATTTTTCGTTTTGATGCATGTGTAGGAGTTATAGGTGAAAAACCCAAAAAATATGGAAAAAAAATGACTTTTTTGGCTGTAAAAAGTTTTACCTTGGTGGCCTGCATTAGCAGTTTTGTTTTTTACATGTCTAAACCCATATATACAAGTTAAAAAAATAAAAACTTTTCTCACATATTTTGCAATGGATTTCCCGTTTCGATCCTCAAATTATTGGCCTTATATATTTTAAATCAGCCGCCATTTTTGAAAGCAGCGGCTCTGGAACGTCAGACAAGGTTTTTTTTACTCAGAATAACATACACTTTCATAATTTACAATCAAACCTTCGCCTGCGATCAGGTCGATTTTTGGGCCCTGGCTCCAGGGCTAATTGCATTTTCAATGAAAACATCTAGTTATGTATGATCATTTTTGTGATTTACAATACCTATCTTAAAGTTATTAATTATTAAAATTAAAATTTCATACTCAACTTTAAGATACTATTAAGTTTAAGAATCACCCTGTTAAATTATTTGTCATATATTCCTCAAATATTATTACAGTAAGGCTTGAAATTGGTTTTGTACCAAATATAAGCTCCTGTCATACTCAAATACTATGAACGTGGTACTGTTGGATTCAGAATTTCACGGGGTTTAGCAAATCGTACTCTCCGCTTTTGTTTTTCTTTCTAAAATAAATAAATTCGATACAAACATTTTTCTAGACTTAGATAATGGAACGGTGGTAAGTCTGTAAATCGATACAAGACAAATTGGGCTTTGAAGATTTTGATGCGAACAGCAAGACCCGGATAGTTCCTTCGGATAGCCCTGTGTTCTTAAGCTAAAAAAACATACTATTTTCGAGATAATGCTAGGCTAAGGGTTCACATCCACACAACCTTACATTAATTGTAGTACTGTCATTGAAAACATGTCTCATTTCATCGACTTGAGGCCTCTATGATTGAGAGAGGAGGAGTTTATATTATTTATCGAAGGTGTATTTTGTTGGTAACCCACATCATCGTTAATTCTTTGCCAAATCGCAAGATTGAGCCACCAATTTTGAAGGTTTCTTTCTCCTCCATAGTCCAATCACCCCAAAATTCAGGCAACAGTTATGAAAGAAAAGAAACTTTATTTGCGAATAACTCAAAAAAATAAACACTTCTCTTGTTACACAGTTGTCCTAATGTTGGAATTGGAGAAATTCCTGAGGTCATGAATGCTTTAGTTATCGGCTGGAAAAACAATACCCTAAGAAAATCAAGAATTAAATTCTGCAATTTTCTATTGCTATCAAAATTCATGTTTAAGAGATTCATAAAACACTAAAAATGAATCTAACTTGCTTTTTCTCAGCAAAAATTTATTTGGGCTTCTTTACCGGGAGCCCCTTTCGCTTTTTGTAATATATGATACATTATAATTTATTTAATATGATTATCAATATTTTTTTCTTATTCTGACCCAAGAAGAAATTGTATTGATACATTATAACCTAAAATTTCCTGCAAAGCAAATGCAAAAATAAATAAACTTTGTTTGAAATTATATTTAAACAAATTTTCTCGGTTCCTAGGGCCCTTAGGTACGAACGCGTCCAATATTTTTCAATGTAATATCACCAAAAAAATTTTTTTATTTTGTTTGTGGTAAAAAATCAGAATGGAAGCCGATGCAAGTCAGCCTTAAAAACATAATGGCACTGTAAACTGGGTACCGTCAGCACACATTTTTTGATGAAATCAAGCAATGGGTCTTCAGATTTCAACTAAAATCTATAGATATCATTTCCATACTATTAAAAAAGAATATTATTAATTTGGTTTGAAAATTTTAATTTTTACCGCTGTTATCATCGTTGAACAGTGAAAACTGCTTTAAACTTGGAACGAGCATAGCTTTGGAACTAAATATCGCTAAGAGATGGGATGAGAGTTTGGTAATCCCCATTAAAAACTGTAGGGCCCACCAGGATAGATGTTCAATATTTTTCAATCTGTCAAAAAAAAAAAAAATAGGTTGAAATCTGTGACCCACTGACTGTAGCCTCTGACTCAATGACTGTCCCTTGTGAATCGTTAGCCTCATTATATCCACTCCCTTTAGAACTTGCTGTCTGGAGCAGACACTGCATTCGTCCTGTGGAAGGTGCGGCCCTGGTGGTATTAAATAATTTATTTTTTATTATAATATAAAAAATAATTATATGTTGAATTTTTCCGTTATTGTTATTATTAGCTTTATCGAACGAATCCCAGGAATTAAAACATTTTTTTTTTTAAAACCTAGGAATAAAACACCGAAAGTGGTACCCATAGCTTAGTGACTAATCTATAAATAGAAAAATATTGGGTGCCTCCTGTCTTAGTTAATAATAATTAAGTTATGATTTATGTGCCATAGCATTTTTCTGCTAATATATTTAAACGATTATTGTTACAAATTGTTTTAATTTTAATTTCTAAATGTTCTAGCTCCAGGTGTGGTTGCACCTACTCTGATTGCGACACCAGCGGCAACAAACAGCCAGGAGGCGCTGCGACGAGCGCAGGAACAGGCACAGGTACCTCTCCCAAATTACACTAATGAATGGCCCGTGGCTCAGACAGAGGCCTTCCCCTCCTCACTCCCAGCTCCTATATCCTCTGCGTCCTTGTTCAAGGTTAGCTTCGTTGTCTTTTCAAATATCAACAAGTTTTTACAATTAGCAACATCTAAGGTTGATAACATTAATGGGGAAAACACTTTATTGATTAAGTTATTATTAATTATTTTACCTTATTATTATACTCAAACAGTTCATAGACCTAATGTGTGTTCGTCAAGTTTAAGGCTAGAACTGCTATAATAGTAGTAGATATTAAAACGTTTAAATCTTACTGACTAACTTCTTAAATCTTTTGTGTGTAATAACCAGATATTATTGTGTATTAAACATGGCATTATCACATCACAATTCCCTTCTATCTCAGCAGTATATTCATTAAAAAGATCTACATCATTTGTGCGGAACCTTTTTTTATCAGAGGCCACAGGACGGTTAAGCAGTGCTATTGAAGGCTGCAACGTTTTATTTTACTGTCGCTATTTTTATGTATCACTAAATATATACACCCATATACATGTTTTCAACTTAATTCTATTAATTTTCAAATTTTTATAAACTAAATTATTAAATATTAATTCTGGCACTAGATTAATAAATATCATAAACGTATAAACGTTTGGCAGCCGTAGCTAGAGGACTGTGGCCACATGTGGTCTAGATACCGCAAGTTTTCCTCTTATGTCCTATACTATACTTCATAAACTGATATTTGAACTGTTGACTTCATTATGTGGGTGATTTCTCAAGGTTTAGCGAGGGGTTCAGCTAAGAAAAGTTTGTTATTTTTGTGTTAGTTAGTGGATAAAGAATATAGACTTCAACCAAGTTGATAGAAACTGGGTTTGATCTATCTATTAGGTGTGGGTTAAGCTGCAATAATACAATTTATACTAGTGATCCAAGTATATAAAACATGATTGATAACTATGATTGATCTTCATGCCCTTGAAAAAACTTCCACTTTGGGTTACAATCCTTTCCCTTTTCCTTCATAATCCTTATTGTTAATCAATTTTAAAATATCAACGAAATTTGTAAAACAATATATTTATTGGTGATGATACCTTAGTAAGATTTTTAAGGAAGTCGATGACAATTCATTGAATAAGTCATAGCCAAACAATAACAGAAATGCTTTTATTGTTTGACTGTAGGCGCTAACTCACTTGAATTAATCTTAACTGAGTATTGCCTACAGATTCCTTTAGGAAACATTAAACATTACAAGGTTATTGAAGGAAGTTAGTCGACTGTTCTACATATCATGGGTGATAAATATTCAAGACGCAGTCATTATAAGGCTTTTATTAGTGCCGACGTTACAACCCAAACATGTGGTACAGTGCTCGAACCACGCCCTGATGATGACTCACATGTTTGGGTTAAAATGTCGGCACTAATAAAAACCTTATGCGTCCTGTATATTCATCACCCATTACAAGGTTAGTATAAAAGAAAAGAATCAGTTTTATAGCATTTCCTCTGTGTATAATTCATATAAGTGTTTTAGAGTTCGATATTAGAAAAAATATGTAGTCTCCCCTTCTATTATTAATTCATAGAAACCTAAAAACCTGAGTTATAAATATCCCAACTGTGAAGCCTGTGAGGCTATCTCTAGAAGTAGGGTTAATTTTAGGTCTTTAAATGTAGGGACCATTGTGTTCCATCTTAGTTTTGAAACGAGCTATGAAAAATGCTCACCGCATGTGTTTACCTGATTTCTCAAAATCCATTGCTCCTGATGACCGCAAAAGCTCTATACTACAGAATACATAAATAGCGATGATCATGTTCTTAAATCTTAATTGATCAAGATAATTTAAATTCCTTCACAAATATAAAGAACAAATAAAATAAAAATATTGATTAATTAGTAAAGTAGGTACTTAATTAAAATTTTAATAATTAGTTAATTTTCAGTCTAACAAATAAAAATAATAATGGAATACTTGATTAAAAAATAAAATAATTAATTGTTAACTTTCTTTAAACATAGTATAGGCATTGTGAGTTGACATTAAAATGTCTATGGAACTTAGTTATTTTTAGCACTTTATATGAAACTCATTTATCAAGATTGTCAAAGCATCAGGAGGTATCGCTATCAATAAAAATATAAGTATTACAATATTTAAAGTTTGAAATAATTTTAATTTATTCAGTTAAAACAACAGGAAGAACTTCAGAAGAAACTACTTGAAGAAAATGAGCCTCAGACGTTACAACAGCAAGAGAACATGTCGATTAAGGGTCAGAGCGCCAGGCACCTGGTCATGCAGAAGCTTATGAGGAAAGTTGAGGTAAATTATTTTTGAACTTTTTTTGTGTCAATTTATTTGGGAGAAAGAACCTTGTAAGAGTCCATCATTTGATCTTACATACCAAAATTTTTAGATGTGCAATTACTATTTTTTACAATTTACAATAGATATAATTTCTACATATTCTTGAAAAAAGTTATCAATCCCTATTTTAGCATTATTTATTTTTATGGTTGTTAAAATAAGATAATATTTATGTTAAAAAGACGATTTAGTCCTTTAATCAACTTAAAAAGTAATATAAGAAAGAATCATTATTTTCCATTTGAGGAGATAAATTTAAAGATTTTTTTTAAAAGAATGATGTAGTTTGTTTTAGAAGAAATTCTTTCACCATATAAAAGCTACCATAGCTACAAAAAAACATAAATAATCTCTATTTTTTTTTATCATAGAGTCGTGTAGTCATTCTACGGAATATGGTTGCACCTGAGGATGTTGATGAATCTCTACAGGAAGAAATACAGGAGGAATGTAGCAAGTGAGTGTTGTAGTTAATAGATGTGAATATTTTAAGATAATTAATAATCTATTATATAAAAAAGTTCTTAGTGACTCATTTTATTTTATTTTAGTATTAGGAGAGTAGGAAATGACAGGAGCTCAACTTATACGACTGTTCATTTAATTACATATGTGTTGAACTGTTATCTCCTAATACAAAATAAATATTTTAGACTAAAAATTTGTACGGGAAGATGAATATCTGCACTAGAGGTAGTAGTTAGTTTGATTTTAGCTAGGTGCAGCAGTTATTTTTTGATCTAGACTTTTACCCTTGAATGCAATATATAAAGTATTATATTATATATGATCATCATTTATATTACATTTTGATATAATTATAATTACTATAAAATAGAAAAGGAAGCACAATATTTTGTACAATGAAAATATAAATTAAAAGCTCAATTTATTGGTAGCTGAACAAGTTGAATATATATTATTTTATTTATTATTCATTTATTTATTTTTTACATATTCTGCCATTTGCACCTGCGCTGCTGCGTACCTAGCAAATTTGATATATTACTGATTAGTTGAGTTTTCTTGATTAGCTTCATTTTGTATTTATTGTAGTAGGTCCCTCGGCTATTTTCTTTTTAATCTTCGACAATCAGGTAACAGGGAGCAGGAAATAGAAAGGATTAATGCATTGAAGTGTATTTGCCATAGATGTAGGATTTTATTGTTGGGATGTTCAAGTCATTATGTATAGTATTATTTGAAATGTACCAAGGTGCGTTGACAATTTTTTGTAGAATTTTTGATTGTGTTGTTTGTATTTTGTTTATGTGTGTTAGTTTTGCCGAACCCCTAAGTTCTGCTCCATATGTCCAAATTGGTCTCAGTATGGTGTTATAGTTACACATTGGCAATTGTAATAAATGTAATTGAAATTAAAAATTTGTCCGAACTGTGGTTTTGTTAATTTTATTTTATGTTGACAAAAAATAATACAATCTGAACTACACAATACATGTTAATTATAGTTATACAATTTGAGCAACGAGTAGTACAATTAAATGAACAGTTGTATAATTTGTAAAATTGGAGTTGGTCCGCTGCTGGACGGACAGGGGGTACCCCCATATTCTATTATAATCTAATATATAATTAATAATATATGAGGCTGCAGGCAACATCTGTTATCTATGCAAGGATAAATTATAGATTTCAGTCAACTGGTGTGAAGAAAAGGTGGTGGAGATAGTTTTTATAATAACCAGTATCGTACAAACAAATAAATAATTAGATCTAAAAATTTGAAATGATTGAAATCCTTTTTAGAAATGTAGAATTATTTACTGTTAGATGTTTGTTGTTATCAGCTGTAAAATATGAATAAACTATTGACCTGATAAAATTTGATAATCACTTCTATCTTAAAGGAGAAATTTATAAAAATTACAATTTACTTAATGAATTTAAAGTAACATAACGATAATAATAGTTATTTTTGTTTTTTGTTTTTCAGGTATGGTACTGTCGACAGGGTTATCATTTATAATGAAAAGCAGTCAGAGGATGATGATAATACTGACATAATTGTGAAGATTTTTGTAGAGTTCTCAAAAATGAAAGGTAATACAATAATATTTAATTTTTTTCATATTGATACTGAAAACTGATCTATAAAAGCCACTTGATATTTTGCGATCAGCCTAGAAAGTTATGAACCTTCTCGATTCAGTATTGTCTTGGTATTTTGAATAAATTTTTTTATTTGACATCTCAAACAATTATAATATTAAATTTAACAAATTATTATTACAAATAATCAATTTTCATTATACATATGCAAAAATCACTACAGTATTATATATATAATTTATGTTTGTTACAGTTGTGTATAAATTAATATTCAATACATTTTTATTACAGAGGCGGAGGCTGCAAGAGATGCACTCAATGGAAGGTTTTTCGGTGGACGCCTTGTCAAAGCCGAACTTTATGACCAAACTCTTTTTGACCATAGTGACTTTTCTGGTTGATCTTGTTTTGTTTTTTTAAATTTCAGCATTAATGACCCAATGGGTTTGTTTTACTCATTAATTTTTAAGCAAACATTTATTTAAACCAAAAAACAAATTCCTACATTTTATTTACTTTTTTTATTAATTTTTTTCTATAATACTATACTAAATAATAGTATACTTTTATTTTTGTTTTTTTTCTCTAATTTTTTAATATGCATATTTTAGGTGCTTTTTCTTTTTAAGTTATTAATCATATATAAATTATGGATATTAAAATATAAACAGTTATTGATCTCAAGACTAGAAGGTACTCATTATTTTACTGTTGAGTACATTTAAGTATATACGCCCAAATCCATCATTAGCTGATGAAATAGTTACTTATTACATCTACTTCGATATCGATACTTCATTCCACTTTTATTTTATTTTTGTGTATTATTACTATTTATTTTTGCTATTTCCAATGTCTATATTTTTTGCAAGTATGATTGTTCTAACCAGATCTACAATGTAGATTAAAGATTTTAAAATTTTTTTTAAAAAATGGTTTAGTTAATCTTTGTAAATACTTATAAATTGTACATTTATACGAATCGAAATTGTTATATAAGTTACTATATTGTATATAAGTATTTTTTTGTGATATTTCTGAAGTTTTATCATAGTATTAAGATACCGTTTTATATAACCAAGGTAATAGTATTTATAAATGTGACATTATGACTAATTAGTTCTGTATTACATTAGCTTATGTCAACTTTAATTATGTAATTGAATGTATGTCATGTAATTACTTATAATATAAAATGGTCTGTTAAGTAAATATTTAATATTTGTTTTTTTCCCATGTTGTAAAGAATTTTACTTATGAAATTTTGTTTTTAAAAATTAAATTTGAATACTTCAATTAAAATTACATATTTGCAATATAGATTGTCTATTTATTATACAAAATTATATATTTATTAATTTCTAAGGTTTACTAATAAACAGAGGCTGTGCGGTGGTCGATTGAGTTAAGGCGTCTGCAAAAATTTTATGATACGAGTTTAAATCCCATTCGCGAGATTTAGTAAGATAAATATATATATATAAATTATAAATTAAATAAACAAGTGCAATCCCTACTTGATTGCTTAGATCATTATGGCGTGGGTTCGATTCCCTCATGGGGATGGTAACATCCTCACCATGAGATTAAGAGGAAGGAGATCGACCCCTGTGTCTAACAACACAAGCTCCTTGGTCATCCATATAGGGATTTGGGCCTAGGGCTAATAACACTTTCTCATAAAAAAACAACAGGTTAGAGATATCTGCAAAAGGTTGCCAACCATCCTAAAATGAAGATGGAGTGATTGTGATCGCCTCCGGTTGTTTTAAACCATGTATCCTCTGGATATCTAGATAAGAACAGAACAAACGATCACACCTTATCACTTAAAACAGTCCCAATGCAGCGAGAAGACTAATGGCGGAAGTCAATAGAGTCAAGAGACATTAAAAAAAACCAACTAATTAACAGAAAAAAATTTATAGATACAGATAATTTATTTAATAAAAACACTAATTTATTTTACAACAGAAATTGTTATCATAAAAACAAATTAATGTCTTTGCGAAAAAAAAATCTGAAAGAGTAGAATTATTCAAGATTTATAGAATGTCTATGTGTAATAATTAATTTGATTTTGATTCATAATTTTGGATTATTATTAACTTAAAATAAACAAGTAAATTTAAAACTTCTAATTGAAAATTATTTTTATTGTGAAAGTAATGTTTTCTTTGTTCATGATCCTATTTGAAGAAGTGAAGATTTGTGTTTTTTCTTTTAAGTCGCTCACTGACTTGCAGGTTTAAAACATTGATTTCAGACAAACTCAACTCCATGCCTTCGTTGTCTTAAGTATGTAACGGGACTGCCTTGGCTTCTCTAAGCGATTATGACTTACTCTCAACACCATATAAATAAACAGAAATAATATTCTAAACGTTTATTAATTTAAAAAAAATTAACTTCAACTGAAAATGGGATGGTAAGTGAAAGTTGTGTGATTCACTACACCAGATTTTTCAAAATTAGACGTTAAGAATTATGAAAAGTATAAATAAAATTTAATGGATTTAATACAATTTAGAAAAAATTCTTTCGCTTGCCATTTACCACTAACTGTAATCTCCCCCATTAGTTTTGCTTCAACAAAGTAGATTGAAATTAGTATAGGGGAAATCAAGGTGTAATAGCTATGTTCAGAGAATCTAGCGTTTCGTCTCATTGTTTCTTATATCTTGTTATACCTTTCGCATGTCAATTGAATTTACCATCTCCCTCCTGGCATAGAAACCTCACACAGTGACAGTGAAAAAGGTTGGCGTCGATCCAGAGGATGGCCCTGTTGCGTGTCACCCGAGCATTTAGGACGTCGCATGGACTCATTCTTGTTTTTACTTTCACCTACCTATATATGAGATATGTATTGTGATCGTGAAAGTTTTCAATAGAAATACCCATTTTGAGATCCTCTGAGTTCAAATAACCTAGTCTCGCAAAATGGTATGTGATCAGTTAGCTTTTAATATGCACTTTAATATAATGCAATTTTAATATAATACACACACTGACAATATTATATTCATATATATGGAGTTTTTATAAATGCTATCATTGGTATTATTTAATTCTTATACTGGTACTTAAACAAAAAAACAAATAAAAAAAAACAATGAAATATAAATAAATAGAGCGCCCTTCTTTATCAGTGGTACTTTTGTCGGATTAAAATATTTTGTGCCACCTAATTATTTATTATAATCAAATAAATAATAGAAATATACAGTCGTAAAAGAAAATTGCTAGTCTCAAACATAACAAATATAATACATTAGATGGCTATTAAAAATATAGTAATTTTAATATTTCATACCCTCTAAAATTTTTACTTTCACTTCTCTTTGTCTGAAAATACTTATTTCTGCTAAGAAGAGGGTGTTACGTGAAAGTTGTGTGATGCACGCACCACACCAGGTTTTTTCTTAATCTTTTACATTATTATTTTATTAGCATTTTTTTGATATTATCAATAGGAAGTTCTGTCCAGAGGTTATTGGTAGGTTGTTAAGCAGTCTTTATGTGTTATGAAAAACTCATTTTCTGTTCGATTTTTATTATATTGTTCAGGGACTGGACTTTTATTTGGATTTCATGTTTGTCAATTGACACTGTAATAAATCCCTTAGAAGAAATAAGCAATTGAAAATTATTGTTTTAAGTTGAATTATTTCTACATTTTTCCTGTAGCAAATAAGTTCTGAAAAAATACTTTGGAATACATGTATGTTTCTTGAACTTTTTGGGGTGAAATACAATGGTATTTTAAAAATCAATGTGCGTTAAGAATTAAAATCAATTAAAAAAGGTAAGCAATAGTTTACATGTAATATCATGTAGTAAACAGGGTTAAAAGATTTTATAATTAACAAGAGATAAGATAAATACATTTATTTTATATTCTTAAGTTTTTTTTTTTAAATAAGGAATTAATAATTGATAAAAAATATATTAAGAACAGCTTGTTTGTTTTAATAGCTTAATTTAGACATATAAGTTTGCTTTAGACTGGCGGCGCTAGTAATCCTTTTGAGTATGTTATATCATTAGATAAGCTGTATTACCGATTACATAAAGGACTGGAATGTAACAACACTTATCTAATTACAAGGTTAAGCACAATAATTGAAGTAAAACACATTTATCTAGTATAACCTTAGACATATATACTTAGATAAAAGATATTAGACAGTTGATAATCCATTAATAGATTTATTCTACTATGCTTCGATAAAAAGCAGTCAACATATCAAAGTTTCTTATTTTAATTGTTATATAGAAATATCCTATTTATCAGCTCTTTTATTAAAGCCTAGAATAAGTGCCTCATAGAAATCCAGTATGTAGGAAAAATAAACACCAGATTTCCCAAGACCTTCACACAGTCTTAGACCAGCAGAAACTCACCACCCTTATTCTCCTTGACTTCTCCAAAGCCTTTGATTCAGTAGACCACAAAATTCTCCTAACCAAGCTTAAAAATATCTCTTTTTCTACTAGTGACTTTAATTGGTTCCAATCCTTCCTTACCGGCCGCTCCCAGTATGTTGTAGTCCCCCATAACCCCTATCAGAATCTTTATCCTTGTCCAGAGGTGTCCCATAAGGCTTCTTATCTCCCACCCTTTTTTCTATCTACATCAATGACCTCCCATCTTCTATCCTACACTGTCAATACCATCTGTATGCCGACGACGTCCAGATTTACCTCTCCTTCAATCCAACCGAATCCTCTGACGCCATTAAAAACTGACAGGAAGATATAAACGGAATTTATGCCTGAGCAAACCACAATAGGATTACTCTAAACGCCAAGAAGACGAAAGTCATCCTGATCGGATCCCCCTCACTCCTCAATCCTTACTGACACTCCCCAATCTTTTCCTGAACAACTCGCCTATCTCATTCCATACTTCTGTAAAAAACCTTGGCGTTACCTTTAATCAAACCCTCTCGTGGAAACCACACATCTCCCAAATTTCCTGTCGTACTATCTCTACCCTGAAACAGCTTAACCGTCTCCGTTATCTCCTTCCATATAAATCGCGTGAACTCCTGGTTTCCTCTCTTGTGTTTCCTCACTTCGACTACGGTTGTCTAGTGTACAGCGGATTTTCGGGAGAATTCGAAGCCAAACTTAAACGCCTAATGAATTGCGCAATACGTTTTGTTTTTGGCACCTCAAGAGATACGTATATAACCCAGTATTACACCAAGTTGAAGTGGCTCTATCCGTCCAACCGCTGTCTGTATTTCCTTGCTACTTTTCCATACCAAGCCATCAGAACTCAGCGGCATTCCTATATTTTTCACTGCCTACAATTTAAATATTCCATTCAATTCTGTCCCACTTGATCCCGTACTTCCGACTTCTGTCCACCTCCTCACCGAACTGCTGCGTT